GATATTGCTGGTAACTGATATTACTGATAACCGATATTACTGATAACTGATATTACTGATAATTGATATTACTGATAACCGATATTACTGATAACTGATATTACTGATAACTGATATTACTGATAACTGATATCGCTGATAACTGATATTACTGATAACTATGAATGATATATATTAACGTGAAGTGATTTCCGTCTATTATTTACGTCTATTAGTTTTACGTCATGAATAAGCATTTTTTTCATTTCTTTATTTCAAAAAAAAAAAGATTTTTTTTTTTTGAAATTAATATTTTGAAATATTGGAAATTTTTTTCTTAGTAAAATGTTATTTTTATTTGTTTTATTTGAAAAGGATGTGGAAGTTTATTGATTGATTAGGAATAATTTTTTTCATAAAAATAATATTGAATAAATAAATAAGCAATTTACTTTACTTTACTTTACTTTACTTATAATAAGTAAAAACTTTATCAGTTACTTATCAATCTTACTGATCCTTAATTAATTCATTACTTATCAGTCTTACTGATTCATAACTAATTCATGAAATAATTCATGATTATTAGAACCGATTGTATGTATGTAATCATTTCCTGATTTTATCATTTCCTGAAATTGCTTCTTCATCGATAAAATTTGATCATTTAATTAAGATTATATATAATATATATATTGTTTTCTAAATTTAATTAATATAATTCATTCATCAATGATATCCAATTCCGGAAAATAATGGATTGATTGGGTAAATGTTCTTTAATTAATTTCTTCAAAATTTAACTGTTAGCCGGATTTCCTCTTTGTACAATTGATGCATTTCCGATTTTTACGACTTATCTGCATTTTCTTCTTTTTTTCTTTCTTCCTCTTCCTCCCTCTCTCTCTCTCCCCCTCTCTCTCTACATTATTCTGTTTACTCGTTACGAAGTAAATATTTTTGTGTTTTGTGATATTTCGGCTATAATCCGGAAAATCTATTGCAATAATAATTCATCTAATTATGATAATATCGAAATGAAAGAATGCAAATGTTACGGAATATTTAATATTTTAAATTCAAAATTATGAATTTTTTCCAAAAGATATTTTAAAATTATTATTCTAAAAGCACCAGCAAAAGCTAAATTAATTATTTGTTTACAAAAAAAAAAAATTGTAAATGAACAATTAAAAAGTTGTTTTTTAAATTTTTTAAAATATTTTTAAACTTTCTAATATTTATATTTTCGCTTAATAAAATATTTTATTTATTGTACAAATAATTTTATGCTAATTCATATTTTTAAAATATATTTTAATTATTGTAAATTAGGAAGAAAATAATTAAGCAAAAAAAAAAAAAAGAAATTATTTTTATACAATATTTGACATAGTTATTAATTCTTTTAATTCATGAAATAATTAAAAGTAATAAATTAAAATTAAAATTGTTTTATTAATTTATTGTCTCTTTCTTCCGTTTTTTTTATTTCTTTTAATTTTTGTTAAATCATTTTGAAAGTTAGTCAAATATTGAAAGCTTTTGTTTACATTTTATCATTTCCATAAATATTATTTGAAATCAGATAGCAATGAAAAGGGATGAATAATATGAAAACAATGGTTAATTTTTCATAAATTTTATTCAATAAATTATTATTATTATTATTGTTATGAAATTTCTATTTATCAAAATTTTCATGTTATTATTATATGTGATAAAATAAAATGGAAAATAAAAAAATTTTTTGATTGGGTAAACAAAATAGATGACAGGAAGAGACATTGAAAACAGATAACTCTTTTTGAAATGATCAATAAATATATTATTATTATTATTTTATTTGAATTTAATACAAATTATTGATTTATCATTCATTGTAATTAAAGTTCACAGATGAATGAATCAATCTGTCATCTGTTTAAATGAATTTATGAAATTTTTTTTTTTTGATTTTATGTTTGTCAAATATATCTCATCCAAGATATGATTGAATTATTTGTTGACAATTGTCCATTTCTTTTTTCTCTTTTCCGTCTGTTTTCTCTCTCTCTCTCTCTCTCTCTCTTTCCTTTACTTTTTTTTTTTTTATAATCGATGAATTTTTTTAAATGAAAAACAAAAAATTCATGCATATTATTTATTTCTAGGAAAGGAATAAAAAATAAAAAACATAAAGAAAAAAGTAGAAATGAATAAATTATTTGACTTTTTTTTTTCATAATAAATTATTCTTTGATAAAGTTTTATTATTATTATTATTATTATTATTATTATTATTATTATTATTATTATTATTATTGTTATTGTTATTGTTATTGTTATTGTTATTGTTAACCCATTACTATTACTTATTTATTTGTTGACATAATATTTCATAATATTTATTTGTCAATATTTATCATTATTATCATCATTATTACCACTATTAATACTATTATCATTACCTATTACTATCACCTATTACTATTATCTGCCATTATTATCATTGTTATTACCATTATTATTACTATTATTATCATTATTACCTATTACTATTACTATTATTACTACCACTTACTATTATTATTACTCACTACTACTACTATTATTATTATTATTATTATTATTATTATTATTATTGCCATACTTTATGTATATAGCTGAATCTTTAATGATTATCATTATCTTCTTTGATTACTATCATTTACCTATACTCGATTTATGCAGTATTTACCATAAAATTATGATTCATTCCTGTTTTCTCTTCTTTCCTACGTATGAAATAAATAATTCTACGCTTAATTAATACTATCATTTACCTATACTCGATTTATTTATTATCATATCATTTACCTATACTTAATACTATCATTTACCTATACTCGATTTATTTATTATCATTAATGATTATCATTATCACTGCCATTATCATCAGCGATATATTTTACAATGTATATTACTTTTCCTAAGAACGAACTTAATAAATTATCAAAACAACTATAACATTTTAATTTATTTCCATTAATTATTTAAATGATAGCAATAGTTTATGACATTTTCATTCTATCAATAAATCAATTTTACACAATAATTCAAATTATCACTTCAAAAAGTAAAATCAATAACGAATAACTGAAAATTTAACTGCGCTTCATGTATGCATGCATGCATGCATACATACACACATACAAACACATACAATGTATACCATACGCATGCGTGCATACATGCACATATACACATACATATGTATACCACATGCATACATACATGCATGCACATACACACACAAATACACATGTATACCACACACATACATACACACATACATGCATCATACACGCATAAATTCACATACACATATACACATACATATGTATACCACATGCATACATACATGCATGCACATACACATACATATGTATACCACATGCATACATACATGCATGCACATACACACACAAATACACATGTATACCACGCACATACATACACATGTATACCACGCACATACATACACACATACACATGTATGTCACATGTGTACATACACACATACATGCATCATACACGCATAAATGCACATACACACATACACATACATATGTATACCACATGCATACATACACACATACATGCACATGTATATCACATGCATACATACATACATACACATGAATATTTATAATTTTGCCAGAAAATTTATAAAAAGGATGTGACGAATTATTGTGAAATATTCCATTGCATCCTTTCCATTCATTCGTTTTTTCTTCTTTTTATCATTTACGCAGCGATAATAATTATCAGTGATAATTATTATCACTGATAAATAATTGATAACGAATAATTTCACATATATGTCTGATTGTAATGTTATTTTCATTAATGAAATGGATGGAGTAATTTGAATTGAAACCATTTTAGTAATATCAGAAATAGTAATAATAAAATAATTTCACAATATTGTATGCAAATAGCAGTTAAATTATTTCATTTTAATAATATTTAAATAAATTTTATGATAAAATCAATAAAAATAATTTAACAATAAAAAGTTTATAGATTTATAATTTTTTTTTTGAAAGATTTTAAATGTTGAAATGATATTTAGCTATTTTTATCATTTCATTTTATTTGTTGGTTTTGATTATTTATTGAAATTTAAAAAATAATTTTAATTTTTATAACTTTTAATTTTGTAATGTTTGTTTAATTCTATTGCTTATAAATTTATTGCCTACAATAAACAAAATTTCAAAAAAGGATGTGACGAATTATTGTGAAATATTTCAATCCTAAAATTTTTTTTTTTTTGCATTGAAATGGTCTTAAATTGATTTTCAGGTGGAATTTATATCAAATTTTATGAAACTTTGATTTTATTTAGTATTATTAGGATTGTAGGAAAATTATTTTCATTTTCCTTTTGTTTGTTTGTTTGTTTATTTATTTATTTAAACTAATAGAATAGTAATAGAATAATTTGCATTTTATTTTTTCCTTTCCTTTTTTTTTTCAATTTATTTTCGCTAATCATTGAAATAAAATTGTTAAAAAATTAATCGATGATAATTATATGTCACACAAAAATGTTATATATTAATTTTATCCTTTCTTAATTCATTAACTTTCTTTTTGTTCGTTTTTTGATTTCAAATATATTTGATAATTGTGTTAAATCTATGTAACTTATACAAAATGCTTTTGTTTTGACGAAATTTTTTGAACGAAATTTATTTTAAAATTAAGAATATTACGTTTTATTCACGAATCATTATTGTTTGTTTATGCATTACGTAATTAAATAAATTTTAATGAATCAATTGAATATTGTTGATTACAGTAATATTTGAATGATAAAAAAAAAATCAAAAAAAATGGAAGAAAATAATAATTTTTTTTTTTTATTTATTAAGTTATTATTATTATTATTATTATTATTACATATGAAAATTATTTACAGCGATAGATATTAATAATACTTTTGTAAGCATTATTAATTATACTATTACTATTATTGCTATTTGAATCAAATTATGACAATTTTATCAATAATGGTAACTGATATCGATGCGACAACACTTGCTAAACTTCTTCAAAAAGTTGATCCATTCCGGAAGGTTATTTTATTTTCCTTTTTTTTTTTTGCCTAAAATTATTTCATATAATAATTATTGACAATGATAATAATAACAACAGTAAATAATAATAATTAATAATTAGCAATAGTTATTGATAATAATAATACTAACAATAATTAATAAAAATAATGGTAATAATAATGACAATAATTAATAATAATAATGATAATGATAATAGTTAATAATAATTAATACTAATAAGAGCAATAGTAGTAGTAATAATAATAATAATAATTTTTTCAGAAGATGTAATAATAATACTACTGTAAACGTAGTTCTTTTTTTTTTTTTATATTTTGTTATAAAGATGGCATAATTATTGGTCAGCAAAAATTTCTTAAAAAATAATTTTTTATTTGGAAGATGTAAATGTAATAATTAATCCTTATGCAATAAATAAATTATTTGAAATCAATATTTTATATGGAATGGAAATGATAATAAAATATTTATTGACTAAATTAAAATTTATTTCCAAATATTTTGTGTTAATTTAAATTTTAGTTCAAATAATTTAGCATAAAATAAATTTACAAAAAGAAATACATTCATTTTTTTTTATTATTAAAATCAAATCAATAATCTTTTAGTTATTTTATGAAAGATATTTAAATGTATTTAATAAAATTTTTAATTTTTCAAAAATTGTTATTAATTACCAATCGATTTGCTTTTAATCGATTCATTATTTTATTGATAATTTTTCCTTTATATGTGATTATTAATTAATATTTTATACAATTAAAAAGATTTATGTTTGTTATAGATTATTATACATATTTGAATTATTTATTAGTAGAACGGAGATACTAATAATTACATTTTTATCTAAAATCAACGAAAGGAATCACTGACAACTTATCACTAAGGATATGTAAATAATACTATTAATACTCTTTTATTAAGGTTTTTGATATATATTTAACAATGATGATAAAGTGGAAATTATTGCTGTTGATAAGCTAATAGTTAGAAATAATTTATCAGTGATAAATAGATTGCAAATTGAAATTTATTCAATGATAATAAATTAGGAAGAGGAAAATTTCCAAATATTGATATATTAGAAAGTGAAATTTTGATAAGTTGATAAAAATTTGAATTTTTTTTCTGGAATAATTTAATGAAATGTTAAATGTATGAAAATTCTTTTGTGAAATTGAAAAATATTATTGATAGAAAATATGAAGCCATTATAGATGTAATTGATGAGATGAGACGAATGAATAAATATATGCAATTATTTTTATAAATTAAAATGAAAAATAAAAAATTAAAAAAAAAAAAAAGCATTGGATGATTCATTGTTGTTTTTCTTTCAATTCGTTCCACTTTTAAAGTACTAATTTCATTTTTTTTTTTTTTTCTTTTTCTTTCTCTCTTGCCCTTCTTTTTTTTTTTTTTGTTTTTTAACCACTGAAAATTACATTTTTGTTGATAAGTGATTATATCATCTATTGATTGATATCATAACATGAATTATGATATGATATCATAACAAATTTTATCATTTTTAAAGTTACAATATGACAGGCAACGAAAAAATAACAAGCAAACAAATAAATATATTTTATCAAAAAGAAAAAGGCTTCTTGTTTTTATTAAATATGAAATATTTAAAGTAATTTCGAAGCATATATATATATATTTTTTTAATTATTTTTTTCGTTTATTTTTTACTTTTTCTTTTGAAAAAAAATTAATTTTAAATTTCAAAACGAAAAAAAAAAGAAATTTGTTTTATAATTTAAAATTGAAAATTTATAAAAAAAAATTTTTTTTTTCCATAATTTTTTTTTCTTATTTTATTTATTTATTTATTTATTGATTTTTCATTCATATCTTTTTCTCTTCCTTTTTTTTTAATTTAATTATTTCAATTTTAGTTAACTATTTGAAATGATGAAAATTTATTGAAGAGAATGGGTAATTTGCATATAACGATGAGTCATGCAAATTCTTTTCCTTTATGTTAACTATTTGATTAATTATTTAGCAAATTTGAATGCATCAAACAAATCGACACTTCATTCCTCTTCCTCTTCCGCTTCCGCTTCCATTTCCGCTTTCATTTCCGCTTCCTCTGCCTCCTTCACTTTGCGCAACCATTTATTAATTTTAACTGAATGAATTTCATTCCACTTTAGCTAATTCATTCGCAGAAATGAAATGAAATGACGCATTGTTAAAAATGACAATTTACAAATGGCAAAAAATTTGGTTAATAATTGATAGAAAAGTTAAATTTTACTTATAAATTAGATTTTTTAAAAATTCACTTAAAATTAAACTTTTAATCTTTTTTTTTTTACTTTTTTGTTAACATTAATCGAATGATTCCGAATTTAAAAACTTTTAATTTCTTAATCTAATCTGATTCATCTTTTTTTTTTTTTTAGAGATCAATATTTCTTATGAAATTTCTTATGAAATTTTTTTGAGTTCGTAGCGAGTAAAAAGGAAGATTTATTAAAATTATAAAAATTATCATTAAATGATATTGTTAGTCATTGATTGATAACAATGATTTCATATTTATTTTAAATCATATTGTTGATTTAAAATATAAATAGTAAATATATTTCTGTTAGTTTTATTTATTGTGATATATATTTCATTACATTATTCCATTTTTAGATATTGAATATTTTATAATTTATCAAAAAAAAAACACCTGGTATCATATACATACAGCTTAAAAGTAGTGATAATAAATTCGTGATAATAAAATGATAATGAAAAAAAAAAAAAACTATCAACGGCAATGATTAAAGTATGATATAAATGATGCAAAAATTGGTGATAAGATAATAATATTAATAATATCATTAACAGATTATCAATAAATTCGGTAACAGTGATAATGTTATAGAAATGTTTAATTTTTATCAGTTTGTAAAATATTATATGATAAATTGCAATTAAATCGTTATCACCAATATATTATCAATACAATGTTAGAGTTATTTGAAATTAATATAAAATTGAAAAGTTTCATATTAGTATTTTCTAATTTTGATGATTAATTATCAATATTTATGAAAATTTTTTAGCAGAAATTTGATTAATTATCATATAATCATCAAATGTTTATAATAATTTTACTAAATTTGTCAGTTTTCTTTTTTAACTAAACTAAAATAATATTAACAACAACAAAAAGAAAAGTGCAATTATAAATTTTATTATTTTAGTATATGATAATTTTAATATTTATTATTATTCATTCAATCATTCGTTTATTTTACATTGATATTTTGTTGACAAAAAAAAAAAAAAAATATCAAAAAATTTTAATTGTAGCTTTTAAACATATTTTGTTATTATTATTAAATATTAATATTAATAATGCAAATATAATTACAAATATCTATTCTTTGCTTTTCTTTATTAATATTTTTTAATGAATAATAATAATTATTATTATCAAATAAAAAAGCTATTAATATTCATAATCAATTGTAATTAATAATAATAATAGTAATAACAGTAATAATAATAATAATAATAGTAATATCTTTATTAATATTTTTTAATGAATAACAATAACAATTATTATCAAATAAAAAAGCTATTAATATTCATAATCAATTATAATTAATAATAATAATAGTAATAATAATAATATTTACATGATATCGGCATATTTAAAACAGGTATAAAAACAGGTATTATTATAAACATATTTATATTCTCGAAAATTTCCTATACAGCAATGCATTATATTAGTTTTCTTTTTTTTTTTTTTTTTTTTCTTGAATTAAATAATTAATTGTTGAAATTCTGCTAAAATTTGAAAAATAAAATTTCTTTAAATTAAAATTTTATTAAAATATAAATGTAATATATATTTTTTTATTAAATATTAATATGTATTTTTAAATATTATTAATATGTATTTAAATTTAAATATTATTTTAAATATATATATTTTTTAATTAAATATTAATTACTACAATTAATACACTATTTATAGACAATAATTGTTGATTGTCGTCCTTTTATCGACTACAATTTATTGCATATTCGTGATGCAATCAATGCATTTTATTCCAAAATGATGCGTCGTCGTGTCTATGACAATAAGGTAAGTAAGTAATTCATTTTGCACGTTTCACGTAGCGTACACGTCTGTAGAGAGTTGTTTATTTCAAATATCCCATTAAAAATTATTTAATACATAAATTAAATTAGTAATGTTAATTTTATGTTTGTAGAATTATCAGTTAGCATTAGATTACGAATTTATTAGTGAATTTTACATCTGGAAAATTATATTAAATATTTATTTTCATATGTTTCTTTGTGAATATTTATTTTCATAAAGTAGAAATACCACTTTGTTGATATGAAATTCTCGTTGATGTGTCATTTCATTTTATCTTGAATGAGTAATACTATCCGAAATTTGAGTTGTTTTAAAAAAGCATCAATATAATAAAATATTTTTTTTTTTTTTATTTGTTAAATATCATTGCTACATGATTTTTATGTGTAAGAAAAAAGAAAAAATGAAATGAGTGAAAAAAAAAGGGAAAAATTATAAGGAAATTAATTGAAAATGGAAATAGTTTAAAGGTTATCATCATAATCATCATCATCATTATCATCATCAATAACATTATCGTTGCCATCAACATCATCATCTTCATTATCATTATTATCATCATTACCATTATTATCACCATTACTGTAACCATCGGCATTGTCATCACCATCATTATCATTGTTGTCATCATATCGTATTACACCACCATTACCATGACCATCATTATCGTCACCATCATCATCATTATCATTATTATTATCATTATTATCATCGTATCACCATCATCATTATCATCATCAATATTCTCATTGCTATCATCAATCTTTCTCTTTGACGAAATATTTGTTATAGTAATAGTAGTAGTAAGAATAGAAATAGTAATGATAAAACTTAAAGAATAATTTCTCATTCATTTCCATTATAAAATAATGAACGAATGCTGATGACTCATTCATTCATTCATCTTTTATTCTTTAAGTGTCACATTTCACGAATATAAGATCCAATATGGCTAACCTAATCCTGTCATCACCATCTGGCATTTCTATCTCCTTTAAGTAGCTGCTAGAAGTATTAGTCATCACCATCATCACCCTCACCATCACCCTCACCCTCACCACCACCATCACCATCACCATCACCCCATCATCGTCATCATCATCACCATCATCATCATCATTATCATCCATCCAACCATCTATCTGTCCCTCAAATATGACTCAATCTCGATTAAAATAAACGCCCATCAAAAAAATGTATTTAAGATGGTGAAATAGTAGTAAAATAGTAGTGCTACAATCATTTCAGATTATTGTTTCTTATCATTTCATAATGTATCTTATCATTATGATATCATTTGTAGAATTATTTATACTGATAATTGTTTTTCTTTTTTATTTCCTATCTATGATATATGAAATGGATAAATAGATGATAATATCAATTAGTGATATGATAGTATCATCCATTTGATTTGTAAAATTTTTTACATTTTAAAAAAGAAGGAAAATAAGAGAGAGAGAGAGAGAGAGAGAGAGAGAAGCATTCCCATTTACTGAATTAATAATGGTATTAGTAGTAATGAAAATTGGTTAATCGTATGTAAGTGCTATTAGTAATAAATTGAACATATATAATTAAATATCGATCGATCATTGCCTGGGATTTGCATTAATTCTATCTAATTTAGGAGAGAGAGAGAGGGAAGATGGTCATTTTACCTGTAATTTACTTAATATATTACTAACATATAATATATATATATTTTTTCTCTTTTATTATACCTGTAAATTGTAAATTTACCTTTACTAATATTCATTGTTTATTATAAGTAATTTTCATAAGTAAGTGTTGTTTATTACAAGTAATTGATTATGTATTTATGCAAATTAATTAAATTAGTGAGAATAATTTATCTAAGATAATGAATATGAAATTAATAATTGTTAATATTATTTAACAAAATATATTTTACATTGGTTGATGACAATTATTTTTATGAAAAAAAAAAAAATTTAATTACTTAAATTAGAGGATAATTTGATAAAAAAAATATCATAAGCATAGAATGATAATCAATTAATTAAGCAGCAAATAAATGATATCGAAGTAAATAAATAAAGTAAATAAATAAACAAAGCAAATTTGGAAGCAAAAAAAAAAAATAAAGGAATGAAAATAATTGAATTTAGGCATAATATTAGAGAATAAAAATGTAAATTATTTAAATTATAATATTATTTCTATCATATAATCAATAAATTTTTTCATTATTTACTGTATAATTCTAATTATTTATTTTCTCTTTCATACTTATTTAATTCTAAACGTTAATAATTTTAAAATAATATAAATATATTAGATGATAGTTTTATTTAGAATTAATTAAAATTTCCATTCATTTATGAATAATTATACTATTTTAGTATATACTAGTAGTAATTAGTAATTTATTCATTAGGAATAATATTATTATTATTTTGAATTAAGCATTACTGTTTAAAAATGTTTAATTATATATATGTATGTATTATCATTGATATTATTGATAGCAGAATGAGTAATAATATGTCTATGATTCATTGTTATTGAAAATATATTTATTATTATTATTATTTATTTCTCGATTTCAACATTTTTTAATTTCGAAATTAAATTTAAAAGAAGGAATTATTTTTATTGGAAAAATATAATAATATATAATATAACATTAACATATATTACTTGTTAAATGTCATTATTTATTCCTTTCTTTATTTATTTCTCAATTTCATCATTTTCTAATTTCAAAATTAAATTTAAAATTAGGAATTACTTTCATTAAAAAATATAATAATACATAATGTAACATCAACATGTATTACTTGTTAAATGTTATTATTCATTTCTTTCTTTATTTATTTCTCAATTCCGTTATTTTCTAATTTCAAAATTAAATTTAAAATTAGGAATTACTTTCATTAAAAAATATAATAATACATAATGTAACATTAACATGTATTACTTGTTAAATGTCATTATTTATTCCTTTCTTTATTTATTTCTCAATTTCATCATTTTCTAATTTCAAAATTAAATTTAAAATTAGGAATTACTTTCATTAAAAAATATAATAATACATAATGTAACATTAACATGTATTACTTGTTAAATGTTATTATTCATTTCTTTCTTTCTTTATTTATTTCTCAATTTCATCATTTTCTAATTTCAAAATTAAATTTAAAATTAGAAATTGCTTTTATTAGAAAAATATAATAGTCTATAATACAACATTGATATGCATTATTTTATTAAATGTTAAAACATTAAAATATTAAAGAATCACATAGTATTTAATTATTTTATTAAAAAAATTGAAAATAACATTTTTTAGTTTTTATTTTATTTTATTTTATTTTTCTTTTTTTGTTGCTCTTTCATTGTTTAATTTAATGGTAAATTTATAGGTTTGCAATAGTGTAATGTTATCACAAATTGGTGAAGAAAAGTGTAATTCAACATTAGTCGATTTGGTGTTATATTCGGAAAATGATCAAACTATTAGTGAGAAAACATTAACAAATAATTATTCCAATGTATTATCCGGAATAAAACGGAAATGTTGTAATGGTGATGATGAAAAATGTTCCGATTCCGATTCCGATTCCGTTGATGATGATGATTCACCACAAAAATTACTTCGAACATTACAAGAAAAATTTACGTCATCAAAACGTTTTCATAAAGTTCTCGTTTTACGTGGTATGTTTTTGTTTATTTATTTATTTGTTTACTTTTTTTCTTTCTTTTTCTCATCATACAATCACATCATGTCATATTATTATTTATTTATTTATTTTTTGTAAATACTATGATAATATTTGATAGAAAGAAAGCAGAAATAACTATAAAATAGAATTGTTATTATTAATTTTTAGCAATTTAATTTATGGCTTATTTGAAATTAGTAATGAAATATGCTAAAAATATATGAATTGTTGTAAACAAAAAAAATGTAATTATCACTAATTTTATTTATTTGGTTTTTTTTTTGAATAATTTTGTTTAATTAAATGATGACAACTGAAGGCAATTTGAAGGTATATATTAATTTTATATAATTTCTTTCTTTTTTTTTTAAAAGTGTTAAATTTTTGTTTCAAATTTCATTTTGATATAATATTAATTTTAATCGTTTAATTATTACAATTTGATCTTAATTTTACCCGTTTAATTAGTAACAATTTGTTCATTATAATTTACTTATTGTAGAAGTTAATGAGATAAAAAATCAAATATTATCATTATTCATTATCATTGATAATTTAATGTTGATTAAATGAGATTTATAATCAATTATTATCTATGATAATTAATTATCAGTAAATTAATATGCATGCACACTTATTTAAATTTTCATTTAAATAAGCGATTAAAACTGATAACAATGATATATTACAATCTTTTCTTTCTTTTTTTTATCTTTCAATTTTTTTTTTTTTTTTTTTCATTCATTTTCATCTTTTTTTTTCAGTGATAAATAATTTTACAATTATCATTTCTAATCTTTTTTTTTCAGTGATAAATAATTTTACAATTATCATTTCTAATCTTTTTTTTTCAGTGATAAATAATTTTACAATTATCATTTCTAATCTTTTTTTTCAGTGATAAATAATTTTACAATTATCATTTCTAATCTTTTTTTTTCAGTGATAAATAATTTTACAATTATCATTTCTAATCTTTTTTTTTCAGTGATAAATAATTTTACAATTATCATTTCTAATCTTTTTTTTTCAGTGATAAATAATTTTACAATTATCATTTCTAATCTTTTTTTTTTTTCAGTGATAAATAATTTTACAATTATCATTTCTAATCTTTTTTTTTCAGTGATAAATAATTTTACAATTATCATTTCTAATCTTTTTTTTCAGTGATAAATAATTTTACAATTATCATTTCTAATCTTTTTTTTTCAGTGATAAATAATTTTACAATTATCATTTCTAATCTTTTTTTTTTTCAGTGATAAATAATTTTACAATTATCATTTCTAATCTTTTTTTTTTTTCAGTGATAAATAATTTTACAATTATCATTTCTAATCTTTTTTTTTCAGTGATAAATAATTTTACAATTATCATTTCTAATCTTTTTTTTCAGTGATAAATAATTTTACAATTATCATTTCTAATCTTATCCAATTTATCCTCTTTCTTTTCTTTTTTTTTTCCTTTTTTTCATTCCATTTATAATTACTTTTCTATCATTTTCTCTTTTTTTTTTTTTTTTTTATCTTTTACTATTTCATCTCTTTTACATTTTTTTTTTTTTTTAAATTAATTCCATTATTTCTTTTCTTTTTTTTAAATTAATTTCATTCATTATTTCTTTTTCTTTTTTTCTTTTTTGCCTATTTCAAATAATTCCTTTCTCTAATTTTTTTTTCTTTCTTTAAATTTCATTATTTTGCTTATTTTAAATAACAAAATGAAATTGTTTACATCATTAGAAAGCATTTTTTTTTTTTTTTTTAAAATAATATTTTTTTTTCTTTTCATTGTATTATCATTGATTAATAAATAAATTTAACAATGTAAGAATAATTTTTGATTTTTTAGTAACTTTCTTATAAATAAATGTGAATTAGTAGTGATTCGATCATTCATTTTACTTTTTCTCTTTTTGTTAAATAAAAAAAAAAAAAACAGAACGGAAAGGAAAGGAAAAGAAAAATATTTTTAGTTCTCTTTGAATTTATGATCTTTCCTTCTTTCTTCTTTTCATCTCTCAAATGATATATCGGTAGTATTTTTTCTCTTAAATAATATCCATGACAACTTTTAGTTTATATGTATGTATGTGTGTGTGTGTGTGTGTGTATGTGTATGTATGTGCACATGCATGTCTTTGTATATGTATGTATACATACATGTACATGTATGTGTGCATGTATATACTCTGCTTTTTTAAAATATCACCTAATAAAAAGTGTATTTGATGAATTATTCCTTTTTTTTTTTCCTTTTTGTCAAAATTAAAATTACTTAATAGGACAGTAAAATAAATGGTTGAGAATGGTGAAACGTGAAATAAAGTTTAAGTAACGTGAAATAGTTTAAGTAACGTGAAATAAAGTAAAGCTAAAATGAAGTTTATATTAAGTAATCGTGAAATAAAGTTTTTACGAGGTAAACGTGAAACGAAGTTTTTTATTAAGTAATGTAAAATTAGATTAATTCATCGTTTACAAATCGATAAAAAGAAAAAAGAAAATATTTTGTTTTTTTTTTAAGTAATATTATCGTAAAATGTTTGTAAATAAGTGAAAAATTTTGTTAAAATTAGTGACCATAAGATTTATTTAATGAATAGATAAATAGATCAATCGATCGATCGATCGATTGATTGATCGATTGATTATTTCGATGTGTAATGTCATTCAATTAAATGACAAATATTTGTCATAGAACATGAAATAATGTGTTATAAAAACTCGTAATACTTCACAAAATGAATTATAAGAAATAATCCAAAATTAATTAATTAATTAATTGTAGAAAATTTCGAATTTATCTTATTTAATTATTTGTAATTTTTAAATGATTAGAAGTGATATTATAATTTTATTATTTTAAAACATTTTGTGTACTTTTTTTGATCTTTGATCATTTATGTTAAGTAATTTTTCAAAAAAAAAAAAAAAAATTCTTTCAATAACTGATTTTTATCTTTTGATTTATTATTAAAACATTTTATAGATATACTAATTACAAATGAAAAATATAGGAGAGAGAGAGAGAAAAAGAAACAGAGACAGAGGGAAAGAGACGGAGAGAGAGAGAGAGAGAGATGATTAGTGATGACTGTGATACATACATCTCTCTCTATGAATAAATATATCATCGGGAGGTGCTGACTCATCATCATCTATTGCCATAGCACTGCAACAGTGGCAATAGATGATGATGAGTCAGCACCTTATTACTTCAGGCGGTTATATACGTATGTGTGTATGTGTATGTGTATGTATGTATGTATGTATGTATGTGTATGTGTGTATAGTTTACTACAGATGTAGTTGTAGTTGTTGATTTTATAATGTAACAAGGTGTTAACTCAAGCATTTGAATTTTTTTTTTGGGATATTTCAGTTAGCTTTAAATCATACTTACAATTTATTTGAATCATATCAGTAAGTTGACTACTACTTATTTATTTACTTATTTCTAATATTTACTTGTTTATTTGTTTATTTATTATTGTTATGATTATTAATTATTACTGCTATTATTTGTTAATTGTTATTATGAATGTAATAGAAAAAGAAAGATGTCACAAAAAAAAGAAAGATGCAGTCAGCTTTTAAATGATAACAGTAATGTTTAGTGATAATATTGATAACAGTGATGGCAATGATAATAATAAAAGTTGTAATTGTGATTGTCATGTAGTGATAATAATAGTGATAATGATGATGATGATGATGATCATTATGATTATCATTGAAACTACCATCTGTCATCTTTCCAAAAACATGTCATCGACGGTGACAACAACAACAACAACAACAACAATAACATACATATTCATACCCTTTTCTATCTCATCCATCCATCTATTCGTCTATTCAATAATATTTGTTTATTTTTTTCTTTCCGATCTTGTCACTCTCTTTACTTCTTTCTCTCATCACATTTATAGATTATTTGTGCTTTTTTTTTTCCTTTCTGATTTATTAAGCTCAAAGTTAAGGTCAAAGATCATTCCAGTTAATAAATTAACCAATAGTGTTGTAGGTATTTATTATTACTGCTATTGTTGTTGTCGTTGTTGTTATTGTTATTATCGTCATTGTTGTTATTATTATTGTTGTTGTTGTTGTTGTTATTGTTATTATTGTCATTGTTGTTATTATTGTCGTTGTTGTTACTGTTATTGTTACTGTTGTTGTTTTTGTTGTAAGAAATGGTTTCTTTGAAATATTTGAAGAGATATAAGAATTGTTGTCAATTTCAAGAAGCAAATCTATATTAATATTGTTTGTATTAGCCAGAAGAGAAATAGACAAGACTAGGCTCTTTTTTTTTTCTTTTTTTTGAATGAGAACAGACAGAAAAGAAAAAGAGAAATATTATGGTTTTGTTGAATAGATGAGATTGAAAGAAAATGAATAAATAAATAAATAAATAAAATGATTTAGTCTTCTTTGTAATTGAAAATTTGTAAGAGAGAAAAGATGTAAGAAAGTATGAAACTAGGCTTCTTTCTTTCTTTTTTTTTTTGGAATAAAAAAGAAGAAAATTGTGATTAGGAGAAAGAGAGAGAGAGAGAGAGAGACTAGACTTCTGAAGATAGATGAATAACTAAAAAAGGAGAGGAAAGAATGAGAGAGAGAGAGAGAGAGGGAGGGAGAGAGAAAGAGAGAGAGAGGGAACAAGTTATTATATTGCTTTTAGTAAATTGAGAAAGCTGTGAATTTGTTTACGCTTGCTGCTTATATTATATGGGTGTTTGATGTAAGGCATCAAAAAAGGCTAATATCGGTTTCCGTATTTTTTAGCTTAACAAAATGATAATAATAATAATAAATCGATGATAATTTTTCTTTCATTTTTATTTTAATTTTAATTTTAAAGTATCATTTTAAATTTTAAAATATCAATGTTTTCTTTCCTGTTCACTATCGATATTTTCTATCCGGATGACAATAGCATGCGTTTTTATTTCTAAATATATACGATTAGTAAGAAAAAAGTGTAATACTAGTATAATAATTAATTAATTAATAATAATAATAATAATAATGGTAATAATAATGATAATAATAATAATAATAATAAAATAGTTAATAATAATAGTGATTAAATAGTTAATAATAATAATAAACAAACAGATAATAATATAATAATAAATAAATAATAATAATAATAAATAATAATAGACATAAATAGGTAAGTTAAATAAACAAATAAATAGCAATAATAATAATAATAAATAATAATAGACACTGCTACTATAACAAAAAAGAAAAAAAAAAGTTAGATATTATTGGTTAACATTTTGTGTGTGACATTTTCACTACTATGAATAAGTATTGAGCGAAACAGGCCTATACGCTTTGCTAGTCGAAAGCCTAAGGCCATAACAGCAGTAATATAATGTTGGCAGTGAAAACAACAATGAAGCAACGACGATGACAACGATGACAACAACGACGAGACGATAGTGATAGTAATGATGATGATGATGATAATGATGACTACCCACATAGCTTAACTTTGGCATTTTTATCTTACCTCATCATTCTTTTTTTTCTTTAAAAGAAACTAATTCACTTTTTTATTTTCCTTTTTATTAAAATTCTTTTTTTTTTTTTTTGCTTCTAATTTAATTTCTTTTACGCTTTCTTTGTTGTCATTTTTATTCTTCTATCTTTTTAATATGAAACTTAACGAAAAATTCTTCCTATATTAAGAGGGGAAAAGTGAGAAAGACGAAGAATTCATATTTATGTTCAATCATCAAATGGCAAATGGGGTAGTTATACCAACAAATTTTTGCTCCTAATTTGAGTCCCTTTCGAAGTAACATTCATTCATTTATTTATTTCCTGTTTGTTACTTGCTATTCCTATTGCTACTTTTTGCTAGCCGGAATACCGGAATGCATCGGCCATGTACCATCAGGCAATTGACACCGGATGAACCTTCCACATCTGCATCTTGTAAGTATATTCTAAAACAAGAAAAACAAAAATCACACAAAAAAAAGAAAGAAAGGAAAATGAATTTAAATTTTTATTTTATAATAATTTTTCAGAAATTTTAATTCAACATAATTTATTTATCCATTCATATTTTTAATAAATTTATATACATTTATAAAATTAATTTATTTATAAAATTAATTTACATCTATTTCATTTTCTTTTTTTTTTTCCTTATAGCTTTAGGAATAATTGTTTTTTTTTTTCTTCTCAGTAATATTCTTAAATATATTTTTCTTTTATCAGTATTAATTGTTTTAGTTAATATTGATTTTTCTTATTTCTCTCATTTTCATTATTAATTATTATTTAATCAGTATTAACATAGTTAAAATTGTTATAACTGGATTATTATTTAAACTATTTAATAATAAATCAATAAAACAAATAAAAATATTAAAATTGAAATCTGTTTGCTATGGCATACGTTTTTCCTCTATAAATAACCAATAATAGCAATAGCAATAGTAGTAGTTAGTTAGTTAGTTAGTGTAGAGGAAATATTGTGATTAAAATCTCTTTTAAAAGTTTCTCTAATTCTATTTCATTTCTCTTGATGATTCATTGATAGATAGAAATAAGTTGAAAAGAAAACGAAGTCATATATTATTGTTATATTAGTTTAAACATTTTGCATATATTAAGAATTTTAAAATATACTATCGTCATCATTATCCTTATCATGAGAATTCTTCAAAATTAGCTTTAAATGATTAATTGCTAGTAAGCATTTGAATGCTAACAAAGCTAGTTGAAATTTCACTAGACTACTACTACTACTACTACTCTTTAGTGATTAACCAACCAAATATATATATATATATATATATGTATATGTATATTTTCTTTTTCAGATGGATTCAATGATTTCCGTAATCGTTTTCCGGATTTATGTGAAAGTTCTACGAAACGACAAGAAAATGTGGAGAAAAATGTAATGGGTAATCATATTCTAACAAGCATATCAAATCCATGTCTTTCAACCACTAATGATGGTCCAACTCAAATTCTTCCATTCCTTTATCTTGGTTCACAACAAGATGCAATGGATTCTAGCTTATTATCGGTAATATTTATCACTTTATCAGTTATCTAGATATTTGCTCATTTTTTTTTTATCAGTTACATCTTTTTTTTTATTACAAGTGATAGTAATAATTGCAGAAATATGGTATCAAATATGTGATAAATCTTAGTGTAAATTGCCCTGAACCAGATATACTAAAACAAGAAGGTCATTTTATGCGGATACCAATTAGTGATACTTATCAAGCGAAATTATTACCACATTTTGAAGATGCTTTCAAATTTCTTGGTAAATCTTTCTTTACTTTTTCTTAATTAATTTTCAAATTTCTTTATTTTTTATTAATTAGTTAAATGATAATATTTGATTTTTTTTTTTTTTTTTTAAATTAATTATAGAATGAAATTGGTTTGCAGATAAGGTATGTGAACGTGGTTCTGTAGCATTAGTACATTGTCTTGCTGGTATTTCTCGAAGTCCAACATTGGCTATCGCATATATGATGAGACGAAATAATTGGACATCTGAACAAGCATATAGGTTAGCTTCGATAGCAGATATCACAAATGATATCGGCTATTTATGATCTTAAAATTACTACTTTAGGCTGGCTATATATGTATATATACATTGATCGTATATTCAAAGCAAACTTGGATATTTACAATTATACTATGGCTGTCTGCATTTTATACGGAACATAAACATAAAACACGTATATCGTGTAAAAGTATCACGTGCGTAACAGCATCTTGTGGATTTACGAATGGTTACGTACACGTTTATACGGCACGCAAGATATGCATGTTAATTGTACAAACGTGTACGATAGCACCGTTCAGTTTATGGATTTGACATGGTTATGCACATGTTCATCATATGCGGCATCAGAAATATTTATATTTCCTAAAAAATTATTCTTTTTCTGGTCCAAAAAAGAAAAAAAAAGTTTTTCTAGTTTGATGAACTCGAATAATTTGCAGGTATGTGAAGGAACGTAGACCATCCATTTCACCGAATTTCAATTTCATGGGTCAATTATTGGAATATGAGGCACGATTACGAGAGAAAAATAATTTAAACTTATCGTCTAAATCCAGCGAACATGACGAAGAATGTCGAAATGACAACAATACTACCGTTTCGACATCTTTCTTCACATTGTCCTCTGTTTCAAAATCCAACTTACCTGGTGATATACGTCCAGTTCAGGTGATCTTGAGATGCTTCGCACAAGCAAATCATATTTCATTCCATCTATATTCAGATTAGACTATCACTACTTTTTCTGTCTTAGATGATTCGTTCATTCATCATTGGACCCTCAAAATATGTTTTTTTTTTTTTTTTATGTGGAAAAACATGGAAAGAAGATGATGGAAATTATAGAAGGTAGTATGTCTATGAAGCTTGTGTTAAAATGAGATCGAATATTTCAAAAAATTTTACATTGTATCAGTAAATCAAGAGTTAGCTTTAGAGTAGGAAAGAGTAATACTTTTTTACTGAAATAAAATAGACTAGAATATGTTAAATTGGTATGTGTTTAGGAATGTGATAACACCGAAAATATTTCAAAATTGGGGAAATCGATCAGTTGTGATACATTATCTCAAAGGATATCATCATATAAACCACAAAATTTTTGGGATAACGATTGCAGTCGGCCATCTTCAAAGACTAACGAGAATGGTAAGCGTGTAATGGAATCAACATGTCAACATTTATTGGATCGACCAAGAGTTTTGGATGGATTAAAATCTAGGAAAGCTTTAAGCATACCAGAAAAAGTAAATGAGGTATGATATATATGTTAATGCAAATTAAAAAAAAAAAAAAAAAAAAAAAAACAGCTTCTTTAAAATTAATTGAAATGAATTAAGAAAGCATAATATTTTTCTTCATTTATTCTTTATCTATTTATTCCATTAAAAATAATCCTTGAAAAGCTTTAAAAAAAAAAAAAAAAAAAAACTCTTTTCTTCACCCTTTGATTATTTTAATGGATAATTTTCTAAATGCAATTAACAAAAACATCACTAATTATCAATTGTTATAGGATTTACCATCACCATCAACAGAACTACAAAAATTATCATTTACACATTCATCGGATATATCTAATTCTGCATCAAATCCACTCTTTCTGAGTACTAATCATATGGATGAATCTAATTCCATATGTATAAATTCTACAATACTATCAACATCACAAATTGATCATTATTCAGCTGAAAATTTCACATTTAACTCATGTGATCATTTATCAATTCCATCGACATCATTATCATCACCATCACCATCATCATCATCATCATTCAGTACCTATAATCGAAATAGGAATCATCGAATAACAATGGGTCATAAATTTTTAACACGTATTAGTCATTATCTTCGAAAAGGAACAACTTATCAAATGAAACATACTAGAAGTATTACAATTGGTGGTAATATTGCTAAAGATAATATTATTGGATGTAGATCAATTCTACCATCATCAATTCCTACTTATTCTTCGTCATTATTAATTAATAACAAATGTGATGCATCATCATCATCATCATCATCATCATCAAATGCTTCAATTGATGATATGTTACGATCGAATAGTGTTAATTCTTTGGATAAGACTGATAAACATGCAACAGCTTCAACAGCATCACGTACACTTCAAACGTTACGTAGACGACGAATGTTAGAGCAACAACAACAACAACAACAGCAAGATCATTCTCAATTTATCAATGTTACAGAAAGTAATGATAATGGTGATAGTAATGCTAATGCTAATACTACAGAATCAATTCTCGAATCATCACGAACATTTCGTGAAACTGATCGTGATTCTATTAGTTCTGCAAGTTCTTTAGAAATATTAGTTCAATAGTAACCATAATGTTTTCATGTTTGATAGTCATTTGTTTTTTTTTTTTTTCTTTTTTTCATCTTAATTTAGAATATTAATTGGATATAAATATTATTCAAAAAAAGAAAACTATGGAATAAATTATACGGTAAACAAATGAAGTATTGTTAATTGTTTAGTGATATGATTCTTTTTTTTTTTTTTTTTTTTGGATCAAAAAATTTGAAAAGATTAGTTATTTGAATGATAATTTTAGCTTATTTTGAATTTTTTTGTTTAATACAAAATTTGTTTCTTTTTTATATTCCTATCTAAAATTTTTTCTGATATCATCATAAATTAACATAATTACTTAGCAAACTGAAAAATAGAATTCTCTTTTTGTAATGGAAAAAAAAAAAAAAAACTGATTTTATTAGCTATTATCTTTTTTTTTTTGCTTTTTGTTAGCCTATTTGTTTAGCTAATTAAAAAACGATAACTTTTATTTTTTTTTTCTCCTTCCATCTTATTATAATCTTTAAAATTTGCATACAATACCAAAGCTATTGTTGTTAATATTATTTATGAATATGAAACTTTTTGCTAGCTGTAGAATTTTTCAATATTTCAAAAGAAAAACGAAAAAAAAAAAAAACTAAGAACAAATAATTGTTAGATTTATTTGATGTTTTGTCATCATTGTTATCATCTCAAAATTTTAAATGATAATACATTGTATTGTTGAAAGCAAAGAAAAAAGAGAAAAGAATGCAAATATTTGCATATCAAAAGGAAAAGAAAAAGTTAGAATTTGAAAAATGATAGCCAAAAGTTTATAATCATTAATTTTAGTTTTAATTGTAGAAAAATGAATTTCCTAATATTATACTATAGTATCATTTTGGTTAATTTTGTTTCTTCTTTTTTTTTCTTTTTCTCTTTCTCTCTCTCTCTCTCTCTCTCTCCCTCCTTCTTATTTCCTCCTTTCACTTTCATGATATTATTGCTATTAAAAAAGGAAAAGACTAAATTGTATGAAACAGTATATCAAATATGAATTCATTCAAGCAGGAATTATTCCAAATTTAGGCATTCATTTATATTTATAATAATAATAATAATAATAATAAAATAATAATAATAATAATGATAATACTAATAATAATAATAAAGAAAGAAAGTATAATAATCATATTTGGATGAAATATTTCATTTCATTGTATTCAATGCTTCATTCAAGAAAAATAAACAAAAAAATCACCTCGAAATGATTTGATTCGTTGTAATTTTATACAAAATTGAAATAGTGCTTTCTTGCTTTTTATTTTATTTTGGTGCTTTCATAAAATATCGAAATGTTTCCTTTTTTTTTTTTTTTTTTTATTTTCTAATTTTTTCTTTTTTTTAAAGGAATTATTTCAAATGCATTCTATGTTTATTGTGATAATAGCATTTGGCACCAATTCAAAAGACATTTCATTTCCTTTTCCTTTTTTTTTGTTTGAAGCAAAAAAAAAAATAATTGACACTGAGAATTATAACACTGAGAAAATTTTACATCAAATTTTTACAACAAATTTGATCATAATGATTTTGCCAATAAGATTTTGGATTTTATTATTATAGCAAAAAAAAAAAAAAAATCTTTTTTTTCCTATGATGATGAATTTCCAGAAAAAGAATATCTCATAATGCTATAAGTTAGTTAGACAAAAAATATGAATAAGTTGTCTTGCTGTACCAATATATGTATGTATGTGTTTATCATTGCATTATTTATTCTCGAAAGACAAAATAAGCATGAAAGTTGAAATAGTGCACAAGTGAAACATAAACAGTACGAAACAAACAACTGAAAGGTATGAGTGGCATATTCACATTCATTTTCATTACCTAAGTTGAAAGTTGAACTTCGTATAGACCCAGAAAAAAACAAAAAAAAGAAAATCCTGAGAATTACATTTTTTTGCCAATTACCATTTTCATTTCCTTCCTGAGGTCTTTCTTATCATCTAAAAAAAAAAAAAAAAAAAAAAAAAAAAAACATAAGTGATTAATTTAAACAACAGAAATTAAAACAAACAAACAAACAAACAAAAGTCTATACACAGATTGGAAATTGTCCATTTTGCTATTTAATAATAATCAGCATGACATTTATGATAAAACAACAAATAGCCTTGAGATGAAAGGACTCGTTCCGTAGGTACTTTTGTAACTTTTTGATCATCACATTGAAACCACTGATTACGTTGATGCCGGATGTAACATGTATAATGACCACTTTCCATCGTACCCAAATGATTCACAACTGCAAACAGTTCGTATCTGAAATAATTCTCTCTATACATAATTTGACTATTGATATCAGATAATTACATACACACACACAAAAAAAAAAAGAAAATTCAGGATCATTTGAATTTAAAAAATTCCATCTACCGAACAAATGCTAACAATCAAAATATTACACTTTTGTAGATGAAACATTGCAAATAAATAACACTATCAACAGGTCAACCAACTATCATGTTAACATTTTTAATTCAACGGAAGTCCTAAAAATGCACTTCCTATCGTCCTTTAATAAAAACTTTACCAGCTAATAGAAAATTATCCTGTATACCTCCTTCATTTAATCTAATAAATTGATAAACCAAAATGCTAATGCCAGTATATATTATTTCCGGTAATAAAATCATACTTATTTCGATTTGTTGTAAGCAAATCGGTGACTATACTAGTTCTGCTCTCTGGAGCACCGCTGGAACGTTCACGAAATGAAGCCGTGAACGGAGTCATATCAATAAATTGAGGATATTTGATTTTTGTGTCCATTTTCTTCCGATCTTTGTGACTATGCTCAAAACGCTTCAAATGAAAGCAGGCAACCATTGGAAGAGTTTTTAAGGTGAGTTGCTTCGTTGACTCTTCGTATGTTTCACAACGAGCACATTTGGTTTTTGCATTACTTCCCAAATGTTCGGGCATTATATACCTGAAAGTAAATCGTCAATTTCATGATCTACATTAATCTCAATTTACAAAAACTTTAACTTCTATTTCTACTTTTGTTTATGTATTAGATAGAGTTGGTAGTAGTTGCTGCTGCTGCTGCTGCTACATGCATCTATTCTTCCCTATTTTTGGAAAAAGAAAAATGACTTACCTATGTAAGCAATCTTCCAAAGTAATTTGTTGTGGTGAACCAGAACTACTGCTGGGAGAACGTAACACTTCTTGAGCCACATCAAGTGATATATCCCAGAATGGGTCAACAGTTGTTGATACACATCTAAATATTCCTGTTAAACTAATAATCTTACGTTTCACTCTTCTACATGCTCACTAAGTTGTTTCTTCTCAAATAACTTTTACTTTTTTTTAAAAAAAAAAAACTAATCAATAACATCACATAAGCATACCCACAAATTGAGCATGTGAGATCAGATTGTAATTTGCCGGTAAAGATCCAATCAATAATACAATTACATTCATTTGGCGTTGAAGGAAGTGAGCTACCTGTAATAATAGCTCTTAAGAAACCAGTCGTAAACTAATAAAATCTGGTAAACTCATAAAAAAAAAGGACTAACTTCCGGAATGTCGATGAAGTACATCAAGGGCAGCGATAAAGAATTCATGTGCATCCTGTTGTTCGTAGCCAGCCAAATGCCTTGCATGTGTCCAGACAAGATTCAGAAATCGATTTGGCTTGTAAGGTGTTACATCACCTTTGTAAAACTCCTAGAAACATCCATAATAATAAGCTGACAACAATAATATGCAAAAAATGTGAAATTTTATCAATGACATTTTACCAAAAATTGATTGAAGTAAAACAGAATCATTTTAACATATTCTAACTTTTCACATAGCAAATACTTGGATAAAATTGTTGCAGATGCAATTCGCTTATAAAAAAAAAAAAAAAAAACCTTCTAAGAGATAATTCTATCAGCAAAAGAATTAATATAAAAATGGAGAAAGATCTAAGGAATGCAAACTGCAACAAATTTTTAGGGAAGAAAAACAACTAAATTCAATCCATTTCTGCTAAAAACTAATTTAATTCATACCCGCTCACTAAACCAATATCAATCCAGGCATAATGAGTAATAGATATGAACAAAACTTATCATTGAATATAGAATTACCTGAAAAGTATTAGCAAGTTCACACATGAGACACTGAGCTTTGCTATGTGATGACGATGACGCACAATGATGCTGATCAGTAAGGAAATAATCCTTTAAATGTGGAGTATGTACAATAGCTTGTATAATACAATTCATGAAACACGTATTCCCTAAATTCACCAATCCACGTAAACCTATAATGAAAACTATGTCGTAAATCATAGTTCCAATATTTGCAATAAATGATAAATTAGGTTAGTAAGCACAAAATTTAGACAATTTTAGACATTAATTTATAGTTTATATCATATTATATGATATAGTTGCATAATGGTTAATAATAATATTACTTGCTAGATAATACCATAAACTAATATATTTAATACTGAAATTACCTCTGATACTACTCCTCGAAAATCGAACCATTCGAGTTGGATCATCATGACATACATCAACAACAGCTGCACCTGGATACCAAATACTCCGAGTACTTAAGTTTAATGATCGTCGGCAACCATTTTCGGCATCACGTCGAGCATCCTCCATACCACGATCGTATACAAAATCACCACATTGGTAACAATAAATAAAACCTGTTTCAACAGAAACCGCTGCAAATAGAGAAAAAAATATTTTTAAAGGATTTCACTTCACAAATGAGAATTATTAGTTGTAGAAAGCAGGAAAATTACCTTACCGAAGAGATGCTCTTTGGCTGCCATATGATCGTGTATATGTGTTAAACATGCAAATGTTGAACATTGACAACATGCGCACATTAATGCATTCAATCGTGTTTTACACTGAATACATCTAATATATCTAGCCTGCAAATAATTACTGTTCTTACTGAGAGTAATATAAACAATGAACAGATAAATAATTACTGACAGTAATATATGAAAAATGAATAGAGCAACCGAACAACTTTTTAGTAAAATAGAAAAATTATTGCTACAATGATAAATCTCAAAATTAGAAATGTATTCAAAGAATTTATACTTTAACCATTTATTAATAAATTAAGCTTATGATATTAATAAATAGCTAAAAATAAATTGAAAGATTAACAAAATAGCATATGCTTACAATATCTTTTACTCAGCAATATAAAACATTAGCAAATGAACTGTTCTTTCTACTTTAGTAGTATCATATCAATATTTGAATTAGATTTGCCATAGAATTTTAGTATATGTAGTTGACTTAATCCTCAATATTATTTAACTTAAAAATCATCTTTTTTTTTTAGATCAGAAATTTTTGAAGCAGTTTATACTTCTCACGACTACATAGTTGTCATACATGGAGAAATGCCTAATCTAATTATATATCATTTCCAATACAGAAACATGTTGAAATATCAAATATACTTCATTACTATATTTTTCAGTACACTGATCAATCAATCAATCAATCAATCGATCAATCGAACATTCAATTAATCAATCAGACATCAATTAAAACTTACATGAACTTCTCGTGCTTTAGCATTATTGGGAAATATAACTGCATAAACAACACTATTAAGGGTTTTCGATAACGCTCGCTGATTTATACCAATGTGTTTACATGGACTATTCATCGATCTCCTGAAAGTATATCATTTTGATATAAAGAAATCAGAATTGATATTACTTGAACTATTGGGACAATTTAAATTTGTAGTTATTTGTTTGCTTCTTATTGCTCCAGTGCTGTTGCCGTTATTGCTCTCGACTTTCTTATACATAAGAACAGTTAGAATTCAAATTAATTTAGCTTTCAAAGAGTTTCAGTAAACAAATAATAAGGAATTCATATAACTGCCATAAAAAAGGCAAAATCTTAATTTCCCAGTTTAATGCGTGCGAATATTGAGAGAATTGATATTAGTAACGTTTATATAATATAAGGCACAATGCTCTAAATTGTAAAGTAAAGGGGAACAATGGAAGTAAGTGCGCGATTTAAGCTGCCATATGATGAAAAAATGGCTCCAAAATTGTTCATCGTTATATTAGACTGAGAAGAAACAATTGATACTACCGTACGAATGAGGTAAGAAGCTTCATTCTCGACAGCAAGAGTCGAACAACGAATCGACCTAAATAAGCACTCTTAAGCAGCAAGTTTCCAGTCTGTTTTATTATCAACCATTTTCATCCAAAAATGTAAAAAATAAGCACTGATGTAAGAAAACATTGATGTATTAAGATGTGATGCCAAATTAAAATATCACAATTTATTTTTCTGCAACAACAATTATTCCAAATGTAAATATAGCCAACAAGTAAAAAACAATGGCAAGAATGCGACAACACTTTAATAACTTAACTATACATATCTTACTAGAATTAAACAAAATGACCTTATCACACCAAATGTAATAAACAATGGCTACTGTCATGACATCTGCAAACCATTGTAAACCTGAAATTTCAGATCGGAATAGCATCTTTCTTAACACATCTAGTGATGAAACTACAAATTTCAAAAAAAAAAAAAAAAAAACGAAGTAAAGAAGATTGCCATCAGTTCTTGCCTAATTTACTTAGCAGACAAAGTACCCCTAACCTCAGTAAAGACAAGAATTTTACCTCTAAGCTATTTGAAAATGCCGCTAAGATTAGTATAATATAAAAGCATACTTTTGGCTGAAAAGATTCTTGTTTCAGTAGTGTTTCAACAATTTCTTTCTGCTCAGGAGTTAATTCTCCACGAGGAAACTCGACATCAACGGTTATATAGAGAATCCCTTTCTTATTATTATTGGAATACGAAGGTAATCCTTCATCCTTTTTTCTTATTTTTGCACCTGGCCAAGTTATCTTTTCGCGCGCAACCTATAAAATAGACTAGTCATTTGAAACTACGGCAATTTATTTATATTTTATGGGGATGGATTAATCAAAAATATCCTCCATAATCCTTTACAAGTACCTTTTTTTGGCAAAGATTTAAACACATATTACATTTGCAAAATTTTATTTAAAAAACGAAGAGTTTATGCATGATAACAGCTAATTTGCAAAATTCTACGATCCAACTGACAACATTTCACTAACAAGGAATGTGTTGTAACAAATAATGAAAGGGAGGTTTCAATAAGACTAAGAATGAAATACCTAATATTTCAATATAATATGAAATGTAAAACTTATTTAAAATATTGAATCTGAAGATATATTCAAAGCAGAGTAAAAAAATAAATTTTTAGCTTACTTCAACTTTATGTCCATCAAGATGGGTTATTTCCGTTTTAAAGCCCTTTAGTGCACTTTCCAATGAAATAGTGATGTTAGTGTATAGATCCAAACCACGTCGCTCAAAAATTGGATGCTTATCGATTTTGATTACAAACTTCAGATCACCCGGTTCACCCTCAATATGTGGCTCACCTTCACCTACGAATGTTTGCACATGTCCTTCATCCACACCCACTTCAATCTCAACCTAAAATACTTTAGAAAAACATAAAAATCATTTACATTCATTTGAAAAAAAAAAGTGTAAGTGAAGGAAGATTCATCCAATAATAAATGAGAACTGAAAAAAAAAGTCCGATGATTAATTATATCACGATAACATTTATAACAATAAATTAAAATGATTGAAGAATAAGAGTCTTTTACCTGAAAGAACTGATTCTACCAAATAAATGACTTAATAATATCAACAGTAATATTTACATCCCTTTTTTCTATTATTAGTGACATGAATATATAAGGTGTGTTTCTAGGATCAAGATAACATACCTCAAGAAAATGCGTTTCTTGCACCAGCATAACATTTGGACATTCATCACAAATTTTCACTTGAAACATCTGGAATCTACCAGCACCCAACTGCTCGGTACGCATTTCATGACGACAGTTACATTTTCTTGTACCTGATGTCTGTTTGTATAATGATTTTACCCTGTAATGACATGAATTTTCCATGAAAGTCCTCAGGATAATAACTCAAAATGCATTTCTGACAACATATTTCATATCCTTTTTAAACACCAATCAATCTACTATACTTTACCAAATTCTAATAGTTACTGCATTTAGTCAATAACGAACTCATATAAAGTGCACGAGGCTTATAAAATTCATTATTAAATTATTTTCATAATTACTTTGAAAATGTAAAAATTTAATTATTCGTCCAATGTCATTAAAGAAACAAGAAAGAAGATTAAAACAATATTTTATGAACCTTTTTACTTCTGCAAAATTTCCATTATACACTTCTTCGAGAGTAACCCATAAGTCCATAACCACATCAGCACCACGAAGTGTTCCCTCTTCACGGTGTCTGCTACGAGAGAAATCTCCAAAGAATGAGGAAAATGGATCGTAGAAATTTCCGCTGTCACCATCACCTGCATTTTTCAAGCCTTCTTCACCATGAAGATCATATGTTTTCCTCTTCTCATCATCGCTTAAGACCTATAAATAAGCTACTAGAGAACAGTCCTAAATTTTGATGCAACATTTATCTATATGAATAATAATATCATCAACAACAAAAATATTGGACAATAATCCAATAATTACTTTAGCCAAAATGTAGGAAACAAAATTCACATGTTAAAAAAAAAATACACTAACCTCATAAGCGGCACCTATATCTTGGAATTTTTCCTGTGCCAATGGATCATTATTTCGCTTATCGGGGTGGAATTCTTTAGCAAGTGTTCGGTACGCTTTCTTGATTTGATTGCGACTTGCACTACGTGGCACTTTTAAAATTTTGTAAAAATCTCGTCCAGCTGATATCAGCATTAGCTGATGAAAAAGACACAGTGGTAGGAAAAAAAATGAGAAATCCATTAGCTCATTACCCGTTATCCGAAATATCCAGATAATTATCGAGCAAGTCTGTGTGATTGATTAATAAATAATTACTACAACATTAACACCTAAAATAAGATATAATCTGCATGTGTTGCATTTGAGCAATAAATCAATTACGATTACTTGTCCATTCCGTAATAATACAAAATTCCGGTACAGTATTTCTAATGATGGAGAAGAGCATATACGAGCGATACTAACTACGATTCCCTGAAACTACTTATTTCTTTTTGTCATTATCGAACTAATATCTGCCTTTTTTTAATGATGCTTTATTTGTAACATTCGTTCAAAATCACTAACACAATAAATGCATAACACACACATATCATAAATTTCATAATGTTCAAAGCATATATTTCGAACAAATATGTTGGAATTTACATGATAAAAACAATATTTTACACAATTAAATGACAATTATAACGTTAAAAAATTTAAATTCTGACACACACAATAATATAATAATAATAGCAATAACAATAATAAATTATGATGACGTGTCTAAACACTCTAATGTAAATAAAAGCACACAATTTAAAGAGTAAAAAAAAGAAATGCAAATATCAAAAAATTTCAATCATTGATTATAAATCAGAAACTGAGCCCTCCATCAGTAAACAGCTTGTTACTCGTCAGCATAAACAATATTTTACAGTATCGGTACTATCCGTATAACATTGACAATATTAAACTCCACCCTATAGGCTATTTCGTTAGGCGGTGAATGATTTCTTTTTTTTTCTTCTTTTTTTTTATTAATTTATTTTTCATTTTAAAAAATATTTTCATTTAAAAAAAAAAAAAAATAGTAGTATAATTTACTTTAAATTATAAACTATATAGCATTTTTTTGTCACTCATTTTTTCAAATTTTTTTCTTCCTTTTTTTTTTTGTATTTTAAAATATGATGAAAAAATTTTTTAAACTATTAAAATGAATAAATAAGAGAGAGCGTTATAAATTTTTTATTACTAAATTTTGTTTAACATACATATGACATTATTTTGTAAGTTATTAGATAGCATTTAATTTTCATTTTTTTTTTCCATTTATTAAAATAAATGAGTAAGAAAGAAGTTTGTAAATTTTTCATTCATATATTGACTTACGTATGATATTATTCTATTATTGCTCAAACTACACTTCTTTTTTCTTTTCTGATTTTGAATTTCAAAATAATAATTGTTTATTATAATTTAATGAAAAAGAAAAAAAATTTATGAAATGTGTTTGTTCACGTTGTGATCTAGTGAGAGTAGCATAATGGAATGTCCGTGAAAAACGGTCGCCATAGGTTGGTTGATGGATGTATGATTGGGCGTAAGGGATTATACGCGATGTGTTGTCTGATTTACTGGTAGACGATGAGAAACTAAGTGGAATAGCGCAAATAATTGAATGATAAGTGATAAGGACAAGTGATAAGTGATAAAATATGACAAAGTGTAAAAAACATTATATAAGTTATCAATGTGTCACTTTTATTCCCGAGATAAATGAATGATTTTATTCTTGCTGCCTCAAATGTTAGTTTTAACTTGGTGAAAAGAGAAAGAGGGAGAGAGAATGATTATTATAATGTAACTGAAGGTATATTTGATTAAATGGTAAAGTGAGGAGTGATAAGGTTTGAGAAATATGCAATGAGTATTGCTTAAGTTATGCAAATGTTAAGTTGTTGATAATTGATTTTGATTATAGGTTAGCAAATATTCTTTTAGATATACTTTAATATTGATTTAGTCGATAAGTAGGGAATAATATGGTACTTAACAATGTGTTTGTGTAAATTACTTTATAAAATTATTAATGCTAGGAATTTTTTATTGATGAGATACCTAGTAATATTTTTTGATTAATTGGTAAGTAACCAATGTTAAATATTTTGCGGTACTATTCGGCGCACATTGTTTATTGGTTCTCCACAACATGTGCTACTAATTTGTAAATAATTACCAATTAATGAATTGTATTGATGAATAATGTGCAAATACTGGTAATGAGTATGGTATGAATAGTTGATAATCCAATAATTTAAGCTTTGCTAACGCCTTTTCTACCTAGCATGTGTGTTGTTTTCCCAAATTCTTTTGAATTCATAAGTTTTCCTTATTAATTTCTTAACCCTCTCCAAGCTATATTCCAGATTTTTACAACAGATGCGTGTTTATGGAAATAAGTTATTTACATAGTTACCGAAAATTGCGTCTAATTCGTAGCAATATGTGTGCAGTAATGAATTTTCTGCATTTTTTCAGAAAAAAGAGCGACATTTTTGATAGAATTAGAAGGGAATGGTGGCGGCAGATCCAATATTAGATGAGAATGTTCCGGAGGAACCGTCCTTTTCAGACAGCGAATATGGCTTTGTAGAAAGCGCAACTGATGAAGGTATAATATAATGTTCTCTATATAGAGGACAAATTTCACGAAAATGCTTGCTTAGGTTCGATCGGGTGGAAGAACCTATCTTTTATCGCTTTTAATTTTTTTCTTTGTTCTAGTTTATTTTATAGAGATGAGACATTCTAATAATCTTTTTCAACTGCATTATCTAGATATTTTAATTGTGCCTTGAAAGGTAAAGAAAATATGATTGTCGAAGAGGTCAGCATTGTAGTGCTCACTACATGTATTGCGGAGGAGCGCCAATTAGCCTTAATATTTGTTTGAAATGATTAAGTATTTTGGGAATTTTCAGAATTAGTTGGAGATATATTACGGAAGAGGCCGTCTTTGAGTGAATATGACCACTGTTGCATAATAGTTTCCGGCATACCGATAGTCGGTGAAAATCGTTTATCGAAATTAAAGAGTGTACTGGGTAAAATTTTCGGCCGGATCCATCCAGAATTCAATGATTTCTATCCAGTTGATGATAATGGTTTTACAAAGGCATGTTGCAATATAAATATTTACCTAGTCATATTAAGTCTAAAATCAAAAACCAATCAAAATTTTCAAAAGTTGTGATGTAAGAGTTCTGACTGTGAATGGTCAAGGTTTCCTTCGAGTGATAGTGTAAATGAAAGTAATATCAAAGTTTTTTCTTGTAATAAAAGGAATCATATGTTAACCGTTGTAACCACTTGTTTTATTTCATTGGATTGGAATGAAAAAATACTTTAGTATCATTACAAAACCATTTTCTTTGCAAAAAGTATGTGCCAAAATTAATTCTGTATTGAAACTATAATTAGTGTAAACGGATGATGGATATGGAATATATTATATATCAAGTCTTAAGAGCAAAAAAAATCATTTGGTATTCATAATCCGATCAAAATTACTTAGAAAGCCTTAAAATTTTATAGTGCATTTCAGGGCTACTGCTTTGTGGAATATCCTGGGAGCGAGATAGCCGAGAATGCTACAGCAATATTGCATGGTTATCTCCTCGATAAAAATCACACATTTTCGGCTAATCTTTTTAATGATTTGAATAAATTCGAAAAACCAGATGAAGATTGGAAACCATTAGAACCTCGACCATATAACAACATTGTATCGTTTTTGTATTTTTTCCATTTTAACTTGTACATGAATGTATAGGTTCATATTTGAATTCTTAGTTGTATAAATGGAATGAGTTTCTAGGGTGACTTATGGTCTTGGTTACAAAATGAGAAATGCTACGATCAATTTGCTGTCCATTATGAGCGTGACGCACAAGGCTCTAAGTATGGCTCGACATCGCCGTTTGTCGGAGTTTACGAGTACCGAAAAGGACAAGATCCTGTGCCTGTCACGGAACGACATGTATATTTTACATAATTGGGCTTTCTTTATTATACTTTGCTAAAGAATGAAGATTAGATTTTGTTTGTTCATTAGATTAGTTTTCACTTATAAGTATTCTTTATTGCTGAGTAATTAGTGAACAGATATTATTTGATGCTATTAAAATAAATTTCGTTTCAGTATTGGACTGAAACAGTATTTAGGTGGTCTCCCAATGGTACTTTCTTTGTAAGTGTTCATCGTATGGGTATTGCATTATGGGCAGGAGCTAACTTCGAGCGTTTTGCTCGTTATTCACATGAAAATGTTATAATGCTCGACTTTTCGCCATGTGAAAGGTATGTATTGAAGGTGTTTTTCGAATATTTAAGCAACCATAAATCTAGGCACATTATCCAGTAATGGTTGTCAAGGAAATTTCTCTTTTTTAATATTGATTCTTACAAATTCTGTCGGTGAGAATATCATGGAGGTCTTGATCTGAGTTTTTGCAGCTATAGTATAGGAGGCATAATTGAATCTTTGATTTAAGTTATAAAAGCAAGAAATGAACATTTCTTTATAGATTTCTTGTTACATATTCATTACCGGAGAATCGATGGGCTGATGATACTAACTCTTTACGTATATTTGACACTATGACTGGCGAAATGCGACGTGGTTTTTCGTTGCTTACCCAAGAAGGATCCAATGAATTACCCTGCTGGCCATATTTCCAGTATATTTTAATGTTATTGAAATATTTTTTAAATATTTTTGTCTTGTACGGTATCATTACTTTTGATCAAACTATAACTGGTTATTTGTAACTGTTAAAGAGAACAATGAATGTCAACCTATAATATAAGGAAAATTAAATTTGATTTTTCAGATGGTCAGCAGATACTCGAGCTTTGGGACCGGATGAAACATATTTGGCTTGTCCAGAAGCGAATGGATTTGTGGCGTGTCCGAAACCTGGTGGTAATGGAATCAATGTCTATGAAACGAGGAATTTTACCTTATTAGACAAAAAGCATGTAGTAATTGAGGGTTTACGAACTTTCCGTTGGTCACCAACACGCCCCATTCTTGCATATTATTGTGACGAACGTGTAAGTGTTTGTTTTCATCCATTAGGTGGATAAAATAATTTACTGTTAATTTACTTGCCGTTTTTGCTTCACAATGGTGGGATTTTTTCTATAAAAGTGATGTTAAGACATCAGATAATGCACCAGCGGAAATTGGTTTAATGGAAATTCCATCAAAAACGAAACTTCGTGCTCAACGGATATTTTCTGTATCGGAGGCAGAACTGTTTTGGAATAAGAACGGTGATCGATTAGCCGCACATACGGAACGTTACCAAAAGAAAAATATCAAGACATCTGCAAGTGGAGCTGTAGAAGAAATTAAGTATACAGTAAGTTTCTATGATTATAACATCTTTTTTCTCAACACTTAGTTTTTAGTATTTGAAGTCGAATATGTTGCTTTTAAATATAGCCATTCGGAATTATGAATTGTGAAGAAACAACTTTCGAAAGAAGAATGACAAGATTTGATGGGGCTTTAAGATCTTGAAATCCCTCTTAGAAATGTAGTAGTGCTTATTTAAATGAAGCAGCTTATATAGGTTAAGAATAATTTAAATGAATTATTATAATCTGATGTTATTTATAGAATCCGACTTCACATATAGAAATTTTCGATGCAAGAGGGAAAGATATCTCCGTGCTTTCGATGCCTCTTTCCGAATCGTTTATAGCATTTGACTGGGAACCATCTGGTTAAACATTTTTTTTTCTTGTTCTGTTTTCTTGTTTTTTAATCGGATTCTATTGCGAATTCGAAGTAATGTGATTATTTAACAAAGCAGTTTATATGGCTGCATATATATTAAGTGGAAATCCTATAGTTTGCCGCGTTGAGATTGCATTTTAAAATGTAGATCAAAGTGCATCTACTGCTAACCGTCCTTGATGAATATACGCGGACTGTTTAGTATTAGTCCTGAGTAATCTTTATTTCAGGTGACAAATTTTGTGTGCTTGTCGGATCACAGCATAAATCAACTCCTCTTATATATTATTTGGACACAACCAAGCATGCGCCCCAGCTGATATCGAAATTCGAACCAATGGAACGGTTCAGTGATGTTCTTTGGGCACCAGCTGGTGGTTGGCTTGTTGTTTTTTCCGCTGGTACCGCATCGGGCAACATAATGTTTATTGATAGCAACGGAACGCGACCAACTCGTACCAATTTAGTTGAATATCCAGGCTTCAATAAGGTTAATCTAGTGATATATGAAAAACTGAGCTTTTCTGTCTGGATATCGAGGATGTGAAAGGAGTGAGAAAGAAAGGACTGCAGTCATTCACAATGTTAGTCCTTTATTTTAGGGAAGTTGGGATCCTACGGGACGGTATTTTACAGCAGCTTGTACAATTGGTGGTGGAAAAGGTGATACAGGTTATCGTATCTACACTTTCCAAGGAAGAGAACTGTACAGGAAACCGCTAGATCGGCTGATGCAGTTCAAATGGAGACCACGTCTATCGGTTAAATTACCTGATGAAACTATTAAGGTGGCTTTGTATTTTCTTTTTAGTGAGAAATGACATATTCATTATACTATTTTAGTTTGGTAAAAATGTGTAACATTCAATGCATTCAAAATGTTTGGGATGCATGTTACTGATTTAAGATTCGTTTGTGTCGTTACTGGAGACTATAAGTTATTAACCGAACTTATTTATTGGTATTAATACGAAGCTCTATTTATTATATTGGTGCTGTAAAATTATGAGTAAAAATGATTACTTTGCAGATGATTAGGAAAAATTTGAAGACTACATCAGCCAAATTCGAGGAAGAAGATAAAATGGAGCGTGGAAGGGCAACGAAGGTTTTTATTTATTTATTTTTTTTTTTTTCCTTTTTTTCACTTCATGGCCTTTGTTTGCAACTTTTATTCATTTTTTTGTACTAGTTCGAATATTATATGCGTATATTCAGGAAGTGAGCGAAAAACGCAAAAAAATTATGGCTGATTTTGTCCAGATCCGTAATATCTGCACGAAGAAATTGGCAGAAGAAGCAGAGCTACGCTTACAATTGAGAGGTTTTTCCTTCAAAACGGTTTATCTACTCATAGAGTGTTTTATTGTCAAAATTTTGTGCAAAAGGAATTTGAACTATACAAATTACCGGAAATATAAACAAATTAGAACGACAATAATAAATATGGTCAGTTTCTGTTTTCCTTCATCTACTTGGGGTATCTGTTCTTTATTGTTAAAAAAATTGCAGGTGGCTTAGACTTATTGAAAACAGACAATGAAGACTTAGTGGAAGAAACTATAACGGTACCTTTAACTACAGAAAAAGTGAAATTACAAGAAGCAACAATACCTGAAGAATAGAAAAAATAGGGCATTTGTTTTTGGTCGGAAAGCAACTTCCACTTTCCGACTCTTCTTTTCTTTTTATTTTGTTACGCTGCTTACCGAGTGTTCTCGTTTTTGCATCTGTTCTTAATGTTATCAAGTCCCTTTTTTCTTTCTAATTATTTCTGCGCTGTTATGTTTACAATTTGTGGTACTTCAGTAGTACCCAGTCTGGTTACAATCCTTGGTTATTATGATTTGTGCATACCACCACGTCTAAGGTATTATAAAGCAATGCTTTTCAGTTAGATGCGTTGTGATGTAGCTTATCTGTCTGCTTACTTTTATGAGCCTGTTCTGTTATTTGCAAGACTATTTTGTTTGCTGTTCCTTGTTATGGGTACTAAAATGACATGATCTTCTATAATCCTGACATTTGTTCTCAGTATATTCGAATGAGAACCAAGGAACCAAGGGCTAGTAAAATGGAGGACAGTAATAGTAGTAAGTACATGGCACTTGCTTATATAACCTAATATCTTTCAAAATATTTGATTTTAATGAGGTAATGTAAAGCGCGAATTGCGGAACATTTCTACAATATAGTAGACTTGATGAATCACTTTCCATGAGGATTGGTATTGGTTACCTAACAAAATTAGATGATTGAACAGATGTAAAACAGCTTCGAAAGATATCATGAATTAAGCATATCGCGGCATCAGAATAAATTAAGGAAAGCTTGCGGAAAAATAAGAAGCAGGTCGATCATGCTAACTGGAATACTTGCAATGTAGAATTAGGTGGAGGTTATTGGTCGATTAATGAATTTTTTCATTTCATTTTTCACTGGTACATAAAAGGTTGAGAGAAGATGGTAGTAAAATTTATTTACAAAACATATAAAGGCACATGGGAACAATGATGCAGAAATTTTTGTTCGTGAAAATCCGGGATTTGCTACTGCTATACCTCACATTTTCTAAATCTTCCATGTTACCAAAATATAGCTTACAAAGAATTAGATCATACTATTGCTAAAACAACAACATAACAACAATAAAGAAAAAAAAGACAAGATTTCACGAAGTAGTTTGGAATGGAGATCACATGGATAAGTGGTGCACTAAAGAATATTTATTGCCTCGAAAAAGATGCAATACGTTCGAAATACCGCTCTACGCACTCTTCTAGTTGTTTTGCATCCTGAAATTAAAATAAATTATTATGAGGACATTTACGCACTGCTTTTGCCTATTGCAGGACATTCACTTTTTGACAAAACCTATATATTTTGACCTACTTCATCTCTAGCTTTTCAAACAAAACGCTTTCTACATTATGCTATTACCTTCAAACTAAACTAATAGCTTCTAAATAATTAAATTGAGAATTAATGCGACACAATGTTAAATTCATCAACTTTATTGAAAAGTATTAAATAAAACTATAGAAAATTTAAATCTCAGTCGGGTAATAATGAAACTAGCACTGTCGTTAAAAAAAAATTAATTAAAGAATGTAAAGAGATTTAGAAAAGACATAGCTTACTTCTTTTAAAGTCACATCATCTCTTTTACTAATTAACCATAATACCCAATCAATTTCTGTAGCAGGTATTAAGCAATGTGAGTTTCGAGATGTTATTTTTTTTGATTCTAAAGTTATCTTCTTTTTGAGTGTTTCACAGGCTAGATGAAGATGATCGAACATTATTAGCAAATAAGCATACTGCGCTGCGCATCGATCCTGAAATATAATACAAACCATTTAAACATGATATTGGGAACAACAAACATTTATAACTATTTACCTAGTGCAATTTCTTACACCATACATAAAATTTAAAACATTATACTTCATAACAATTTGATAGCCATGGAGGTATATGCCACTGATGCTGAAGAAACACATAGGTTACTGTCCACAATATCGTGAAATCTTCCGGACATCTTCTCATGGCTACTTCCAAATATCCTCGTAAAATAGCCCAATGTCGTTCACGTAAACTATAAAAATATGAATTTCGAAATTAACTGCGTAAGATATTTTAAAAAATATACCAAACAGTTAGATCAACAAATAATAAGATAGCTCAACGCATAAAGATAAAATCATTTGAAAAAATTAAAGCAACCTGGGTATTTTCCTCACGAATTTTCGATTTTTGGCTACCCACCACGGTTCACCTTTCGGTGGTTTTGCATCCAAATGAATACATTCCACAGTAACCGCTTTTAACAATGGATATGGTTTTAAATCAAAAACCCTGAAAAATAAGACTTATTTAATTAAACGAAATATATTTGTTATAGTTAGACAAGAGAAGAAAATGATAGAATAACAAATTCTTACTTGCTCACTTCCCAAGCATAATCAAAGAGTTTCTTCTGAATGAGTTGCTCGAAAATTTCTTCAAGTTTGATAGGCGGTGGGATTGATTTCTTCTCTTTTGGATTGTAATTTGCATCGAATAATGCCAACCGGGCTGATGATAACAGCGCCCTCTGGAAACAATAAAAATAATTTATGATGTTCTATCCAATATCTACAAAAAATAAAAAGTATCTGTTCTCATATGTATAACGTTAAGAAATTTCGTACGAAAATTCACTTTTGAAATATCATTTAGCATCCAGATAACAAGAGCATTTTTGCCCATTTTCGGCTCAATCTTCTTCTGCTCATCTGCTGTTTCAATTTGTTCCGTTGGATTCTTACTCTTTTCCTTAACAAATATTTTAAATCAAATTACTAATAAATTTCAAAATTTTCATTTAAAAAAAGATATTTAACTTCCGTAAGAATAATATTTTACAAAAAATATTTTCACTAAAGTCAGATTTCCTTATGTGATCGAATCTAAACTATCAAAAGATACCAGTGATGCTGGAAGCGTAAGGAACTGATCAGCTTCTGGCAATAACGAAAGTAAACTGACAACAATACTAAGAGCACGACTACGACGAGATAATACATTTCGATTCTGTAGTTCTGACTGTAAACGACACGAATATTCGAGCATTGTTAGTGCTGCTACAAAAAGTAAGCTGTTGTAAAAAAAAATAGTCGCAGCAAAATTTGTCATCACAAATGTAACGTAAAATATAAACAACTATAATTATAGGTCAGTTTTATAATCTGAGAACAATATTCACTATCAAGATTTCTAATATTATATAAAGAATATTCAATAAAGTTTTGCACTAATCTTTTAAAAAAGATTTATAATGCCAACTATCATTTTAATCTGACCACTAAACATAGTTTTGACTAATAATTTCACCTCGCTGAAAGAGATCGCGTTTGACATGAAATGCATAGATTAGTTCGTAGAAATAGCCATCTTTACTGATATCTGAAGTGCGAGCGTTCGCTTTCAATATACTGACCACCTTAAACAATTAGAAATGACCAAGCATAATGTAAATTACTATCAAATGCTCTAAGTTTGGAAGCAATAATTTAATTCGGTGGCACACATTACTGCTTCCTAAATTTATTGTTTGTTCCAATTAAAAATCAAAATCACAAATTGCTCTCTATCGAATATTAATAAAACAATTTTTTTCTTTCCATTTTCTATTTCTTTCACTTCTCCTAGGAAAGATTCTAGCTAAAAGTCTTGTAATGTTTCTTTTTTTTTCTTTTTTAAATATGTAATACTGACCTGCTGTTCCATATTCCCGTAATTTAAATCGACAATGACCGCATTTTTCCTTTGCTCTATTAATTTCGCTAAAAGTTCTCTCAGACATATCCGACGGTTTTCCGGAACTGGATTGGAGAGAAGGGTGTTTAAGGCTTCTTCATATCGTCCCGTAATAAGTTCAAATTTAAAAACAGACGTATATAATCCGGGCTAAAACGTGTGTGAATTTGTGTGTAAAATTGGAACAGCATAAAATTATTATGCTAATAATAAAAGACTCGTAATTTTTTCCAAGAATCTAAAAAAAGAAGATTACCAAAACTTTAGTGCGCTTCGATTGCAGTGCTTCTTTCAAGGCACGTTTTGATAAATAAACTAGCTGTTCGTGAAAACCATGTGTCTCCATGACAGACATAACCTGAAACACTCAGTTACATATCTTAATTTCGATTACCATTTGTTTGTCCAGAATTCAGGACGTAACATAAGTAACAGATGTTAAATTACTTTGTTGAGCCATTCACAATGATATTTAAACTTACCTTCAATAGATATTGCAATTCATTATATGGTTCTTCTGAAAAATTACCATCAGAAGAAAGTACCCTATTAAGCGCTTCATCTTCCCGATTAATACCTTCCACTGCATCCAAGAATGATTGCAAAGCCTGCAAATAACAAATATTTCTTGGATAGAGGTAAAGTTCAAACCAAAATGGCGAAAAAGCGAAAAAAAAATACCTTTTCTGGATCTCCCAAACCAGCAAGTGCATAGCCTTCGAAAAACCGAAAAGCAGCATACAGTTCTGTTATATAAGGCTCATTCAACTGACAATAAGCCTAGAAAAGATAGTGTTAGCCCATTCACATATCCAATTATTTAATAAATTAAAAAGTAAAAAAAAAAAAAAAAAAAAAAAAAAAAAACGAACTTGTAGTGCAGAATACTGATGATAATTAGCCAAAAACCTGGCCAATACCATAGCTGTATTTTCTGGCCAAAGAACAACCACAGCGTCATTAACAATTCTATTAATAAACTGCGAGTACGCTGATGTTGATTGTTTCAGAGGCGACACATAAGGTAACTTTTCAACACCAATACCAGCTTTGTCTTCCAGACTTTCTTCTTCATCCTCCTCCGTATCGTCTTCTTCATCTACTAATTCCTTTAAAAAAAAAAATAATAATAATCAAACTTGGTAATAACAAGTAATAACAAAAAATTTAAAATGCTACAACATTCCACTTAAAATAGCATAGTTTCACATATTCCAGTTCAAATCTACTTCAACATTTATTCAAATTGTATGAGAAACGATGGCAATAAAGAAAACTGAATAACCTTATCCTGTGAATAACTGAGTATGGTTGGAATACCAGCACTTGCGAAAAAACCATCTGCTAGACTTATTTCATTATAATTATCACTGCAATTAACCAGCTTTATTTTATGCTTTATTATTCAAATTTCTTGTTGAACTTTGAATTAAACCATCTTTTTCATCGGATCACTTAAATCAAGTAAGTTTATTTTAGAGATAACAAAAAGATGAGCACTTACATAGAAATTCGCAGTTTCATTGTTTGCGATAAGATGCTAAATTGTCGATTCATATCATGAAGTGACTTCTCATGAGTAGTAACTGTAAGCCCCCATCTGGCATCTAATGGTATTGTCTCCTGAATATAGTAAGTATGACTGTTACTTTAGCTATAAGCTTGATCCTAAAAGATCAAAATCTGGTTAAATAAATTAAATAAGTTTAAGGCATATAATGAAAAGTCATTACATCCTGAGAAGAATAGATAGTTTTCACCAATTCCATTAGAGCAATAAAACATTGGCTAAGGGCTAATCTGTCATCAATTAAACGCTCGAAGTGGGTGGCTAACAAGCCAACTGTAAACGATCCATGAAATGGCGTTTCGGCTGCTGCTAAAACAAAACATCCATTTTAGCTAACAAATTGCTAAGAACACAACTAAAAAAACAAACAATTATTAATCTTTTTCAACAAAGACAGTCATGCATGTAATAATTTGCCATTGCAGATTAGTGAGACCTATAAATGGCTGTATTTTACATGTAGTTGCATTATTCAACTTTACAAAATAGCCTCACTGATTCTGATGCTAATAAATAACATACTGTCTAATTCAAAATCATCGACAGGTCTTAATTCGGTAAATTTCCGGATTGCATCCTCAAAAATATGTGAAACGGTTGGAAATGCATTCACGAACTGTTCACTTTCTTCTACACTTACTGCACTGGCAACCTATAATGCATTTAATATAATGACGAAAAAAGAAAATTCATACATTTAGTTAATATAAGAGATTTTGTCTAAATATTAATAAGAATTTTTGGACCATAACTGACCAAAAAACAAAACACACACACAACAATAATGTAGAAGAGATTATAACATACTAGCCCTCCTATTGCAAATTTCGTAACTATTTCCCAACATATTTGCACATTCTTTTCATCATTCCCAATCAAACGTTCGAACCAGCGCAGTTGCTCATCACCCGGACGACATACGGTAAAACGGCCCTGCAATAACAAAATACTAAAATAAGTAAATCAAGCAGGAACTAACATCCAAAATCCACACTCAAAAGTAGAACTTTGATAGTAGTAGTGATATAATTAGCAAACATGCAAAAGTAATAACCATACCTGCTGTACTGTACCGTATAAACCAAGAGGAACAGAGTGCCACAGACCTAAAGAAAGACATTCATTTTGTATTAATTCATTGCACATCTTCGTAAGCGTTGTCCAGAATCGCTCTTCTGCAGCTTGATTAGGCGGTTTTGTAGCCAAGAGTGAACGGTCTTCTCGAGTAACATAATGCTGATCAAACTGTAATAGTTAAATATGTTTGTCTTCACTATGTAAACTACTTTATACATCCTGCTCATATTTTCCTTTTCCTATAAAGTCATAACTGATTTTCAGTAATAAACATAGATTATCAATTATATTCAGGATTTACAGAATAAAAAATTTGACAAAAACTAAAGTAAGTACCTCTAATGATTCGCAGTACTTTTCTGCTGCTTCTCTTAACATACGCCAATCATGTCGTCTTGCCAAAAGTTCCCAGTTGAAAGTTCCTTTTTTGCAAACTAACTGAAATTATTAGCATATGTTATTACGTGTAGCCAAAGCACACTGACAGATTTTTTTGGCTACAAAATCAGTAAATTCTATAGATGAACCATACAAAAGTTATTGAATAGTAGATAGAAACAACGGAAATGATTCGAAGAAAACACCTGAAGAGAACGTAGCACAACGCCAAAAGGATATCTGTTCGGGTCGAAGATATATGATTTCTGTGTAGCAACCGACTGTTTTGGTTTGGCTTGTAGTACACTCACCTCCGGTTCGCCACCATGGATTTCATTTACTCCTTTCCAAGGAATTGTTAATACGCCATTTAAACTAAAACATTTCATATGGCATGAAAATGATCATTTATTTTTCAATACTCATTTGCAGGTACATATATAGAAGCATGTTTTTGATTGGTAATTAACTTATCGAATGAGAGGGAAACAAATGGACAATAAAGAATTCCAGAAATGATTTCGTGAAAAACAGTAACAAAACTTTACTCACCAATCAATTGAAGCAGTACGCAAACAATAGCGAATTCCATCCGAAACTTTACATAAACAAATAATATCCAGAATATCCTCCTGCACTGCACAAGTGAAGTCCACTACTCCGCTCTATAAATCCGGTGAAATTCATAAATTGAACAGAGGATGAGACAAGTTAAATGATTCGTGTCGAAAAAGAACATAATATTAGCAAACTTACGTACTTCTGTTTGGAAAATATTGATAAACGAGAAATATCCACTACGTTCTGGCAACAGATATGGATCAATTTTCCCCAACATAAACTAAAATAATTACTATAATTAACACAAAAGTGACATGTTATCTTCAGTGGCCACTTTATACCCTATCACGACAAACTTTTTCTTCGGAAACAAAAATCGAATGCTTAAGATCTGTTAAAGTATGATTAAAGAGCATCAATCCAGCCTTAAAAAATATTGGTTACAAAAGTAAACGATCAGATACAGATCAAACTAATCTGCTTGCGATTCTCCATAATAATTCCAGCGTTATATTAACCTACTAAACTTTATGTCAGCAAAGAACAACGAACCACACAATGGTCATCAATTTGAAAAAGCACGACGACATAAAAACAGTTCTCGTTGGAGCAAGTCTTTACCATTTCCACAGTTACTAAAAAAAAAGTTTTGAAGAAGAAAACTTCCACAAGACAAAGGAAAAAAAAAAATCTTTATTTAGAGGTAAATATAAAGCAAAATACCTTGCTCGCCATCGCCTCCGTGGCTATTATGTACCATTATATCATATAAATTCCCATCGTATTCTTTTTTGCCATTCTGGAATTCATATGCTACAAGCAGATTACTTCCAACCAATGTAAGAAAAATGATATAAGCTTGGATTTCGGTACATTTAACTAACCCATCCATAGGACAATCCAACCATTGTTGTATTTACAAATGATCGACTTACTCTAACGTCTTTTGCTACCACTTAATATCGTGATTACGTATCTAGGTTACATTTTCTGAAAGTATACAAAAAGTAAACAAACCATATAAACATGCAGCCTTCTGTCGTCGAAAAGTACATAAAAGAGAATGTCATGATAAACAACACATGATGCCAAGCTAACAACCAAGCTTAGCTGATGGGCTGCCTTCATAACCCGTTGTAGTAATCCTTCGCCTCTTATTACTTTTTCGTAACCTTGAATAACTTTTTTAACGCAAATATTGTAATTTGTTGCTCATAAGTAATTCAGGCTGGCAACTTTTCATATTACGACAAAAACTTTGCATACAGAAAGAAAAACTAAGTACTGCTTAGACTTGTGGAATAAAGTAAATCAAAAATCAGTGCAACATCTAAAAGAAACCTTGGCCTCTACTTCCCGGTTCATGGCGCATTTGCACAAGAACAATTTGTCCATCACCTAGCGAATATACAGCAGATGTACCAGTACTCGTAGTATGCATGATACTTGCACGACAGGCACTTTTTGATGATGCTAGTTCGTAGCTATCATAATTGTATAGAAAGGCCTGATCTTCAGATAACTTCAGGACGGACTGAACCTGTAAATAGTTAAAATTTTCGTTTCTATTACAGAATTTTGGATTTGTCAATTCAATTCAGGTAAGCTAGGAAAAAAAAACCTTAGTCTCTACCTCCCTTCTCTTTTTTTTCTACTCTTACTTTTTTTTCAGTTTTCAGACTTATCTATTTTCTTCGAAACAAAACAGGAACATTGACTATAATCAGTATATGTAACCTTGTTCTTTTTCTGAATTGCAATTTCGAAAGTAAATCGATAAAGAGCATTCTGCGTCGGCACTAATAATATCAGTTTATTGTGTGCGAAAGAGAACTGTGTTCCAGGTATAACATTAGCAGGGCTAAAGTTGAAGCATAACGAAGCAAAGTCGAAAGGCCGTTCAACGCTTCGTTCTTCCAACAGCAACGATGATCGACTCGATCGCCTGTAATATCTGATTTGGAATTATCTCATTTGGACTGCTATCCGATCCTGTTTTCTAACACCTGATCACGCCTGATCCAAATTGCTCTTCGATCCTGATCTTCAAGAAAACCTAATATAGATCCTGATATAGATCATCTCCATCAAGAACTGCAACTAACATTAATATAAGAAACGAAACTGTCCGAAACCTAAATGCTTTAAGTATAAAAAAAAAGAAGGAACTAGCCAAATGATGAAACGATCGATCATATCCGGTACATCACGAAAGTCGTAAGACCCAACTGCAGGTTCAACCTCCTCATTGGTTAGTGTGTGCAATTCTTCACCTATTTTACAACACATTTCAGAAATACAATATATCTAGAGAAATAATTATAGAAATATTCCGGAAGCATATTTTGTAATACATCTTTGACATGTGCACAGCTTTTTGATTGCTAGGCAAAAATAAGACAGAAGTAAAATTATTCGAAAAATTTTCAAATTCAAAAGCAAAGAATAAAAAAAATTACTTGAGATTCGAATCACCCGAATAGGTTGAAATGTATAGGTTGCAGCAAATACAAGTTCTTCGCCTTTCAAACAATCTGTCATACCTGGTAGCCCTAAAATACCACATTACTAATCAAACTTATCTAAAAACTAATATTCATAATTCATTCAAAAACTAACACCTTTAAATTTATTCAAAAACAAAAAACAAAGACAAAAACGAAAAAAAAAAAAAAAAAACTCATCTTCAGATAATTCAAAAATTAACAATCTTAAGTGATTCAAAAAAAAAAAAAAGAAAGCAATCGTTAATGACCAAAAAGTTAATTAATCTATTCGAAACTAACAATCTTCGCCAATCTATTTATTAAATAATACGAAATCAAAGAATCTTATATAAAATTATCACAAACATCAATCGAACATTCCGCCAGGTATCTTTCACTAATGCCACCATGCAAATTTCATATCCCATATGTCATTGTTATCAATTTATAATATCTTATTTTACATGTCGAAGTAACAATTCAGAATTTTTATCAATTGAGAACAATATTTCTACCATACTTCAATCATTGTTTTCATTTTACAGTAATCCATCGAGAGTGAAGTAGGGTACTGTAACTTACCGTATGTTGGAATATAAGCTAGACATCGTTCTAATTCATCCAATGATATAAAAGTATGACACATGATTAATTCACTTTCCACTACCTATTAAATGCAATTTTACTACTTATTAAATGCACAATCTTTTCTTTAGCTTACTTTCAAATTTAATTTAAAATTAATATCGCACAATATTGGTATCAGCAACACTTTTATCTGTTATAAAAAGAATTGTAAAAATTAATTAATTTGAAAAAGATTGAATAAGTATATGAAAAAGTAATAAGCAAATAAATTGAAAATTTCTACTTTCTAATGCAAAAAAAAGATGTAAAATTTGAGCAACAAATTATTTTTGATCAAAAATTGAATAAAAAATTTTTTAAAATGTATAATAATGATTTTTTTGACGAAAAAATATGACTAAAAATGAATCAAAAATTTAATGATAAATTATAAACAAATATTACAAATATAAGCATTTATTCTCATAGCAATCAAATTTTTTTTTAAAACTATTTTTATATTGCATACATCGAATTTTTCTGATTAAAATTTTTAAAGTTTTATCATTTGGTAAAATTATGCACAATCAAAAAAACGATTTTTACTTGATAATATGTAAACTTTGCATTCTTACCAAATATTTTAGAATAAACCTATCGTTTAAGATTTTTCTTGCAAAAATTTTAAATAAACTTTAGCTAACAAATTTTTTGGAATATGTTTCGTTAACAAATTTTTGCGATCAATTTTTAACATTTGACTAGGAATACATTTATCCAATTACTATGATAGTTTCAACTTCTTATTTATAATATATCATACATATACTTATATTAATACTATGAAAATAATAAAAAATAATTGATATTTTCCAGTGTAAAAAAGGATATATTGTGGTATAATTTAATAAAATGAAAGATTAAAGGAAAGAAAATAAATAATATTTACTGATTGCATTGTTCTCGACATAATACATCCCGCATATTTGGAATTTTCTCGACATTGAGGATATTTACCGCGGTTTTTTTTACTTGTTTATATAAATAGATAAATTAGTAAATATATTTGTAAAGATAGCAATTTTTATTTTATATGATAAGAATAATTAGAAATTAATCATTTCTTTAAATTTTTGTAGTCATTTTCCTCGGGAAATAGCAATCTACAAGTTTTCTCTTAATTTTTTGAAATCTTATTTTTTATAATTGAAATTCTATAATTCATAATGTTATGATAAGTATGTGAAAAGTGTAATATATTTTAGCAATATAATTTTAATAATGTTGTTAATTTGGTTTATTAAGTTTTTGTATGAGCAGTATCAGTTATCTAAGATTTCTATTTTTACCTGATAAATGTGATTATTTTAATTTGATAGTTCATCAGCATATCATCATAATTTAATGATTATTATCTATGAAATATGTTATTACTGTATTATTACTGTAATCAACAACTCATTATCATATTTTATTACTATCAGAATTTTGATATATTAATTTTATGAATATTAGTAAAGTGTAATAATTGCATTATAATGTATTAACTTAATGTTTCATTATTTTCATCTTAATTGCAATGCAGTACCACTTTACTGTAATTATTATACAGTACTACCTTTCTCTCATATTCTTACGGTAAATAATTTTATTGTTGGTAAGATTTTTTTCTTTTTTTTTGATTGCTATATATTTGTGTAATATATATATTTTTTTTTGATAAAATTTTGAGAATAATAATGAATTACTTTAAGAGGACTAATTTATAGTAATAATAATTAAAATATAATTTGAATTAATAATATAATTGTTTGAATGTAAAAATGATGAATGAATGAATAATAAATGAATAATTTAAATAACTTTTTTTTCTTGCTCAATTCTAAAGTTAAAAGATTAGGCAAATACTTTAAACAATAATAACAATAAAGATTATTGTTGAAATTTCAGAATATTCATTATTAATATATTTTTTTATATACATACTTCTGTTTTATTTTGAAAAGCATATGTTGATTAATTTGCATAAAATTTTTTTATGTCATCAGTAAGTAAATTTTAAGATTGATTTTATTAAATAAATTCTGAATTAAATAAAAGAATCTATAATTTAAAAAAAAAGAAAAATACCACAATTTCTTGTGCTAAGCATATCTGATAGTATTAATTTTGTGAAGAAAGAAAGAAAGACAAAAATTGAAAGTTTAACTTTTTCATTTTAAGAAAACAAATTAAAATTTATGATATATCTTTTTTTTGGATATTCAAATAGCATTAATTTTTGCTAATGAAAAATGAAAAAAGTGATAGGCTAATTTTAAAAAAAAAAATAGAAATATGGAGAGAATAAAAAAGGTTAAAGGTTAACAAAGTTAATCAATTTTCCTTTTAAATATTGCTAAATTATTATTTCAATTTATTCTGCAAGAATTTTCATATTTCATAAATGCGAAAATATTAGCTAATCCATAGATGAAACGTTAATTTTCATGTGGACACTGTCAATTATCATACGACAAAAGAATTGTCAATGACAACTTGGCTTCTTGATATTATGACAAATTGTTGTCAAATTAGCATTCTTTAGGGTAAGAGTTACGTGGTATTTACACGTCTCTACACGTGGACGTTCCTTTTTTTTTCGACATTTTACGTAACATTTATGGATATTTATTGGGATGGTTCATTCGCTTGGTAATATCATACAAATGTAGTTAAAATATGTAAATTGCATAGTAGTAATGTTGCTAAGATTATATTTCTTTGAAATATTTTAATCAATTATCATTGATAGCTAGCAGTATTACGTATTACTTTATTATCATTACCATTGCCCATTATGAATAGATACCCATAGATTTAATTTAATTTTATTCAAGTAATTACTGCATACTTATTTTTCATTTAATCATAATAAAATTGTTTCTGTTTTCTTCTGCTCATTTATAGTTTACACTAATCTAAGAGAAAGGGAGAGAGCGTGTGTGTGTGTTTGTAATATAAGGAGGTAGAAATTAAAAGGATAACAATGTCTCTGCATTGTTATATATTCGAAATTATTCTTATACATGACTTAATAAAAAGTAGCAATAATTGCTGCATATGAAATTGATGAAAAAATTATGTGGCATAGTTTTTTTTTTTTTTTTTTTTTTTTTTTTAATGTTTGATTTGTTCCTCCTGATTGTTCGTTTTATCCCAGTAATTTGTGGTTGAGGTAGGGTTGATTTGCCGCTATCATTCAGGTAATATTTATTTCGATCTCGCATTGAAGATTTATACGATTTATATGGCACAATAATATGTGGAATGGATTCAGGAAGTGAACTACTGTTAAGCCTCTCTTTCCGAACAACAATTATCATCTCAGACATCAAACGTGATAAACGAACAGCCGGCTCACCTGACGAGGATATATACTACCTCGCAAGGTTTCTTATTTTTTTTATACTTTTTGTTTTTTTTTTAGTCTAGTATGTTTCAACAAGAGGTGATTTTTTTTTTTGAAAAATGAATACGACAATTAGGAGGAATAGCAGTTTTTATTCTTCTCTGTTTTAAGATATTATCTCAATTTTATCAGTCTCCTGGTTGACTTTTTCGGTAAAACATTTCAATCAGTGCACAGAGGTTTTTTTTATACCTGTGGGTTTCGGAATATATTCCATCATGATATTTGCTTCTTTTCATACTATACAGTTTTCAGGTCGACTTTGTGTTTAAGTACTGGATGCGAATATTATTTGTAGAACATAGTAGATAGTACATTGTAAACACGCTGTGTAACATTGAAAACAGGTTTTCGAACTGGGAAAATTTTTTTTTAGCTGCAGGTAAGAAATCATTAACTTGCATGAGCTGCGTAAATTTAATATTTCTACATTTCAGGTGGAGTAGAGGCGAATGGTAAGAGGTGCTCGTATTTTCGACGTACTGTTTAGCAGAAAGCTACGTCGATCACATGATGGAAGCACTATGGGTTGTTGTGAAGCCAGCGTTCATCATGCAGTTATCGTCATTTTCCTCGAGTATTTCGCCTGGGGATTGCTTACTGTGCCGGTCATTAATGTTTGTTTTTAATTATTTATGTTCATTTCGATGACCATCTTTGTGCTATGAAAACAAAATAGAGATTCATGATGATATATGACAAATTTCTTCACATGGTCTTGGAGAACAACTAAATCAGTATGTATTTTGAATGCTAAAAGCTCTTTTATTGAAAGAATGTGAAAAATGGAATAACTTGTGAATGATAAAATATATGAACGATTTGTTGATGTTGTATAAATCACAAATATATAAATAAATTGCACTTCTCAAGCTTGTCTTGAACCTTTCATTCTTTGTAGGAAACTCTTGATATAATAACGACTGTAATAAGCGAAGATAGTTGTGTTTAACAATCTTTTATTAACGTATTTTACGAGTGTAACAGAAATTCTTAATTTATTATATATGACAAAATTTTCAGGTCTTGGCTGATACATTTCCTACAAATAAGTTTTTAATGAATGGTGTGATTCTTGGCATTAAAGGTCTTCTCTCATTTCTGAGTGCTCCATTACTTGGTGCTGTATCGGATAAATGGGGACGCAAGTCATTTTTGCTACTTACTGTATTTTTCACATGCATGCCAATACCATGCCTTAAAATTAGTCCATGGTTCGTGATTCTTTATTATTTTGTATTATTAATAAAAAGTGAGAATCAGGAGGATTCGAAAGATAAAATTAGTCCGTGATTGTTTATTATTCTTTCTTGTCGCGTGAATTTAGCACTATATAAAAGTTGCAGAAAGAAGGTGGCGATGATATAATGATGGAGTAAAAATTATTTCAGGTGGTATTTTGCTCTGTTTTCAATTAGTGGCTTATTTTCAACAACATTCAGTGTTGTACTTGCATATGTGGCTGATATCACCGATAAAGCTGATCGTTCAACTGCTTATGGCCTTATTTCTGCCACATTTGCAGCATCTTTAGTTACATCTCCAGCACTTGGAGCATGGATTTCTGAATCGTGGGGTGACGATAGCGTCGTTTTACTTGTATGTGTATCGTTTCGATTTTTTCATGATTTAGTCGTAAATTTTTGGTTTCAATTATTATATGACTTTTTAATATTAGTATAATGAAAAGTGAGGAGGAAAAGGGGAACTGTCCAGTTATAATTAAAAATAATTGTAGGCCACAGTAATTGCAAGTTTGGATGTACTATTTATATTATTGGTAGTGCCAGAATCATTACCTTCCCGTAATCGTCGAGTAGTAGATGCATTTCGTTGGCAAAGAGCTGATCCCTTTGCAACACTACGAATTGTTTGGGAGGATCGTTTGGTGCTTCACTTGGCTGCTATTATTTTTTTAAGTTATCTTCCTGAAGCTGGCCAATTCTCTTGTTTTTTCGTATATTTAAAACTTGTGGTTGGTTTCACTCCGGAAGCAGTTGCCGTTTTCATTGGTTAGTATTCAGCAAACAGTTATTCTTACCTCTTTTATTTATTTATTTTCTTATTTTGAGTAAAAACGAATATGCTGATTCTTATATCCTAATCAAGTGGAGGCTTTACTTGGCAAGGATACTGTATTCCTGATATCTTGATCCTAACGATAATGGGTTAAACTAAGCAGCAATGCGTGGTTTTGTGCAGGAATCGTTTATGTTAATATATCGGCTACCCGGTGGTCTAACCTTGTTGAATGTATTGGTAACATACCATAGTATATGTTAATCAATTTATTTTGCAGGACTTGTTGGTATATTATCTGTTATCGCTCAAACCGGCATACTTTTCCTTCTTACTAACACTGTTGGCACGAAATATACAATAACTCTTGGCCTGTCATTTCAGTTTGCTCAATTATTATGGTTAGTTCCAAAAACATGGATCGGTTTTTGAAAATTTTCATATGTTTATATACATTCCTGTCTTTAATTATATGTTAGTAATATTTTGAACATTTTTAACTTGTTCAGGTATGGTTTGGGTACCAAATATTGGATGATGTGGGCTGCTGGTCTATTAGTAGCGATGAGTCAATTGATCTATCCATCAATTAGTGCATTTGTTAGTGTACACAGCGATCGTGATAAACAAGGGACTGTACAGGGTGTCATTACTGGTGTCCGTGGATTATGTCAAGGTCATATTCTTCGGCAGTTATTTTGAAATAAATAAACATCTTTTAAGTCTGTAACTCATAGCATTTTGTTATTTGTGGGCGGTTTTTGTCAAGGTTCTAAAAAAAAAAAAAAAAAAAAAAAAAAAACTTAGAGATAGTTCAGCATCTTGGATTTGAAATCTTGAATAAAAATGAAATCTTCGTAAAGGCACCAAAGACACGTAGAGTTAGGTGGACATGAAAAGTAGTGAAGAATGAAACCATAGAAATGTCTGAAAATTTTGCTCCTCTTCTATCTTTTATTTATAACCTTCATTTTACATGTGTATCTTCTTTTAGGTTTGGGCCCAGCTCTATTCGGTTTTATATTTTATTTGTTTGATATGGATTTAAATGTGGATAACGATGGTACGGGTCACATTGGAATACCCCCTTTTCCGGCACCTCGCATTCGAGTTCAACCAATTATTTCACCGCGTCGAAATGCAACTTCATTTGACAAACCAGCATTTAACTGGGTAAGTGTTAATAAGAATCTGCAATGTCTCGAAAAAGTATAAAATTCAAAGAGGCCTGGAAATATTATCAGATTCTATTGTGCATTAAATAAAATATTATTATGAAAATAAATAAAGATAATTCCAGAAGTTAATCCCAGGACCACCATTTTTTTTCGGATCGTTAATGGTACTACTTGCCTTATTTGTGAATTCATCATTGCCAAAGGTGCCGTCAGTGAATACGCGATTTTTCCGGCGTCCGAGTACTGCACATAGTCGGCAGTCATCAGACGATTCTCGTTTACTTCAGAACTCATAGTTTATCCTTAGGGTAACTTTTCCTCATAGCTCTAATATAAATTAGAATGATATATACCTATCGGCGAACAAAATAATTTAGTTGGATTGGAGCTGCTAAAGTTATTTTGCTATTTGGTTTTTCTTTCTAGCACTTTCTTGAATGAAGCTTGCTAAGGTTGTATTATAATGCATTAAATGAAAATTGTCTTCTATCAAACTAGAATTTTGTGGAGACGGTATGTGCAAAATGCCATTATTCGATTTCGATCTCGAATTATTGTGATATTGATTCATATGTACCTTCCGAGCCTGTCACAAGTACCACCGGAAAAAGGCACAACAATAAGGATTACCTTTTTTTCTTATATTGTTAGGACTTTCAGTTATTGCAGTACGGGCTCTAGAGGTATGTGAAAGTGTATCATTTGATTTTTTGCTTGTGAAATTTGTAACTTGAATGATATCACTTAATTGAATTGTTATGTTCTATGATGTTATGAAAAAAGGATGGTCATTTGTTCACCTTTATTGCATTGCTGTATATCTGAACATTCTTGTTTCTTCTTTATTTCTGATTAAAAATAATTGAAAAGCTGGTATATTAGCTTATGCATTGCTTCCATGTATTGTTTTTTTTTTTTTTTTTCTTTCTACATGGACTTTTTTTTTTGTTATTTCATTGTTGCATCTCTTTAAATCTGTATCTCTTTTCACTCTATTTTATTACATATTTCATGCAAATTATAACATATAATGTTAAAATATTCTGTCACGCATACTGTTTTGCAAATATATGTTTACCAATTTTGTAGTTTTCAATTTTTGCAAAAAACCTCGCTGTTTGACCAGATTTTTGTACTATATGTTTTCTTGAATAGATGTTTCGACGTGAATCGAGCTTTGGATATAATTCTTGAAAGCTATTGTAAAATTTTTTTAGTCCATGTATGTTGTGAATTTATCAGCAAGAATTGAGTAAAAAGATACGCTATCAAATAACTATTTATTAACCGGTATATGGAGAATCCGTTATATATTTTTATCATGAAAAGAAAGAATCTTATTATAAGAGATTCCATGAATCATTTTCATTTATGCCAAATTTGTACGTTTCTTATTTGCCTGAAATGAGTGGGTTTTCCGACTACTTAAACGTATTTAATTTTTTCAAGGTAAATCGTACAAGTCTAATCTCTGTGACTTTGAAAAGAATGCATGTTTGCATGCTTCATATTAACTCAAAAATCATCTGCTTAATTTAATATTAGCTCGATCGAATTCGTTTGCTATTTATTGGTGATTTATGGGTTAGCATATCATTTTTAATTAATCATTGAAGTATATTTTTACTTAACAGGTTAGTTTTAGATGTGTTAGAGATGTGTTCATTTGTTGGAGAAAGCAAATAATACAAACAGTTTGATCCTGCCATTTTGTTTTTTTGGAAAAAAAAAAAAAAAAAATGAAACGTAAGGGTGATGATGCATTGGAGCAAATTGATCGGAAACGTGAAAAGCGGCGATTAATATGCATGCAAATTGATGATCACATTGAAGAGATCAAATTAGCTGACGCAGAAAGATGTAAACTGGAGGCATTAGCTGAGACTGTCAAGAGTGCTATTTATGCAAGTAAGGAGGCAAAGATTGCTCATCAGGTTGGTTATGTAAATTTTTAGTTATAAGCCATTTGTAAGATTATTTGGGGGTAGATTAAGGAACTACGCAACCCAATAAGTTATGCGTATTCTTTTTTTCTTGTTACCAAATATCACAAATCGATAACTGTTATCAAATAATGAATTTAAATTTTCATCTTATCACATTATTTGCGTAGAGACATCTAATTGCTGTTAAACATTTCAGATGAACGATCTGCAGAAATTACATTTAGGCAAAATTCATTTTCCGCTGTCATTACCTTTTAATTTGGAATTAAGTAGTATTAAATCAACGTGTGGTTGTCGTTGGGTTCATCCGGTTAAAATCGATAGCTTAGGTAGTTGGCGTATTTGTTATCAAACAAAAATGGATCCCGTTTTGGATCTCATCATTATTATACCTCAGGTTCATTATGCTTTCTCGTTGTGCATTTTTTTGATTCTTTTTTTTTTTTTTTTTCAGTAAAAAATGTTGCATTTTGATATTTTGTGAATGTTTCAGGATTATTTTGGCTCACGTGATTACCTTAATTTTGCATATTTTGTCAAACGTGCTCACTATATTTGCCAGGTGGCACGGATTTTGATAAAAACAGGGTTATCAGTAAAATTTGGATTGGATCATTGTGACACACTGAAGCCCTTATTGTTTGTAGCAAACAAAGACGGTGCCTTATTTTTTCTCTTCTTAATTGTAATTAATACATTTTACGTCGAAAAGAAAAGGAGTTTTTCTGTGTTTTGAAAAGTTTTAGAATTTGAGGTTTTGAATTAGAAATTCTAAATAATTTCCCATCATAACTAACTGAGATTCGTTTTATTTCAGGACATGAAAACGATGGATTCTTGCGAATTCATTTTGCTCCTCCGCGTGAGTTCACAAAGATTTCTCGACTTCGTCCAGAAAATAATAATTTGAGGCCCGCTTTTTGTTCGGCTCACTTCGGATCTCTCGGTCAGTGAATGCAGTTTATTTTACAAAAGTCACTGTTGATCAGATTTAATAGAAAAGGAAAATGAAAAGACAGAAAATAAAATAAAGAAGGAAAGCACGAATTGTATTCTAGAATCACATTCGTCGAATTGTTGGTTAGATCAATTGCTTTCATTTGCTATTCCGGAAATAGTAAATGATTTATTGTAGGTATCGATACACCTACACCGGTTTATAATTCAAAGATATTAATTGATATGTTACGCGAAGAAATTGAATCCAAGTATGAAGCTTTTTTTCGTCAAAAACCGAACTTTTTAAAAGCCTTCATTATGATACGTTCGTGGATGCTTCAAAGAAATTTCATTCAGGTATTCCTCTACTTCTTATCCTTTATTGTGTTTCTTATCAAAAATTAATTCAAGCAGTATTGTTTAAGGGCAGATATTTCATCTTTTGATTTAAGGATGACACAAAACAAAGGTAACTGATTTTTCTTCCGTTTTTCTGATTTTGTCGAAATTCATCCTAGTTCTAAAATCATTATATATTCGAGATCAGAAGGATATGTACTTAAAATATTTTTGACAGAAGAGAAAGCTGTTTTTTGCTTCAGCATGCGCGTTTTTTCTTTTAATTCCAGAGAGTTGATGGCTTTTCGGATTTGCTATTAGCAGCTTGGCTTATATACATTAGCGTCCAAGAAGTTTCCTTCGCTCAGGCATCTGTTTTCGACATCATCACAGGATTTTTTTCATCTATCAGTGAGTTTGATGTTCGATCATCTTTTAAAATAATAAGTATAAATAGGAACAAATCAAATAGAAAAGAAAGAATGTATTATTTTAAAAAGGTAGAAAAAATGTGCATTTTTTAAATGATATAGTTATAAGATATTAATGAAGTTCTCTTATTTATATAAAATTATAAATTTTAGTATCAGTAAACTGGCAACAATCTCGTTTGGGTTTATGTGATAATGATGCATTACATTCACAGTTCTCATCACATTTCGATTTCGTATTCCTTGATCATACAGGATATCTCAATTTGGCTACATCTTTGAGCATCACTGCTATGGAGCAAATTCGTGCTGCTGCTACAAATGCTCTAACAAAGATTGATATCTTCAATGAATTTGATCATCTTTTTGTGAAAAATCATCCTTTTACTACATCTTTTGATCAGTATATTAGGTATTCTATTTGGGAAAAATTTGTTTCTATATTTACTTCATTTCGTGTCCAACATTATATAACTGTTTAAAAAAAAAAAAAAAATTTTTTTAAGGATACGATTACCCCAAACATATCTGCAAAATATTTTTCAAAAAACGTGCAGTGCAGAGTGTGTAAGCACTTGTAACGATTTATTGCTTATATTTAAACGCAGGCTAACTCCACTGCTGAAAGAGGCTTTTGCGGATAGAATTGTGAATTTCGATTTTTTTGCACCAGATCAACAGGTCACACCGGTAAATGTTGCAGTTTTGATCATACATTTATGTTTTTTCGAATTATTAAGTCGAAGAATATGTTATTAAAAGTCCACTTGATTTGTGTGATATGGAAAATTCCAAAAAAAAGAAAAAAAACGAATCTGATATTTTATTAAAAACCATTTTTGAAAATAGCATAATCCTTGGTTGCAGTGGGACGTATGTATGGAACGAGAGAAATGTACGGATGAGAATGTAACACTACTAATTGGATTCCAACTTTCGTCGAAGTGGAATAATTTATTAACACGCGGTCCGCCAGCTAAATCACCGGATGCAGTTCATTTCCGTCAATTCTGGGGTGATATTTGTGAATTACGAAAGTTCCCAGACAATGCAATCTGTGAAGCAGTTGTCTGGGGTTCCAGTAATGTTACTGTGCTCATTTGCCAACATATTATTCAGAGGTTAATTTTTTTACATGCTGTTTTATCATATATTTTAATTATAATTATTGTGGATAGTTTGTATTTTCTGTCATTATGGATGGAAAGTACGCCTTAATTTAGTTTATATATTGTAGATAGTTTTAGGCATTTAAAATTAGAAGCAAATAATGTAGAAGAGCGTACGTTAAAAATGGAAGAAATCTTACCGAATGCAATGGACAGATACAGTACAATCGGAAGAGCTTATGATAAATTATCTCAAACACTTCGATTAGTGCAAGGCTTACCTCTTCTTATAACAAATATCCATCCTGTATCCTCTTATCTGAGACGAACTGCGGTACCATTCATTTATTTTTCACTTCTGATTTTTTTTTTTTTTTTTACATTTTATTAGAATTAATTTGTATCAGCTGAATAATGGGCACTATTTCAATTTGAAGGACTACATTTCTATCAAAGTTTCAATATTTTTGCAGTCTGAAATAGTTTTACAGTGATATTTCTCAAAAGTTCGTAGTAATAAAATTTAACTTTTTATTCATTTTTTATGTCAGCAAGATATTTTGCATATTGAATGTTAAATTTAGATTTGTATTTAATTTTATGTATTCCATAATTAACTTTCAGTTAAATATTTTTATATTATATCTTTTGTAAAAATTCCTTTACAGCCTTACCCACCTCTCTCTACTAATGCAGTGATCGAAAGATACAGTGCGGTTGTTAAAGATTCTGTAGCACTTCCGTTGTCACATATTTCACCTCCTTATTTGCCTACTATAGAAGGTTTTTATTTTCCATTACCAAATAGCGTTTTAATTTAATTTTGAAATATTTTAATGCATTATATATATATATATATATATATATATATATATATATATATATTTGAAATATTTTAATGCATTATTTCTTTAAAAAAACTAAGATCTATATAATTATTCATCTTTTTTTTTTTTTTTTTTCAAATCAAAATATGATTAGTTCTATATTTAGTGCAAATAACTATGGAGCAAAGTGGAAAATGGGGCGATGATCTGGGAGCTATTGCACGCCTTAAGACTGCCTTTTATATTGAGTTGTCAAAAATACTAAAGGAGAAACATTCGATGCAAGCTATTCCCTTCGATGATTATTTAATTGTTCATTTTGTAAGTATGATTTTGTCATTAAGATAATTAGAATTACTTATGAATTAGAAAGAAACCTTGCAATGTTTAGCTTTCATTAAATATTCACTATCCTTATATATTTCAGAATACTGTAGTATTTCGTTTGGTAATAAACTATCCGAAAGAAGTGCATATAATGAGGAAATTAAATGGTGGTAAGACGGGTATTCTAAAAGATAGTCCAGCATCAAAATTGAAAGAGTTGGAACTAATACTGGAACCTCAAATTACTTCATTATTACATAGGTAAGTATTAATACCTTCGATTTAGTCGATTATGCGTCGAATTTTATGTAGAATGAAAGAAAAAAAAACATCTATACCTTGGCTAATTTATAATAATGCTTTGAGTATATGGCCAAAACCATAATTCATAATTTTGAAACGAAAATTTTGGACATTGAGGATAAAGAAAATTATGTACGGCAAATAAATTATTCGCTTTTCTATTAAATCGCACTGAGAGCGAAATAATCTGTTCGATTGTTTTAAATTTGCTAATAATAATATTGTATGCTTCATTTAACGAATGTTTTTTCAGTGTAAGCCAACAATTCGATGCGTTCGCTAATACATGTCGTCTAGCGATGTATTGGTTATCATCTCATGCATTATCTGATTATCTAAGCGAAGTAATTTTGGAAACTATAGTTGCTTCCATATTTCTTAAACCATTCTCAATTCAACCACCAAGGTTCTTTTTTTTCTGTTTTTTGTTTTTTGTTTCACTTTTTTTTTTTTTGTTTGGTTTCATAATTATTAGTAAAATAAAGTCGATAGAGACTATCTAATAAAAGTATGGCTGAGTTTTATTATTTTTTTTTTAAGTTTTTATAGTGATTTCATTTTTTAGAACATCATTTGTTGGTTTCTTTCACTTTCTAACATTGCTTTCTACGCATAATTGGTTAGTAAAGCCGTTACTTGTTGATTTCGACAACAATTGGACAGGTTTGCTACATTTTTATTCGTTTTTAGAATTTTCACCTTGAACATATTCATTAGCCGTTTTTCAGAAATCCTCTTGGAATGAATAATGTTGAATTTATGTTTTTTTTTAGAGGAAGATGTAGATGAAATACAAAAAGAGTTTATCAAAATGAGACCGGTATTGCCTGTAATGGTGATATGTACGTCGGTTGATAGGAGTGGTTACCGGTAAGTTATTGTCGATTTCAAATATCTCATTTTTATTTTTATCAGTTTTGTGATTGTTTCAATATTTGCGGTAAGTTTAATTAAAATGAGATTCAAATAATAAATTTTGATGTCACATACACACTTCTTACATCAATTTCAATTAATCAATAAAAATCAATGATTATTTGTTTTTGACACAAAATGAAGATAGAAATAGGCTTTTTTTTTCTTTCCTTGTTAGATGGACAAGAGAAGAACCACAACCATTGATCTTGAAACGAATAATTGCACTCGCCAAAGCATCAGCAGCACTAATTGAACAACATATCAATAATTCGTTGCCGTTAAATTTAAAGGTTTTTATTTATTTATTTATTTTTTCCTCTATATTATTGTAATAACGTTGAACACAATCATCTCACTCTCCATTATTTTTGGATTTTTTTTTTATTAATATCTTAGATTCCTTTTCCGTATTCGTTTTTTTTTTTTTTTTTTTTTTTTAAATTTTTTAAATATGTTTCTATCTCTGAAATAATTGATTGATATCATACCATTTTTAAATTATATTTACATCCCTAAAATAATCGTTTATCTTGTCTTATTATTTATAGGGATTATTCACATCAAATGTTTCCACTTTCTGTAATGTTACTATCCATATCAGAAGACGACATATGGTCCGACAAAAAGTAATTCATGGTAAATTAATAAATGGACCATTACCAGTAATTGATTATGATCCAGTTAGGGATTATATAAAGCGTTTGCGGCAATGTTTCTCTTCAGTTGCTCTTTTCTTCTACAACAAATACGTAGGTGATGTGATCGGAGTGGTATGGAAGCCAGCTGCATTAATACCACGAGATGCTAGCGTATGTTATTCGTATTCTTTAAGAATGATTGCCAAAATTATTTGCAATTTAATGTTTTTATTTATCACTAATCTGTTAAGCTGTAGAATATATTATTGAGTAATTAGATTATTGTTGATGTGAGATTGTTTTTAACATTCAATTAGTGTCTCATTATAATTTGCTTTGCAGATATCCAGTTGTTTACATCGGTTAAAGGGACCAGATAATAAGTTAATAGTTAATACAAAAGCTATACTGGATGATTTTACAATACTTGGTCATGGCATTGTTTACAATGTGAGCGAACATTGTGTTACTAAAGACGAAAAGAATACGACAAGTTGAATTCTAGTGGTATTATTTGTCAATGACTCTGATTTTTTTTTTTTTTTTTTACAAACAAAAGTGCTTTTATAGACTATTTTCTTTTTTTTTTTTTTTTTTGAATGATTAAGAAATTGACACAATATAAGGATGGGTGATAATATTTCAACTTAGTTTTTATTATTTTTTAACTCATGTCACCATTATTTTTGAATTCATGTCACAGTTCATCCAAATAAGTTTATATTACGTCTAAAGTTTTGGATATGTGTTCCTCTGATTGTTGTTATTGTTGTTGCTGAATCTATTACATGTAAGAAGGTATTATGTGTAAGAAGTTTTCAATAAATGATTCATTTTTGCTTTTGTTAGCATGGATTATATTATAAATATTTGATGAAATATCTCGAAGAAAAAGAGAAAGAAAAAGATATAAACGATTGTTATACAATCAATCGGTGGTACGTTTATATGTGTTTGATTGCTTGAATAGAAGTGATTGAGATACGGCGCAGATATATTTGAATATTCTTAGTTCAGCTTAAATATCCATGTTTGATGATAAAGTTAATCGTTGCTAATACAAGTATAAATTTTCTTTTCCAGGGAAATGGATAATATGGATGATTTGGCACATTTATTGGCTGGTAGTTCAGTAACTATTGCGCCAAATAGTACGGCACGAGAGCATCCACGATTTTCGCAGTACAAATATATTGGACGAGCAGAAGTAAGTCAAGAAAGGCGACGACAAGAGTTTCTTCAACGCCAGAAAGAGTATGTCTTTTATATTTGTTGAATATAGAAAAAAATTTACATTTTAGGTGAAGTTAAAAGTTTCGTTTGTTATTAAATTAAAATACTACTTCCCTCTATAGTAAAAAGAATATGTTGCTTTTGTGGAAATAAAAATTTGTTAATGTCTACATCTTATAAAGTTGTAGGTATTTTTAATTTCATGACATTTATAGAGCTCGTTTTGATTATGCAAATCATGCACGAAAATTGGCAATGAGTGAATTTGATGAAGATGAGAAAGATAAAGAGGATGAAGAAATGGACTTAGTGCCTGATAAAAATAGTAAGAAAATGAATCGAAAAAGGAATTACAATCGTTATGCAGATGAACTAATGCTTAGTGAATGGTTGGTGGATATTCCAGAGAGTTTATCCAAGGATTGGATTTGTATACCGTGTCCGGTTGGTAAACGATGTCTTGTGGTCGCATCTAATGTATGTGATTATATCATTGTGAAAGCAAAAAAACGCTGTTAAGATTATTTGATAATTCATTTTTTGTAGTTAATATAATTGTTCCATCATTTCATTTGTAGTTAATGTAAAATTAAAATGATAGTTTACACTTGCTTTATATTTTTTAAAAAAAAGTATTTTACTCTGATATAGTTTTTTTTTTTTTTTACCTCCGATATGGAATTTCAAACTCATTATGTTGTTATTATATATGTTGAAAAGTTATTTTTGCATATTCCATAATCATAGGCAATTTTTTTTTCGAGTACGACTAGTGGTATTTCTAATTCATACTATCATTTTGTAATTATTTGAAATTATCTTTGAATTAGTGCAATATTTTTTCATGGATAGTCTTTTATCACATGTAACTTATTTTGATAATCTTTGAGAAGTTTGAATTACTTCGTAATCTTGCGTAAACTATCATTTAAAATTTTGCTACAATTCATTTTATCTGTTACGAAGAGAAGAATACAAAGAGAAGATTTTAGTATGTTCAATTAATTATTGCAGGGAGTAACAAGTGCTTATTCGAAATCCGGTTATCTCATTACACAATTTCATTCTTATCTTCCGGGCGGAAATCATCCTTGTCGTGGTGAGTCGATATGTATAGATGAAATATAGCTCAAGTTTCACCAGGTCTCATCATCTGGATCTTATAGAAGTAATTTTCATCAATATAATGATGTTGTTATAAATTTTTTCCTGAAATAATTTTATTTGCTCGTATTTACATAGGTGCGTATACTCTTTTGGATTGTGTTTTTGATGCAAAATCATCAACATTCTATTGTTTGGATATGATTGCATGGAATAGCCTTACAGTTGCTGATTCGGATTTTGATTGCCGTTTATTCATGATGAATTCGCGTATAAGTGAAAATGAGAATTTTCATGAGATCTCAAAGCAAATACCTGTTAGTATTTAGCAGCTAATTTTTGATTCCAAATTTTTCATTTCTAAATATTTGAAATTGACTTTTATCCATTATGAATTTCATGTATGAATTTAGTATTGTATACTGGTTAAATGTAATTTAACTTCAGATATATTTCAGTATCGTTTTATATGTCTTCCATATTGTCGTTGTGAACATAGTTCCATGACAGAAATGATGCATCGAAATTTTCACTTCGAAATTGACGGTGTTCTTTTTTATCATGCTAGTGTGCATTACCTTAAAGGTCAAAGTCCACTTGGTTTGTTACTTTTTCATTTCATTACTATGTTTAATAGAATTGTGAGAACTGATCAATTCATTTAGTATGTCATACCTTGTAATTATATGCTATATAGATATGTAGCTATCCTATATAGTTCATATAATTATTCTATTTGATTCAATTTTTCTAGGCTACAAACTTTTTGGATAGTTTAGTTGACTAAATTTTTGGAGGAGAATGTATTTTGCAATGCTTTAGTATTATCTGTTTTTTTTTTTTTTGTCTTTTGATACATGTAATTAATGATGTGATCGAGTTCAATTTCTTTGAAGTGAAAAAATGCAAAAAAAAAAAAAAAGAAAAAAAATTCACTGAATTGAATTTTAGTAGGATGGTTGAAACCATGGATGATACCAGAAATTTTATCGGTTCCAGTACCAGCAAAATTGATGAATGGAAATGAAATAGTAGCAGGCGGTTCACAAAAATTTATCGAAACGTATAACCAAAAGCATAAACATGTTAGCATGATTGGTAAAACTCCCGAAAGTGTTTCCAGTTAAAATAAATTTATCTGTTAGTTAATGAAATTGCTATTAGTTAATAAAATCTCTGAAAAAAATATATTTGTTAATGTGTGTCAGCTAATGAAAATAAAAAAAAAAATAACACATTTCATCCTACAAATGTAGTTTTAAATAAACAGGATGAATTGAGAAGAATAGAAGTTTATATAGCATATTCAATCTGTTAATTAAATTAAATAGAAGTTTATAAAGAATATTCAATCTGTTAATTAATCATTAAATAGAAGTTTATATAGAATATTTAATCTGTTAATTAATCATTATTGCATTTATATATAGCTAGACATTTGTTAATATTGTCATCCCTAGACGTCTCTTAATATTGTCATGTAAGTTTTCAATTTACATTTAATAAGATTTAATTTCGACATTTTATTCTCACACATATCCTGTCTGTGTTCGTGTATGCTTTTATTATTTATCTCAGTTCCTTTATGAATCGCTTTTTTGATAAATATCTTTGCAAATATTGATAAACGAGCAATTATTGATCTACATTTTACTTACAGCATAATATTCCAAAGATATGTCGATGTAGTTCTCATTTAAACAAACAATAATCATAAAAGTATATAAAATAGTTGTTCGAAACACTTTTTAAAATCGACTTTTTTGTTCAGTATCAATCGCTTAAACGATTTACTACTGAGTTCTAAGTTACACTTATATTTTCTAATACAACATGGCATATACATTACGAGAAAGAGAAAATAAAAAACTAAGTATTACTCATAAATTACTTTCCAAATTTTCTTTTTAGAAATTAATTTTTTTGGATTGATATATATGAGATAAAAAATGTCATCTTTGAAATTCTAGCAAGATTGCAGGAGTTAAATTTAAATTTAAATGAAATACTTTATGTTGCATAAGTGCAATATTAATTGATTGAACGTGTTAGAACGGTTGTCTTCATCAGCTTACGTTATCATTTCTTTTTTATCTTTGATATTGGAAATTATAGAAGGAAATTTTTATCAGTATATTTGTGATATTTTAACAAGTGATTTTTTTTTTTTTTTTTTATCATTAATTAGACTGAAAGATGATAAACTTTATAGACTATTGATTTTGTTGAATTTCAATTTTTATTGAAAATCAAAAAAAGAAACAAATGTAACAGTTATGATAGAATTTGAAATAGAATTATGAGCTATCAACAGAATTAAACTATTTCTAAATATAATGAATTTGTAATTTATTAATTTTTATAATTTCTTACTATTAATGATCTATGATTTACTAATCGATATTTCTACTGCTAGGTTAAACTTTGTCTGATAATTTTATAAATCCAATAATGTTCGACAAATCACAAATAAAACATTGTTCATGTTCAATATGTTCCATGGATTCAAAATATAATAGCAAAAATTTGTTCTATAATTATCATTTGAAAAATGTAAAACATTCATATTCCGCATATCAAGGTATATATATTTTGACTAATGTTATCGTTATCAGTTATCATCATTATCAACATTGTCAATACTGTTATCATCTGAAGGAAAACTTTTTCAAAATATTAAATTATTCAATCATGCAAAAAAAAAAAAAAAAAATCAGAAGTAATTTTGTGTTAAAATTATTTGCAGTGATGATATTTTTCTTCCAATTTAAAATGAATTATTGTTTATTTTCACATTTCTAATAATTTCAAATTTCAAATTTATATATTTTTAAGTGTGTGAATTGGAAAAAGTAGCAGCATTATTGAAAGAAAAATTAAAAAATTTGAAAAATTCACGTTACATTACTCAAAAGAAGAATAAAAATTTAATTCAACAATCTAATCAGGTTGCTATTTCTTTTTTTTTATTTTTAATCTTTTAAATATTTTAATGGAAAATTATAAACTGAAAGCATTCAATTCGAATGCTAATGAATTTTAAATTAATTCAGTTAATGGAGGAAATTAGTCGGAAAATGATTTTTGCGAAACATTCGATTCAATCTAAGGATGAAATTGCATTTGAAGCCGAAAAATGGTCACAATTATGGCAAAGTGAAAATGGACAGGTAAAAAATTGATATCTTCCTGTTTTTTTTTTTTTTGAAATTAATTCAAAATGTTAAAATTTCATAGCGAAAGATTGATAACATAAAAATATGATAGAATTTAAAAAATAAAATAAAATTTGGTACCATTTTTTTGAGATAATAAAAAATTTTTTTCAAACAAATACAAACATTACATATTATTTTTGATTGAAATTAGAATTTATGGTTTTTTTTTTTTTTTTTTGTTCGGAGAAATTTATGAAAGATTCGAGATTTTGCACACAAATTTAGACAAAACTCAAAATTTAATTTTCAGCTTATCTATATTATATTTCTATGATTAACTTTATCATCTTATCTATATCTTTCAATAATAACTACCAGTGATTTTGCGCACAAATTTTAATTATTTTAATAAATTTCATCGAAGCAAAAAATTTCATTTAATTTTTTGGATTCAATTTAAATTATTTTTTCAAAATTTTCAGAAAATTCTTGCTGATAAAAGATTAATAGAAAATGCTGAACAAGTGAAAATAATTGAGAAACAAATTGATTATACATATCGACTTATTGAGCATAAACGAAAAATAATTGGTAGATGGCAAAATGATAATATTCAAAAAATTTATAAAGTAATTTATCTCTTTTATAATATCATTTTTTTAACTCAAAAAAATTTACAAAGTAACTTTTTTTATTGATCGAATTTATTTTATTATTATTATTGTTGTTTCTCTTTTATAATTTTTTTTTTTTTTTTTTTTTTTCATTTTATTCATTTATTCAATTTATTGGCAAAATATTGCAGAAATAAAATAAAATTAATGTTTCTTTTTTTGCTTAAAAATACATAATTAAATTGGATTGTAATTAAAATATTTTATCAATAAATTAATATTAATTTAGGATGATCAGATAAAAATGTTAGAACAAGAAAATATGGATATGGAAAGGAAGATGATTGATTGGTTAAAAGTGAATCAACGATTGTTGAGAATATTTGAAGCAATGAAAGATCGCGAAGTTGAAATGATTTATGCTGCGGAACGTTGTAAACAACGAAATATACAAGCTAGAGTATTTGTGATGTCATATTAATTAATTAATTAATTAATTAACTGTTTATCTTACAGCAAGACAATAGTCAACCTGTGGAATCATAGAATTTAAATGATTAGTTGACTGATTAACTGATTAATAAACATATCGATTAAAACTTATCTGACGATCAAAATATATCATAGAAATTGATTTAGTCTACTTTTTCCTTTCTCAAACTTATTTTCTCAATATTTTTTTCAGCATTATGTATTTATTTATTTATTTATGTTAGATGACCAATTGTTATTGATATAAGTGATTTTAATACGACAAAAATAATCTAAAATAAAAATTAAAAAAAAAAAAAAAAAAAGGGAAAGTTGCTAAATTAAATGATGATAAGTAGTATTAGTGAAATGGTTGCAATTTAGTTTCTTAAATTTTCAAATTGAAATTATTTCATAAAGATTAATTAAATAAATTAAAATAAAGAAAGAAAAAAATTAAATTTGCAGGAGGAATGCAGTAAAATGCAAACATATATACTAACAATATCAAAAACATTAGATGAAGTATTTATCAGTAATACATCATCCAGTTCAATTACATTACATAGTGAAGAAAATAAATCAAAACAATCTGTTTGTATGACAACAACAACAACAAAAAAAGTATTTAAAATTTTGATTTAATTCTTAATACAATGAAGAAAAATTTAAATTGCAGGTGGAAGATTTAAATTTTTAGACAATTGATTAATTTAATAAATTATTGCTTAGCAAAAAAAAAAAAAAAAAAGATATTAAACATGTTGGATAATATAATAGCAAATTAATATGATTTAAACTAAAATGTAAAAAGCAAAGAAAAAAAATTGAAATTAGCATAGAAAATTGAATTGTGGGAAAGGTTCAAAAATATAAATGGAATTTAATTTTTTAATTAAGATAATTGTATGTATAAAATTGTTGAAATCATCAAATTTTATACTTTAATTTTTATAAATCAAAATTTATTCGTTGCAGCAACAAAACCCAAATGAAGTAAACAATTGGAAATGATAATAAATAGCTCAAACATTGGATGATTAAGTGATAAACAAATGATAATGCAATTTTGGATTTGTTTATCAAAAAAAAAATTTTTTTTTTTGTTTTTTTAAAATACAAATATTATTTCATACATTAAACAGAATCATTTCCTATTTCTCTGATCTTTAACCTTTAATAATTTCATCTTTGTATAATTTCGTGAAAAAAAAAAAATAAAATAAAAAATTTTTTAATTGATTACCATTTTGCATTAATCATTTCTTATTATTATTTTAATTTTAGAAAAAAATAATTAATATCAGATTAATTAATGTTAAAAAGAAAATTAATTGAAATGTAAAAATGGTGGATTAAGTTTTATTTATGTAAAAGCTGAATTAATCATAAATTAAAATAAATAAAAGCATTTCTTATCTATTTATTAATGAATGATATTAACAATATTATCGGTGCTAATATTACCTTTTTTCTATCTATAGAATCGTTATCACATATCACAACGTTATCATATATCACTAAAATTTGATAATTATTTCTTTTTAAATTGTTTTTCTTTTTTTTTTTTCACATTTATTAATTGCAAAAGTATTATTTTTTTTCTCCTCTTTCTCTTCTTACTTCTTTTTCTAAAAAAAAAAAAAAAAAACTTATAAATTTTATCTTTATTCTTGTTGAACAAATTTTAAATAAAGATAAAGTGGCAAAAGTATGGAATAAAAACATTATGGAAGAAAAGAGATATTATAATCTTTTTTTTTTTTTTTTTTTTAATCTCTTATCAATCAAATTTATGTATTTCATACTTTTCCATCTTTCTCTTCTCATATCACATTTAATTTACTGTTATTTATCAATGAATCCTTTGTTTACATATCAAAAATTACGATTTTAATTATTCTCATTAATTAGTAATAATAATTAATAATAAATAAATAAATAATATATATAGTAGTGGTAAATGATATTGATATAATGGTAATAATAATAATAAACAATAATAAGGATATGCTTTTTTGATGCTTCTTATATAATTTATCATTTTTAATAAAATAATTTAAATAATATTTTTTAAAGAATATTTCCTTCTTTTCAAATCCAATTCATTACCAATTGTATTTTAGTAATATAAAAATTATTACAAAGATAATACTAATAAACAATTTGTTTCCTCAATTATATATTTTAATTAATGAACTAATTAAAAAATGTATTTTAAAGTTTGAGTAATTTAATAAAAATTTTAATAATCATTGCTTCATTTAATTACAATCATTCTTCTTTTATTGGAATTTTTGAATAAAAAACAAAAAACAAAACATTAGAAAACTTTTCTACTATTTTATAAAAAATATTAGAAAAAAAAATTAATTTAATTAAAAAGAAAAAATGGAAAATTTTTGAAAATTCATTAATTGTATAAATGACAAAAAAACAAAAAAAAAAAAAAAATGACGAAGCAATGATTTTAAATTATTATTATTATTGTATGAAATATTGTTTATTAAATTGAAATAAGAATTATAATCCTTTTTTTTTTTTAATTAATAATGCATATAGTTATTATAATTATTACTTTTTTAATTTTATCCAACACGAAAATACGTTGTACAATCTGAGATTATTTTATTTCATTCTACGTACGCTATAGGACCGCGTCCTTTTTAGACGGACACGGAAACGCGGGAGAATAGAAGGGAATGCGTGAATGATTGAGAACTACCGGGATTTTTAGTGAGATTTTGAGTGATTGAATTAGAAAGAGTGATATGGAAGAGGATGATTCATGTGAGTTTTTGCATTTAAAATGAAGTTTAAAATCTGATATGCAAATATTTTGTTTTGTTTGAAAAGGTAGATTATAAAAGTGAAAAACGATGGTGACATCATCACTTGCAAATCGTTTGCTGAATCGTTTAATGAATGTGGAATCAAGAAATACTCATCGGCCGAATGATGATGATGGTTACATTGAGGTAAATTTTAAAATTTGTAAATAGAAATGTGTTTACATTTCTATTTACACCATATTGAAATACAATTTTTATTGTTTTATATAATCGTGAAAAAATTATGAGTTGAAATTTTTAAAATTATGTGACTTTGAGTGTGATTTCGGATGAAATAATTAAAATTGTTTAAATATTCTTTTTTTCTCATTTCAGTTATTTTTATGAGAAACTTTTTGCTTTTTACTTTTAAATGATATTACTAAGCAGTGAAGTGTAACAATATTTTAGCTATCACGTCGATTACTATCATGTTTGGATACTGGAAGTGAGAAAAATCCTGTAGAAGTATTGAAACATCCGTCTATAGCACGATTAATCGTTCGACGTGAATTAGGACTTCAGCGAACTCAATGTAGTTTTGGTAGAAATGCTTTACGTTCACTCATTATGTCGGCATGTTTTTTGTTGTTTTTCGGTCTGGATTGTTTGGTAGTATAGGATTTAATAATATAGGAATTATGTTTTAAATTTTGTTCAGTATGTGACTATTTTACACTGTTTATGGTCGTTTATGAGATTTTAAATATAGCTCACTGTTCTTGCTACTTAGTTCCCGGAAAAAGCTCATTTCATAGACTTAGAAACTATTCTTTTTTTACGTTGGAATACTTTTTCATAACGATATGCTTTTCTAAGCCTTGTCTGCTTGACCTACTTAATTCCTAGCTGGTTTAATATTTATTTTGATTATATTTTGTAGAATAATCGGAGATATGTCTTATGTGAAAAGCACGATGCGAAGGGTTTTCTTAACGTCGACGGGTGAGTTTCATACTGAGATTTAAAAGAATTGATGTAATAGGATGTAATTGGTCTAATAGGAAATGTGATATGGCTCTAAATAAGCTTTAAGAAGGCAGTTGAGGAAAGGAAGTGTTTCTCTTTTTTTTTTTCAAATAAAAGATTTTTTAGTTCATATTTTTATCAAATATAGAGGTTTGATGGTTGCACATAAAGCGCGCAAGATCTATAACATTGATATTTTGGAACCATTATGCCGACTGGATATGCTAGACGAAACGGAGAAGATTTTATCAACACTTTGGGTTGAACTTGTTGTTGACTTGCAGGTCTATATTTATATCATGTAGTGTTTTTCATCATTAAATCTCTTATTTCTTGAACGATATGTTCCGATTAATCTGGACGAATTTGCTTACGATTACTTGTAGCCTTTTAAAGTATGACAGAGAGCTTTGGAAGTTTCTGAATATTACTTCCTTATAAGTTTCGAGTTTCTTTATTTATTATAAAGTTAACAAAATTCGAAATTTATTCAATGTGAATTATTATGTACTGAATAAACTTGAAGTGAGTGTAATTATTTTTCCTTATTCGTAATAGGTTTTATGAGCATTTGGCGATATGTAGATGAAAAATGAAGAAACTCGAAATTGGACCATATAATGACATATTGTTGCATGTGCCGTAGTAATTATTATAGACAAAAAATTCTCACTAAATTCTATTATTTGTCTTTTTTTTTTGTCAATCTGTAATATCTTCGTGTTAGGATAATTTGTATTACAGGAAGGAACATCGAATTCTTCACCATTCTGGGTACTAATTTTAACACAGAATCGTTTATTATGCATTGATCCCCTACGTCAGTTAGTGGAAGCTGAGTTTATACTACCATCAGATTCTTGTAAATTTAGGTTTGTTTCTTTTCAATTTTTTCCTCGAGAAATTTTTTTTTTTTTGTGTATATTGGTCAAATGTTTATATAAACATGTATATCTCTGCATATATATATATATATATATTATAATTATATGTCATACTTAAATTATTTAAATCTATACAGCATGTATTCAGATATTCGTATAAGTATACATACACATACACACACATTCGTACACCTTTGATTTATTCGGGTTGTAGTTTTGTTCACACATATATACGCATTAGATTGCATTTATTGCAGTACAAAAAGAAAAATTTTTTTTTTTGAAATTATTATGGGAGTGGGGTGGGGGGGAGGGAGATAGGTGAGGAATAATCAATGCGGAGCGTTGTTTGAGTGTTGACAAGAAATGGTTTAAAGTTATTGCTTGCTTTATCCTAAAGGTATAAATTTTACAGTTGTCTAGCACCCAATGAACTTGGTCGAACGTTTTGCTTATTTGGGAATATGTTATCGCAGGTATAAGATTCATAAACAATCATGAAAACTTGAGATTTATACGATAAAACAAACTATTTTATATGGCTTGCTGATTCAGAATAGCGTAAGAAGCAGCAGTACTGGAGGAACAGATTGTGTTGTGGGCATTTTTGATGTTTATCCACTTAAGTTCAAAGGCATCTTTCGCATCACGAAAGAGGTTTTTTATTTCTTATTATTTTTTACTCTTATTTGGCGAGAGCTATTTGAATTGAAGATCTTATAATTTCAAGCTGAAAGAAATATAGTTCGGCAACTATCAATATGGTTTGCTTTGCAGATTTAAAATTTCATTGTAGACATGAATTCTGGGGTTCAAAAGTCAGACTTTGCACTTTTTATTTTATTATTGCCAACAAGTTAAAAACAACTGATTGGATTTTTGATGTAATTTGTTTACCTTTCTCTTTTTCCTTTAAGGTTTTTGGAAATGTTACAAATGTAAGTGTAATATCTGATATGGTAATCGTTTTCAAGAAGAAACCCTATGAAACAGTGCTGTATAATTTGGTCGATTTTCAAAATCAGGTATTTTTAAAGTGTTTGAAATTTTTCATTATTTTATAATTCCTTGTAAATATCCTCAGTGCTGCATGAAAATTTTTTCTTATTCTGATACGTTATTATACATGATGTTTTTATTTAGGAATTTAAAGATTTACAATTACGAATTTTTGTAGTGAAAGTTACTTTCAGACTGAAGAAGGATTGTATGATCCAGAATTACGGTTCGATGGGAAAATAATTTTACCTGTGCCTAATTTAATTATATCAGAACCGGTCAAATGCGCTACAGTTGCAGGTAATTTTCTTTTATTTTATAATATTGCTTCAAACAAAACATAATTTCCATCAGTTAAGTGGACATTAATTCTTTGCATGAACATTATAGGCAATTGGTCAACGCTAGAGTATAGTGGTGTGCCATATCATTTGTTAGGCATTTCGTATTCTTCAAAAAAATCATATATGTTAGTTGATGCTGCAAAAATGACTGAACCGGTTAGTTTATTATGGAATTAAATTCAATTATATTAAGAAGCAGTTCTGAGAAATATGATATAACCGCATATGGAATATATAAAACAGAAGATCATTAGAAAAGAGAGTGGTTGGATAAAGCAAAAAGAAAGCAGATTCATCCCATTTTTCCTTGAGTACGTATGTAACTTTCAGTTAGTTAGTTTTTTTTTTTAATAAGCACAGTTACAGGCATCGTTACCATTTCCACTACAACCACCAAAGAATACATCATTGCAAGTGGAGGGAGCAAGTTTAATGTTTCATTCAGATGAATCGGGGCGATTGCTTCGTTTTGATGGACCAGCAATTGTATCCTATAAGATGCAACGGTAATTGTAGTTTTTCAAATAATTCTCAAAATTAAAAATTGTTGATATAGATATAACCATGTGTGTAAGAGATTCATGCAGTAGCTACTCGTTGGACTAATAAGATCATTGATTATAGTTTGTTCTATCCGTATCTTTTTTTTTTACAGATCTGTAAATGATGAAATGTCTTTTCAAGAAGTCTGGAGAACCAATTTATGGGTAAAAGATAGTTTCTTGCAGGAGAGGCTTGAAAGGTTGCGGTTTACTCTTTGTAGTAGACAGTAGGACTTCACTTTGCAATGAATAGCATTTTGGACAAAAATATGTTGATCTCACTTTTTTTTTTAGATTTAAAGGCACATGAATATAAGTGCTTATGATGGAAATGCATTTCTTAAGTAGGAGAAGTGCACATGCTGAAAAATTATGTCAGTATAAAGATATAGTTCTGTTTAACGAAATTGCTTATTTTCAGCAATGTAAAAATTAAATCAAGTTTTGGACGCCATATTAAACCAACGTCGGATTTTGAGCAAGATTTTCGGCTGGTATGTTTATCTGATTGATTGATATTATCATTTTGAAATAATAACATAATATTATCGCTTTCACTTCTTTTATTTAACTACCACTATTACTATTAGACACACCTCAAGATTCTAATTATTGTCAAAATGAAAAGCTGGTAATGCGCCTAAGTATTTTGCAGTCATTAATTGTCGTTTTATTTGTTCCGTAACGATCACTAAGTATTAGTGTAAAAGCTTTTTTTCTTTGTTTTTTACATAACATCTTCTATTGGTGTGATTGAGGTCATCAAAGGAGTGGATGTCGATATTGAAAGCCAAATTATTGCAATTATTGCAGAATGCGATCTTCACTCGCCAATTTTCGATGATCCAGACCGGTTTGTTTCTAAGATTTGAATAGCAGTTTTCACATTTCAAGTCAATTATCTTTTGAGTAATAATATAGCCGAGACAATTTCTTTAGATCTTTTTCTTATTTCGTTCTTATTGTATTTCTTTGAAGAACGTTCGATGCAATATCTCGCCGCAATATATATTTGGACGAGGTTGATATGTGCACTGTGATTTTTTTATTAGATGATACTACTGGTATAATTTTGAAAATTGCGATGATGCGTGAACCAATAAGAGAGGTTAAGTTTTTGTTTTTTTTTTTTTTTTTTTAAATTGTTCCTTTACAAATCTAAAATTTGTTAGATTAGATGTGACAGTAGTCAGAACTGTCAATTTTGGTTGATAGAGTTCTTTTTTTCTGAGCGATTCAGAACTGTAATAGTATTAATATTTGTTAATACTGTTTAGGATACCGTTTTACATTTTGATATGTCTGGTGTATTGATGTGTTTCAACCAGCGTGGTCCTCGGAAATCGTATCTTGAAGTTCAGCGTTTACAAGAAATAGGAGTTGTTGAGTGGGAGAAGGCAAAACATAATGATGTGCGTTATTTTATTTTTTTAATCCATAAGTAATTATCACAGGGTGTTATTGTTTTATTTTTTTTGAATGAAAACCCCAAAAACATTTTCGGATTTTTATCTTTTACAACTTAGGTACCATGAATAATTATAAACTTTCAACAGAAGAAGTGAATTATTATGCTTCTATAATTCTTTTTGAAAATGTATTATTTATCTTTTAGCTTGAGCTGTATGATATAAAGTACAATTCAAGCGTGCTTAGCAGACGACAAACACGGCTTTGTGCTCGAGAACGAAATTCCACTTTACCAACGTCAGGTGGTACAGCTGCAAGCAGCAGTCGAACATTCGACAGAAGTAATTGTTAATGTAATTGAAAAAGAAAAGGGTTATTTCGACGTAGTCATTTTCTTAGTTACTTTTAGAATAATTAAAACGTCCTTTGGAAATGTCTTTTTGTCTGTAATGACTAGATTCCAAAAGTATTCTATTATTATTTTTGATTATTTCGTGTAGTCGTATTTGAGTAATTAAATGGCACGCTGATTATTAAACTAGCTATATATATATATATATATGTATATATGTAACTATTAGTAATTTAAATTAATTCTTTCTATCGTTCAAATTTCATTTAGGATATGGTTTGCAAGCAGATGACAACGGGCCAAGTGGAAGTCGCGAATCAGTGCCAGGATCTCGGCGTCGTAAACGATTACGAATTGTTTATCTAGGTGATACAGATTCATCCGATTCAGATTATCAACCACATAGTCAGTAGAATAATAATGACAAATTTATCAGTTACGAGTTTTCATAGTTGTATATAAATGTATATCTGTGCTCCTTTGGTTGATATTTAATTTCATTTTTGTTTCGTTTTGTTTTGAAATATTAAGTTTTAACTTTCCAAAGAAAGTACGGTACCAGATCTCGAATATATTCAGCGTTATATATAAGGGTAGTCTATTATTATGTTTTGATTGTTAATGAAATTTCATTGTTTGTTTTGCATATCTAGAATGTTAAGAGCTGTAATTCTCTGCATTATACAAATGATTTACAAAATAATATTAAATTTTGTCATGATTTATAGAATCGATTATAGTAATGGCTTGCACCATTTACTTTTTGTAAACTGTTATACATTTTGTTGTGGTTTACATTTGCATTCGATAAAATTTTTCAGAGATGAGAAACATCTCGTTAAAACGTATATGGATATAAAAAAGTTTATTACCTATAATTTCGTAGTGGCCATAAGATAAAAATACTTTTACCGGCGAATTCTGATGTCTGAATTGAATGTTTGTTTACTGTACTGTTATTCAGGAGTTTGGTTTTATTGTATATATTTAGACGAAAAAAAATATTGAGATTATAACTCATATCCTGACAGGTGAATGTTGGTAGAAAATACAAGGAAGTATTACTTGGTTTTTTAGCTCTGTAGTTTTTTTTTTTTTTGATAATCATGGAATATGCTATATGAAGATGGAGAAGAGAAGTTGCTTAATATCCTCTCATCGATTGCTGAAGGTTAATTTTTCTTTAGAGTATTGGTAAAGATGCATTTGATGTCAAATGATTGATACTTGAAAAGAAGCAATGATAAGACTACCAACATAAAAATAAAAATGTAATACTTCGAGTTTTCGATAAATGGACAAACTCTACGTTTGGTATGCGTTACTGTAATCTATATATTATTGCTGCATATATATATATAATCTTGTTTTTATATCATATATCATTATTGTAATCTATTTTTTTTAGTTTTTATATCGTTTTTTATATCACTTTGCATGAGTAAGTAAAATGGTTTGAATTATTGCTTGATTTTGAATTATTTCTTGAATTATTATTAGATTAATTTGACAATGTTAGAATTAGAAAAGTGATGCAATATTATTGGACTATTTTCTAATGCCATATTTTAACTATGGTCATTTAATTAATCTATAAAATTAGGCTATAATAGTAATAACAATAAATAATAATGCATTGAATGCATTAATCAAACCATCAACAGTTAAATTGTAATTGACAATATGATTGTATAGAAATTTATTACTTCTCAATTGAAACTGAGAATTTATCTGATTTCAGTGTTGCTACTATTATCATTAAACAATTATATGATGTGGTGTAGAATTAAGCGATTTATTGTGACTGATTCATTATCATATCTAATTGATAATCGCTGTCGTTGCAGTGGTCAAAGAGGAATGAATAGCGAATATTCATCAAATGTAACAAGCAGTATACAACGTAAAACAGCAGGCATTATTAGTAAGTATAAGGAATATTTTGCTCTTCTATTTTAATTTTTAAGATTTATTCTCTTCTATTTTAATTTTTTAGATTTATTTCTACAGAATGAACGTTCATTTTTGGATTAGCGGAAATTTTTTAAGAAAAAACAAATTTTTTTTTATTTTTTTTTGTTTGTGAAATTGCATAAACTGATGATGTGCCATCAGTTTATGCAAGAAATTATTTTAAAAAATTTCAAAAAATATTTTTCCATCGTCGACTATTAGGTGGTTCTCCCATCATTTATAAAATTTTCACATATTCCATGCTTTTCCCGTTAAGCAACATTTTAAGTGTATGTATTTTTTATTTGATATATGATTAATGATGTTTTTCCTTTTTTTTTTTAACCAATAATCTAAAAATTCACAATTTACTTCATATAGTACATTTTCAGTAATTGGTGATGAAATTTTGAAAGGTGTAACAAGTGATGTGAATTCGAATTTCTTCTGTAAAGAATTGTATGGTCGAGGAATTCTGCTGAAGAAAGTATGGTTTAGTAATATTGATGAACTGTAACAGGTTTTCATCGACCCAAATAGAACTCAGTGCAGTTTAAAATCATTGATTTCAAGATCGAAATCAACAAATAAGGGCATCTTTTTTTCTTTGATCTTTTTCTTTTTTTGACGACGAACGAAGCTGTTCGTATGATACTTATTCTTCAACTATTCGTCATTCATATGAAATTTATTTGTTTATATTTATTTATTTTTTCATCAGCTAATTTATCTAATCTGTCTTAGATTATTTAATTTTCCATCCGTGCTCTGATTAATTCATTTTTCTATTCGCATATTTATCTGTTCACTAGTATATTAGTTACTGTTATAAATAAGGAAAATTTTTTGCATTCCTAAAATTGCAATGCATTGAATAGCACTTAGTAATTCCAAATTCAAGTAAATAACTTTTTTAAAACAGGTTTTGTTTACTAATTATGTATGTAGGACCGATTTCATTGCTTAAAACTCTTAAAATTTGGTATATTGATATGAACAAATATTGCTATAAATTTAATACTTTTTAAAGACATATTCAGTGATATTCTATTCTATTACAGATATCAATAGTATCTGATAATGTGGATGATATTGCATGTGAGGTGAAGCAATTTAGTGAAAGTTACGATCTAGTCTTCAGTTCTGGTGGTGTTGGACCTACGCATGACGATCGAACTTACACTGGTATTTTCTTATTTAAAATTATATAGTAGCAAGTTGTGAGCTCTTTTTTTTTTTTATTTGTATACTTAAAATATGGTTAGAGTAGAGTTCATTTCATTTATTTCATTTGATTTTAAAAGATGCTGAAAGGTCAATAATGATGTTATACACAACAAATGGAAATGTGAAGTGCAAATCAATGATCTGAGGTCAATATATTAGGAAGAAAAGAAAGGTCATTTTTAGGATTGGCAATTGCTTTTAATGATGAATTGACAACAAGACAGGAAATGATGGTATTGATTGAATATTTTATGCGCAGTATGAACAAAATCATACCAGATGGTGGTTTACAGCGGATGTGTACTGTATGCTTTTCTGTTTATTAATTAAGAACTTCCTGAATCCTTAATTAGGTTGTCTTATAGTTAGAAATATTCCTTTTGATGTATCTGTAAGCCAAAATCATAACAATTATTTTAATAATCAAACCCAAAACTTCAACCACTATTTGGTTGCTTTTAAAGTTGTAAAAATATTGATAGCACTAATTAAGTGTAATTAAAACATAATTTTCTCTAGGTACCAAAAAGTGCTCAGTTATTATGGGGTAAACAAACAGTTTTTCCATTGGTGCAAATGCGTAATGTTTATGCATTTCCCGGTATTCCGGAATTCTGTATTGAAGCATTCAAGGAATATGAAGTAAGATCAAGTTGAAATTCTCCAAACTTTTTCTCTAACGAGCAATTATGCAAACATTTGTATTGAAATCATTCATGCTTATGATGCTATGGATGACAGGGAAATTCGAAAAGAATCTAGGAGAATTTATGCTAAACAGGAAAAACTACGATTGGAGAAAAGGAAAATAGAAAATAAAAGTGCAACTGGAGTGAATCACATTAGCAGTGAAGAGAATGTCAAACATTCGTTCACATAGTAATATTGATTACTGTCTGAATGACCTGTTTCTCTTATTAAATTCAAATATTTTTCTTGAGCTTTATCATAATTTTTATGATTGTATGATTCAAATTTAATTGTTCTTTGTGAATTCTTTTACTTATTTACGTGATTAACAAATATGAAGATATTATATCGTGCAACTTATAGAAGTATCTTCATTGTCTTTTCTTCCTCTCTATGTTCGACTATTTTCCTGTTTAATTTATCACTTATTCATTTTAAAATATTATTGGTAGGAATAAAAAGTAAGGGCAGTGTTTTCCTTACTGTATTATGTTAGTAGAAATTATACTTTAAAATTTTTAGATTGGTGTTTCCAATCTTTATATATATCCCCTATTGTTTAACAAAAAATTTAAAAATTTCTCCTGGTTGAAGTACTTTCGGGAAGAGTTGATGCAATAAACCGGATAGATCATTACAAAATAATTTTTATAATTGCGTAGAATATGGTTGATGGGTTATGCTATGAAACTAATGTATATTTTGCAGAATTCGATATTCTCGTCTTATGCAGCAAAACCGTTTTACTCCTGCGTTCTTCATATAAAATCTACCGAATTGCAATTTTCGGATATAATAATGGAGATGGCAAAGAAATATAGTTCAAAGAAAGTTTCCATTGGTTCATATCCCGTAAGAAACAATCAGTAAGTATATAAATTTTTATTATATGTTTGATATTACTTTACAGAGGATGGATATGCTATTTATTAATTCTTTAATTTGCTTTGCGAGATTTATATCAAGAATATTTTCAATACATTAGAAGCTTACGACGAAAAGTTTTGTTTTTTTTTTTATCCAAAATTTTTCATTTTAAAAATTTTCCATTAAGCTTTCATAAAACTCTTCATTGAAACAGTTATATAGTTAACAGTTCTAATATCTAAAGAGATCAAACTATTATTTTGATATTACATAACTTATATTCTTTTTTTTGCCTTTTGCGTACTTTTATAATTTCAGATATTACAAAACGAAGTTATTAGTGGAAAGTGAATGCGTGGATATTGGTGAGAAAGTTGTGCAGGATTTGAAAGCTTCTTTGAAAGGTTAACTACTGCTTATTGATTGTTGTTTTTGTTGTTGTTATTATTATTATTAAAACAGGAGATGATAGCGAAGGAAAAAGTTCGTGAGCTCATTCCTATGTTTTTTTTTTTTTTTTTTTTTTTTGAAGTCTCCGTGCATGTTTAATCCGTATGTAATTTTCTACTTTTATTTTCATTTATTTAGATCAAGTAACATACTTTGATGAACAACCATGGATAGATACGGTACGAAAGTTCAACGCTTTTCGAGAAAGAGAATTGGCGGATGGTTTAGCTGATGGTTTTGTGGATCGATTGGATGATACCATGAGTTGTATCGACAAAATAATTTCTCTGAATCTGTTAGTAAGTTCAGTCGATGAGATTTCGTCAAGTGTAAAATCTTTTACAAAAGTTCAACTTAAAAGCTAAAATGATAGCAATTTATGGAGAAAAGCAAAAATATACCATCAGTAAAGAATAGAAATGTGATTATTTACAGATTGGATGAGATAGCAATAGCATTCAACGGTGGTAAAGATTGCACCCTCGTCCTGCATCTTTTGCGAGTTGCTATCGATAAGTTAGCTTTTTCAAGAATAGAAATTCTTACCGCATTAGAGTTTTTTTTGGTTGTTATCAATAAATGATCTATTAAACTATGAATGACACAAAATACCCTTCTGAGTGAACACAAGATCCATTTGTGGTCTTCCTGTATTTTATAATTGATAATTTGATAATCGATAAATTTGATAATTCGATAATTGCAGTCCCAGTAAGGGAGTGATGGTAATTGCAGGAAATATGGACCAGGACAAACTATACTTGGCGTTCATATAGTGTGTGGTGATAGCTTCCCGGAAATGAATCAATTCATTATTGACACCACTAAACGGCTTGTTATTTTATTTTTGATCGATTTCTAATATATATATATATATATAGACATATATTGACATACGTTCTGACAAAAGCAATGAATATGTGATGTTAGACACGATATTTATTTGTTCTGTAGTATTTTCTTAAGAAAATTGTGACTTAAAAAGTTTTTTTTTTCTTTTTTTAATTCACTGAACAATAATTTTAATTAAATATTATCGAATTTCAAAATTCCAGATATAATATCATAGTACTGGAAGCATCAGGTCCAGTAAAAGAAGGTCTTGTACAATTAAAAAATATGAGACCGAAATTAAAGTGTATATTTATGGGTTGTCGCGCAACTGATCCTAGTGTATCGTCTATGAAATCTAAATGTCAATTCACAGATGATAACTGGCCACGTTATTTGAGGCTAGTATTTTCGATTTATCATGATGTAATAATTGAGAGAAGTGGGATATTTTCATATTTGTGGTTTAAATAAGCATTTTTTGTACTATTTTATAGGAAATAGTTCTAGTTTAAAATAAAATAAAGATTAGATTGCAATGATTTTAACCGAAAAAAAAAAGAACGAAAAAATTACTTTTAGAGTTTGTCCAATTTTGGATTGGAGCTATGATGATGTATGGCGAGCGTTACGTGGTATCTGTATGCCATATTGTCCATTGTATGACTTAGGTTATACATCTCTTGGAGGACGTGATACCACTCGTAAGAATGATGCATTGAAGATTGTTGGTGATGATGGTTCCATTATTGGTTACAAACCTGCATATATGTTAAAAACTGGTACCTTGGAACGTACAGGAAGAAGCTGAATATTTCTTATTTTATCATAAATATAATATAACAAAAATAAAATCCAATGTCTATAAATCACAATTAATGTTTATAAATTACATTTGTGAAATTTGTTTTCATATTTTTTACTCTTTAACTGCAATCATATAATATTTCTAATAGTTCCAACAATTTCGTTGAAAATTCTTGAAATATGTCATTCTTGCCTTACTCTCTGCATACTAACATATTTTGCCTTTTTTTTTTTTTTTTTTTAAAGGTTCTGTCAGGTTTTTTGTCGAACTTTTTATTGGTTGAAATCTTGATTTGATTTGTTGCTCATTAGATATATCTGTAAGTGTAATATGTAACAAGTATCAATATGTGTTAATAAAATATTTTGCTATCAGCTACATATGGAGATTCCAAAGAAGACAAGCATCTAATGATATAATGGATAAGGTTGAAATGTTTCGACTTTATTGGATTAAAACCTGAAATTAAATACCAAAATATAAGCGATAATAGATTTGACAAAATCACATATGTATATATACACATGTATACAAATGCGCTTGATCAACTTGTTAAAAAATTTGATCACAGATTGGCATCTTTCATTTTCTCATCTTCATTTCCCTTTTCCTAACATAAATATAATAATGGTGTGTTAAATTTTCTTCTAAAACTATTTATCGGGTAATTAATTAATTTAATTTGTTAATTGGAAAATGTCTTACTTGTCATTCTTCTTTTGATCCCAATAAATTTTTCTAAAAAATTACAAGGTTAAAATATAAATGAGATAATATTATGATTGGATGTATTCATAGATAATATCGGTAATTATATAGAAATTATTTTTTTTTTCTTATCTAAATATTCTTGTCATCAATATTTTTTTTTTATTGTCTTTGTTTTTTATTGAATTTATTATGATTTTAAAAAAAAAAAAAAAATTTATTATGATTTTTTTTACTACATTTATTATCAAATAATCAATAATTTCTTGTTTTATTCATCGTTTTCATCTTTTTTTAGTGTATTTTATTCATGCACTACAAATGTGGAAAATGAAATTAAACGGGAATTGATGAAAAAAAAAAAAAAAAAAAAGATGATTTGTGGTACATTATGGTTGCTTTTTTAATAAGAATCTACTATTATAATTATGGTAAGTGCTTGTTTCATCAGAAGAAAAGGAAAATATTTATAATTAAATTAATTTTTATCACTGAACAAATTATTTTTATACAATATGCACCGTTATTATCAGTGGTGATCATTATGAAAAGTTATATTAGTATGAAATAGAATATAAAATTAAGATAATCAAAAGATCATATTTCTTTCCTGATTTTATACTCAACATTTTAATTAATCAATCTAATTTTGAATTATTTTGCACAAAGAATTTAGATATTTCAATCATAACTCAGAGTAATTAGTTAATCTTTTTTTGATAATAGGATTGATTTTAGTAATATTTATTAAAGTTTTAGATTTAATGAAATATCAAGAAATATTCATGACTTTCTAATATTTATTGAAGTAAAATATCTTTCTTCTGTGATGTTGGGATTTATATAAAATTTCAATTTCAGCAAAATATTTCTCAACTATTTAAAATTTGCTAATTATAATCTTAGCATAATATTTGTAGAATTAATGATATTTAGATAAAAGCATTTCGAGAACAGAATATACCAGTATCAATTAAGATAAATCCATAGTTTCTACTATCATATCTAAATGATGGATGTATTGATTTTATTCGGTATATCCTTTCAATCATTTTACTTTTTCTTTTTTCATTTCACAAATATACAAGCATATTTTGACAATATTTTTAAGGATACTAATAAATTTAATAACATAGCCATTTGTTTACTGCTTCATAATTTTCGTTTTTTTTTTTTTTTTTTTTTTTTCGTTTAACAGCTTTCCATCATCAATTAAGTAATATTAAGTAATGGTTTCCTTATCCTCTTTATGACATAATGAAAGATTTTAAAGTATTTAAAATAGCAAATATATAGTCAATAATAACATTAGCAATACAAACAACTATGTAATAGAATATCGAAGAAAGCAATGAATATAAAATTTACTAATTATTTGCTAGCTAAAACAGAACTTATGATCAGTAAACAATTTCTACAATCTTTCTATTATTTCTATACTAATCTTAAATAGTTTTAAAAAGCTTTAAAGTCGGAACATTCATTTTTTTTTTTTTTTTTTATAACTTTAATCTAGTTTTCTCTCATTACTACAAAATAGATTATTTAAACAGATTTGATATTACTATAAACTGTAATTTCATTATCCACAAAAAAAAAAAGTAGTGCCAGAAGAATAGAGGGAAATTTTTTTCAACGATGAAGCATCTCTTAAAAAGCAACAGTAAATTTGTGGATGTGAGTGCTGTTTAATTCCAATAGTGCCATATACAAATTATAATGATAAAATTAAATAAAATGATTGAAAAAGATGATAAGAGTTCATTTAATCAATTCCTATAGATCAAACCATCTTTTTTTTATTTTTCGATGAAAGAAATAATAAAATGAATGGATGACTATAGGAAAAAAAAAAAAACAAAAATAAGTCTGAATGTATATGGCACGGAATTGTATTTGACAACATCGAAAATAAAATATGTGAAAATTCCAGATTTCTACATAACTAACATATCATAATCCTACATAGCTAACATAAAACTATAAATTAACCAGTAGTAGTGACTTTAGTAGTATTTAAGACTAATATTAACTTCTGACGTATTTTTCCTTTTTCACAAATAAAATGAAGCAAGTAATACTATAATTTTTGTACGCCAAAAAAGTATTTTCAATTTCTCATTATTTAATTTATGAATAACTCGTAATGAACTATTTAATTCCATTTACTGCAAATAAAATTACAAAATAACTTGAATCATTGGCGCAATGTATTTCTTCGTGCCTCCTCAATCGCAACTTTCCTAATCAATTCTTCATGATCAGCTTGCTGTTTCATTGTTGATAGCTCTTTCATGAATGCATGAAACTCTTGGTTATCTCTTTCCGGTTCTTCTATCATCCATTTCTCAGTCTGAAATATACCAAATATATAAATTATTCTTCGTTTTTGATAAATTTGATTCATTTGGATAAGAACTAAAACAATGAACTAACAAATCGATCTACTACATGCGGTAAGCTATAGTACCAATAACAGAAAACCGGCATTCCAGAAACAGAAGCAAATATAGCTGTATAGTGCTTCCAATTTAACGAAGGCATTGAATTTTCATCAGATATTTTATCCTATAATTACAAATAATATTAAACAATACTTTATGTATGCCAATAGACAAACTTTCCATATTGTTATTAGTATTAACTTAATATCATATGCAGTAAACGGTAGTACCAATAACGGGCATTTAAGAAGCAGAATCAAATATATAGATGACTGAAAGCAGATCTATAAGTTGATCAATCGTAACAATTCATTTTAAATAATTTAAACGATATCATCAGTATGACGTGAGGACAGGTCACGGTACAATTATCTAATACTGCTACGGCATCTTCCCCGAATCACAAAAATCACTTTATCATTACTATCGGTTTATTAATAGTTCCAATCAGTACTTTTTATCACATGTCAAATTGCTAAATTAAACAAGTTTATCCGTTAGTTAGTCCAAAATGGTATATTTTTTTTTTATGAGTTTTATTATGAAATAAGATTCAAATTTAACATAAATCGGAAGGGAAAAACCATTATATAATAGAATGTACGAGAAATTATTTCAAATTTATTTTATCCCAATTTATTTCAAATATAATAAGACAAAGATAAAATTACCCGGCAACATTTATAACATAAATTTGAATTATTTCATCACAGTCACACGACAAATTCCGTTTTTTTTTTTGCATAACTTGCAGTTATATAAAAACCTTGAGCTATATAATTAAGTTACTATATAACTAAAGTAATCTCCAACTGCTAGGTCAGATCGTTACGAGACAGCTTATTTCATATTATTTTATTTCAGTTTCTGGTTCCACTAATCTATTAAGACATCAGAGCAAAAATGACGAATTGAAAATAATTTCCTGTCATGCATAAATTTTCAATAAAACTTAAAAACAAAAGAAAAAAAACTATTTAGACAAGGATGAACTGCAAAGAATTCTAAGATTTAAAAAAAAAAAAATAAGAAAAATTATTAGCCAAATACAACAGAACTTACGGAAGTAGCAAGAGGCACAATAACAAACTCGTTTGAAACTGCTACTAACTATAAAATATTAAAGTACGACCAGTATAGACAAACTTAGACTTAATACGTAATAATATAGAAACAAAATTCTAAAATTGACAAATATAAAAGAAAGATTAGTGGAACCGAACCGTCAAATTATAACAAAACTAATTGAAAGATGAACATAACTGTTTGCTTATGAGTTTAACGGATTTCCAAGATCCAAACGAGAAATTATTTCATTAACTAACACTTTAATATTTATCTTGAACAATATCACTAAGCAAGCAATCATTCATCGTCATCATCACTATCATCATCTTCTTCTTCTTCAATACCTGAAAAAAGGCCTCTTTATAAGAAATTATTTTGCATTTGTTATGCATTCTGTTGTTCCATTTTTTCTCCTACACAAATATTAAAATCATACCTTCAAATAAACGATTATAACAGCTTCCTGGACCAGATATATTGAAATGACTGTACGGATCTTTCTTATCTAATACAATACCGCAAAGCCAACAAAAAGAACGCCCACATTTTATGCATGTCATTTTATTGCAACCACTGTTCTTCTGAAAAAAAAAATTATTAGGTAAGCAAAATCATTGAGAATAATTCGGTATTGGTACCACTGGAGGATTTAATCATGTGACAAGGTAACGAAGTTGTATCGTCTAGTTGCTTATTTTTTGATATCTAAATACATCCACAAATATAAAACAACACATTTCAATTTTCTCTAGTCAATCTCGCTTACTTATAACGTCTACAAGCTAATACAAGCTAAAAAAATATATGAAAGCGTCGTAGCATGTTAATCCCTTTAATGATTTCAAAAAGAAGATTGTGGAAAAATAATCACTTCAATTTTGGCATGGCATGAAGGACAAGCTTTACTGTTGCACTTTATCCATTCTTCATTTTTCAAAACTTGAAGCAATTGCTCAACCTGTTTTTTGCCACCAAATCTTTTATAGATTTCTTCGAGTTGAGCAGGCGTCGCAACTGCTACTTGACTAAGTATCTTCCTCTTTGATTCTGAAAATCAAATACACATAGATGTAAAATGAGAGTAAATGATGTCTAAGAAAGATTAACATTGCTTGAAAAATAATCAACTTAATGTTTACCTTCACTTAAAGAGCACAATTCTATACCATGGTATGATTTCTTGCACAATATACAAAAAGAATAGTGACATAGTGAGCAACTTGCTAAGCTAAAAAAAAAAAAATTAAAATTAACTTCTACAACGGTGAAAAATATCGCATACGAATAATGTATCTCTCTCAAGAACGATAAAAAATGATGATACTACTAAATATATCTTAGTTTCACTCAATAAAAAAATTTTTTTTTCACTCAATAAATCATTTCCTTACCTAAGTACTAAGAGTCAAATTGTTCAAAAACAAGTTAGAGGAAAAAGATTTTAACTTCAGTAAGTGTCTCAACTTCGACTTCAGTTAGTACGAGTAAAAAATGTCTCTGCTTAAATCAAGCATAATTGAAAATTCATAAGCAATGGTATACCTAGAATTTTCACCATCGTCAACAATAACGGGAGCTTGGCACGATATTCTCGGACATATAACTACATCGGACATCAAATCTAATGCCACTTCCAGTAAACGTTGTTCATAAATTTCAAATTCTTTATCAGTTAACACTTGTCGAATTTGTGTTTGAGTTGCATAACTGTCGCACCCACTACTTAGACACTGTAACTGTTGAATCTGGAAAAAGAGAAATGGTAGAGGTTTCGTTGACCAATATTTATTTTTAATTACATCTTTTATATTTTCTAGCAAAAGAAACAGAGGAAACAGTTCTGGCAAAAGAGTTTAACCTTCTAGCTCATGGAAATTATGATAGTCTGCCGAAAAGTTTGACAGCAATGATAAGTCCAGATATGTATCTCAATATTGCTGCTTAACTACTTAATTTAACGTAGCTTGAATGCATTAAGCAAAGGCAGTAACAATAATATACCGAATTATCGTGTAGTTTTTGGCGGTAGTAGTCTGAAGTACACTCCATGCAAAAAACATGACCACATGGCATAAATCTAATACATTCCTTACCACTTTTCAAACTGAAGCACACCTGAAACGCATAGCTGATGTACTACAGTTTTAATTAGTAATTGCAATAATTGAAAATAAAATTGCTATTCGAATAAATAAATATGTTAAGTTCAGATGAATGTAATTCTTGTCTCAGCTCCTTTAATCTATTTTTAAAATGAATGTGCTAACACCATATGTTAATTTGGAGTTTAGAAAATAAATATGCCTCAGTTCTCTTTTTTTCTTGCATGTAAGATAATACGAGGAGAATGCGAGAAAATTTTTGGATAAATTTATCACAGTACTTCCTAGATGATTTTTACTAACTAAAAAACATCATGAATATTTCCAGAGCAATAATGATAAGTCAGATCCTTTAAAAAATGTCCTGCAATAATCAAAATATTCGAAGAGACAACCTCACAATCATACCACTCATTCTCGAAATCATTTTGTATCGACCGATCGTTAAATTCAATAAATGTTTTCAAAAGTTCAGCAGATGCCTTTCCAAACTGAAAATTATAAAAATTATCCAATATACATTTACAAAACATATTAGTGATGAAGGATACGGATGACAGCAAAAGTAAAAGCTTACTGCTTCATTTTCGTCCTCCTCTAAAACAATTTTATTTAAATCAACATTCTTTTGAGATAAAACAATCTGCATAGCTTCTTCCTTTAACAACTCAATCCATGTAAACAAAATAGGCATGCCAAGATAATTGGTCCAAGAATTAATCAGAATTTCTCTCAGCCGTTGTCTCTAAAAACCGAAATTTGTCAATCTATGGACAGCACTTATTCCGATAAAAAATTATGAGTAATCATTTGATATAAATCCTTAGAACTTGAATAACAATTAAAAAACATGACCAGATAAATAAAGTTATATAATAATTAAAAGTTAGCAAAATTAATAAATATCTACAATCAGAGAATGTTATAAAGGACATACCGTAGCTGAATCAAGCCAACTTGCATGAAGGGAAAATAAAGGCATAGAATGTGAAGGATAATCCTGAGGAAATGTAAAAAATAGCAATAAAGGTGGAAGATAATAAACATGAATAATTTTCCCATCTAAAAGAAAAAAAAATCGCTGCAAATACCATCGGAATAAATTACAAGATTTAACGTCAAATAACACATTATTTAAACATTATCGATTACTTCGTAAGAAATTATAATATGCAATCAAATACATTATATGAGAGCAAAAATAAGTTGGCCATTCAAAGAAATATGTTCAAACCTGCATGGACAGCAATACCATCATCTATTTTTGATAAGACAACAGTTATGCAGCCTTTAATTTGTGAATCATTATCTATCCTGTATGAGAACCATTCTGGTGTTCCAGAATATATACTTTCTAATGCTTGAATTTCATTCAGCTGATCCTAAAATAACTCAACAATCTAAAAACATTAATTATTATTTCAGATGTACCAATCGATGCAAGGAGAGAAAATTTCAAAAAGAACCTTGCGATCAGTATCATCCACAACAGCCATGTTTATGATTTTATTGCTCAATGCTGTCGATATGCTACAAAAGAAAGATCAACTGTGCATTGAAATAAATCCATTACACTGCTATCACATTTAGCTTATAATTAACATTATTGAAGAAATAATAGAAAATTACTTAGTATAATTTATCATTCTATGACTAAAAAATAATTTTTACAGACTTAAAAAAATATTCAGAAATTAATATTCCCTATATAATATCCAGCATGCTAAAATATACAATTATGTAACTAACTAAACACATTTATATAAAATTGGCCAATCAAAATGAAATATGTGATCCATTATTTTCACAGTCTGTTGTATGTGATAATGATGTAACATACGTGCAACGACAATGCAACACCTATTTCTGGGGTAATTGGGATCTTACTCATTAGATGATTATTTTTAGTGATAGTGCTGCTTTACAAATATTAGTAGTTGAAGAATTTATGAGAAATATAAAATTAGTGGAAAACTAATAAATTGTCAGAAGTAATTGGTAATATGAGGAAAAATATGTAAATTTAGAGATATCGATAATAATTAAAATAGAGCATAAAAAATTGATTTTTTTTTTTGCATAATTGTAAAGAGCAAATTGTGGTAGTCGTCAATTTAACTCATTGGTAATTGCAAATTTGATTCATTATTCGATTTTTCTAATGAATTGATTCTATTTTTTGTGCATTTTTTGTTTCTCTATATCATTGAAAAACTGAACCTTTTGACATAATTTGAAAAATATCATGTTATAATTGAAATGAAGGAAAAAGAATTTGAGGACAATTTGATTGAAATTTGAAGCTGATTTCTATGGTTATCGCAAAAGTAAAAGCAGAAAAAAAAAGGAAACGAAAGCAAAAATAAAAATAGAACAAGAAGTTCTACTCGAACTTTATTGTAGTGTTGTGACACATTACTGAAAATACTCCTAAGGATTTCTATTAAAAAAGAAATGCGTATTGAATGTTAGGCAATTATTTCAGGCAATTCAAAATCACCGGCATCATGCCGAAAAATCGGAGGGAACAGGAAGCTGATAAAATTGATCGGGTCCGGTATGTTGTTGCCTGCATTAACCAAAGAATTGCAAGAAATAGCTGGGCAATCCCTGAGTATGACTATAATTGTCAACATTTAGGTATTACCGGTGGTATAAAGATGTTAATCGGGAAGTTTACTTATCTTCAACATGGTCACAAATATTTGCAATCATTTCGGTTATTTCGTGAGATAAAATTGTTCACCTGGATGAAAACGACATTATCATTGGAATAGTTTGTGTACGGCCTTATTTTTCATATGTTTCGTTAGGTCTTTTTATGTCTTTCATTTTAGCAGCAACTGAGAAGACATACTTATGCATTGACTAGCGAAGCTTAATTATAGAAGTTTTGTCAAAAGGTGGTTATCGGAAAATAAATGATAATATTTAGAACAAGCAGTAAAGATAATTATAAATTTGGTAAAAGATTTTGGAGTAATCAGTCATTCGTACATTTTTTCCAGTATAAATATACGCTGAGAATATCATTCAAAATCCACCACTTTCACTCCTGTTCACGTATATATGAATTTAGCATAACTTCGTTTTATTTCTGCTAATATGCAGGAATGTGAGCAAAGATTGCTGCTAGTTGTTTCGGTGATCTTTTAAGCATTGCTCAAACATTCGTTTTGTTTACAGAGATCACGTGATCATTTCATTCGTTTTGATTGGCCGAGAAACATGTTTCGAGTGTTTGATGATGCCACTGATTCGTTGTTTATATCTATCTATTCGACTCAGGTTGACAACATATTTCGATGTCTGTGCTCTGTTATTTTTCGAGAAGCATTGATAATATTCATTGATATTTCATAACTATAAAAATCTATCTACCTTTCCAGCTTCATGTTTAGGACTATATCAGAATATTTTTCAATTATTTTCAATTATACTGACATTATTAATCTTTCAATGTTCGATAGTATTTGCATTCTCTTGTAGCATTAGAAATCTTTACACATATTTCTCCATACTGGAAAAGGTAGAGGGGAGTTGTATGACTCAGCTAACCTCGTAAATCAATGAAAAGTATAATTTTCATAAGTCGTATATTAAATATTTCTGTGATAGCAAACGTACGAAATCATGCATATCAAAGGTGAAAGTGATTTTTGAATGGTATTCTCACGCGTATTCATTTTCAGCTAGGTATTTTTCACCGTTGATGATGTTGATTCAAAATTTAATAGTCGGAATGTATATATCATCATATACTTGTTTATTTTTGCTAACATTTTGATAGTATCTTTTATGTTTGATAGCTTGCTTAATTATTTTTTCTCGAACCGAAATATTTACCTTTCTTTTCATTTTTCTGTTGGTATCAATGGTTGATATCAAAAATTGTTCATCTTAGAAATATTCTTTGGTCTCACTGGCACATACCATTAACTGTTCTAGTGTTTTACACCTTCATTTTTCAAATTGGTGTTTTTTTTAGGATTTTCTCTGTACTTCTTTTCTATATTAACCGATTAGAAAACGAGCTAAAACGGACTTTTTTATAACTCAAAATAGTCTAATTGCTCCTAACTTTGTTCATCTATTATTCGGTTAACTTTTACTAATTGCAGCTGAATCTACTGCTAGTTTGGAATTAGTCCATGAGGAAATATTCGGAACAACCTTACTTAATTAACGTTTTAAGCTCTTTTTGTATGGTATATCTCTATCGAATATCCGATAATTTCGAACAGGAGAACTGTGGAAGTAATAGTACGTTTTTTTTTTTGTTTTTTTTCTCATTCCATCCCTATACTTGTAATCTGGAAATTTGTTTGAGCAATAATAAAATGGATCGCTACTTTATTGTGTAAGAATGATCAGTTGTAGATAATCATTCATTTTAAACAGCTTGATTCTTCTATTTTTGCTACATGGTTAATTTTTGGTAAACGTTTAATGAAATACAGTTGAGATTTTAGAATTATCTCCTTGATTTATATTTATTCTCAGGTAGAATTAATGTGTATCGATTTTCAGGAAATACGCCATAGTTATTTCTGTTAAAGTAAATGTTAGCGCAGATTAGTTTGAGTATGAAATTTTGTTTTGATTTACGAAGAGGATCATAAGCGAGATATAGTTGGGATCTCGCAATTCTTAAACTTTGATTTAATCATTCGTTGTACACACTGATTTTGAATAACTTTAATCAGCATTTGTTTTCTTTTAAAATGCTTTAACTAAGAAGTCTCATTTAATCATAATATGTTTATACAGTGTACTTGTTTTGTTTCATCATTTCTTATTCGCTTTTCCTTCTTACTTCACTTATTCCTCTCCATGTATCTAGAAAAGCTATTCAATTTCAGTTTGTTGGAACTATTCAGTTGGTTAGATGTGAATCGTTGAGCGACATAAAGGCAAGAAATAATAATTGGTGCAAAGAGGTGCAAAATAAGGTAAAAGTTGGTGCTGTAATAATAGCTGGAAAAAAATAACGCTGTTGTTAAATACTTTTGCAAGTTACTACGACGAGAAAAACTATGGATTCGAAGGATAAGGTGAACTCAGCGACAATTCCGAATATTGTAAAGTTTGCATTTGGTGGGACTGCAGGGTAGGTAATTCTTCTAAATGAAATTATTTCTTATTGTTTACATATCTTTATTTTTTTGTGCAGACTCAAGAAAGACCAAAAAGTCAGTAACTGTGCCGTAAACAAGCAATAAGATTTTGCAGAAAAAAATTCCGTTGAGTAATGGTGATCTGATCTTTCAGGATGGGTGCTACTTTGTTAGTGCAACCGTTGGATTTGTTAAAAAATCGTATGCAGCTTAGTGGAGTAACTGGTAAAAAAGAATCCCGTTCAAGTTTACACGTTCTAAGGAGTATCATAACAAATGAGGGTTTTTTCGCGATCTATAGTGGCCTCTCTGCTGGTCTTCTACGTCAGGCTACTTATACGACAACTCGTCTTGGCATTTATACCTGGCTGTTTGAGCAATTTACGAAGTTGGTTTCCTTTTAATGAGACGAAATAAAAGTGATTTATTTCGATACGTTTCTGTGTTCGCTTTGAATTGGAAGGGTTGATTCTTTGTTTCTTGAAACATTAAGCAATAATTTTCACTAAGTGTGTAATGCTTCTCCATTCGATATTACTTTTCCGAGTATCATTCACAAATCCTGGACTCTATAATCAGCTCACTTATGAAATTCCTAAATTGATTTAAAATAATTTGAAGAGACGGAACAACAACTAGTTTTGCAACAAAGGCTGTTATTGGTTTAACTGCTGGTGCTACTGGATCATTTGTTGGTACTCCTGCAGAAGTAGCACTTATTCGAATGTGCACCGATGGACGGTAAATCTTTATATGAAAAATAGAATTATTAGATTATAGTATAAAAAGCATGGTCATACTATTATAATCGAATCTAGCTAACAAAAAAATTACTATCATTCCAGGTGATGTAGTTTTTGTAACAAATACCTTTTCGATTTGTTTTGAACTTCCAGCAGAAATATCCTCTCATATTTCACAATGTCTAATCACTATGTCATCACGATAATTTACTTTTAGACTTCCGCCAGAACAACGGCGACAATATAAAAATGTTTTGGATGCTTTGGTGCGTGTTGTCCGAGAAGAAGGAGTTTCTACGTTATGGAGGGTAAGTATATGCAATTCATATATGTTATTTTTGGAGCTTCACTTTTCTCATAAAGTGGAAGTAAATTCTTTTATTGAATTTGCGTTTATAGGGATGTGGGCCAACTGTTCTTCGAGCAATGACAGTAAATGCAGCACAACTAGCAACTTATTCACAAAGTAAGGAAGCATTATTGTCGAGTAAATTCTTCAAAGAAGGAATGATGTTGCAATTTGCGGCTTCAATGATAAGTGGTCTTGCAACAACTTTAGCTTCTATGCCAATTGATATTGTTAAAACAAGGTTAGTCGGTTTATTTACTAGAAAATTCGGATTTGTCCAAACGTTTAAGATGTTGATTACTGATTTTCATACGAATTCGATCATCATTTGAGCAGACATTATCGATTTAACCCTGATCGGTAAAGTAAGGACTAAGACTCGCGTTCATAAATTTATTTACGATATTAACGGAAATGGGAATAGAGTGATTTTTGATTTAATACTGGTAGGAAGCTTATTGATGAAAAGTTTTTCAGAGTGCAGAATATGCGTATGATACATGGGAAACCAGAATACAGCGGTATGTTGGATGTATGGTCTAAAATTATAAGTAATGAGGGATTTTTCTCGTTGTGGAAAGGTTTTACACCTTATTACTTTCGTATGGGTCCACACACTATGCTAACATTTATCATACTTGAGCAGCTCAATGCGGCTTATTTCAAGTATATTTTAGGCATAGAGCAAACCCGTAGTACTCTTTAAATAAATGAGAAAACGTAAATAAATAAATAACAGATAAATAAATATTTAAATAAATAAATAAATAACAGATGTAGTTTGTGACATGTTGATGCTGTTGATCAGTAGTTTATCAAAAGAAAGCCGTTGCAATTGGTCTATCGAACTGTTATCCTCACTTCATAATTTATAGAATCTAGCTAAAATTCTTGTATTATCGGCTGAATCATTTACAGTGGAATCCGATCTGTGTAAATTTCGTACTGATTTAACAAAACACTATTTTTCTATATGATCGGTTGCTCCTAGTGTTACCTACTTTATGTTAAAGTGACAGTTCTTTTTAAGAATTCTTGGAAAAACGGTTTACTTTTTTTTCTTTGAGTTTTTTTTTTAGATTCCATTCCTAGTTTATTCTTATCTGGTAAATGGTAATTCTGCTGGTTTCATTGATATTATCCGGTGAACAATAAAAATTGCTTATTTAATTATTTAAATGTGTTATCAGGGTTTCATTCATTTTGTTCTTTTCACTTACGTGTTTAAAATCATATTTTATATAGTATTTTGCATGCAATATTGTGAGCACTAAATTTACAATGTATTTTACTTTGATGTTTTGAAAAACTTTTTACTTTCTTTGCTTTATCCTTATCTTTAGTTGTTTCGCTGAATGCAAATATAAGGTGTTATCATACGGTTATAGACTCCCGTTGCTGTTGTTATTATAGCGTGGTTTTGTTTTATTACCGATTAAAAGCATATTGTTTTTTGGATCAATATAAATTGTTCGGAAAAAAATTAGAATTAAAGTAACATGTAATGGTTTACTCGAATGAGAATAATTGTGGCTAGGATTCTGGGAATGTTTTTTGGCAATTTTTGCTTCTTTTTTTTACAATATCTATGTTACTGTTGTTGTTTCTTGTGTAGTATTGTTGTTTATGGATCTTATGAAGCATAAATTCTATCTTAATATTCCACTAGTAAGGCATTATCACACTTTCAGCTAATAAAGAGAATTGCATGACATCATAATTAGATGATAATAAGATAGAGAGAGTGGAAGATGTTCTTTATTATTTTTAAAAAATAATAAAAATTCAAAAACACATTTAATCGTGGATCATTTTTTAAAATTTCCATATCTTAATACTGATAAAGTTTGCAGTCCATTAGATATTACCTTAACAAGTTTTAAAGTAAGTGAAAGAAGAGTTGTTTTTAAATATGGTCCATATAATATTAACAGTGATAAATGGCAAAATCTGGTTTACATATTATCAGAATTATGGTAAAATCGTACCGTGAAAGTGATTTGCTCGTCTTTTTTAGAGCAAATCTATAGGTATGACTGAATTAGTATTATTGGCAAAAATTAGCGAACAGAAAGAATAAGAATGAAAAATGTAATTGATGTAAGGCTGAAAGGAACAAAAAGATTGGATACTATTTGATGATGCTTTCAATGCAATTAATAAATATTCTAATCAGATGTTTGTTTACTATTCAATAATACATAATGTATTTTTAATATATGTTAACTGGTATAAAGAACTTGCAGATAACTGAAGAGAATAATGCTATCTATATACAAGCCTCAAGTAGTTAATATTTGTGAGATGATTGTTCGGAAAAAGATGCTAAAAAAGTGGAAACAAATCAGTCAATTCACAGCAGGTTCATTAAACATTTCCTTACATTATTCATATTATTCCTGCCCAATGAACTTTTTTTGACTTGTTTAATATTACTAAAATCTCATGTAATTAATTGAATAAAAGATTAGTACACAAATTAGACATTCGATAACTCTGTAAAGAGAGCAAAAAAAATCTACAAGTGTAATTATTTCAGGAAATCAAAAGACAAACATCATTTCTTAATTTGGATAATAAAAAAGGAAAAACAAATAAGAATTATTAGATAATTTTTTTTTTTTTTTTTTTGTAACTTAAAAGGAAAACAAAACAAGCAAATAAAATTCACTAAATATTATGCCAACTGTTAACGAAAGAGAACTACTGTACTTATTTGACATACGTTTCGTGTTTACGATTTATACGTGTCTGAAATTAACACGTTACGTAAACGTGTCATATATAATTAAAACTTAAATTACACGTACAGATGAATTTTGTAATATTGTAATAATTTAATGAGTAATGTATGAAATATCATTAATAACTTTACATTATTATACGTAAGATCTGACTGTTTTTTTTTTTTTTTTTTTTGTTTTTGTTTTTTTGAATTTTTTTCCCTTTCACTGTTAATCTTTTTATGCTTTTACAATTATTTTATTTAATTCTTGGTGCTTTAATATTTTGTTTGGCATTATTTTGATATGAGCTGCACTCATAACTGTTGTTTCTAGATTGTTAAACATAGAAAGTGAGCTGTAGCATTATTTTTATTAGTGTTACATTTAGATCGGTATAGCGACTTGAGACTTTAGAGTTTGTAATTCAAAACTTTTTTTTTTTAATATTTGTCTAAAAAACAGTGTAAGAAGTGCCTAAATTTCAGAATTATCACTAGCTCAGTTATGTATATATATACATCATTCATAAATTATTTAGGCATGGCATCAAAAACTGCTATGGTTATACTTGCTGAGGGGGCCGAGGAAATGGAAACTGTTATTCCCGTTGACGTTTTGAGACGAGCTGGAGTTGAGGTTTCAGGCGATATTCATACTTATTTTAATCAAAATTAAATTCGATTTTTCGTTACGTAACCAATTATACGACTCAGTTTTACACGTTAGAGATACAGCTGATGTAACTAATGTAGTTTTATATGTTAAACTGAGGTGTAGTTTGTGTCAAATGCGTTTTTTTGGTGTCGTACGTACCGCGAAAAATTACTGCCTTAGTCTGTTCAACTTTATTTTACCTAAATTATCCAATTTTTTGTGTTGATGTGAATAGAATTTTATAGGTTACTATTGCTGGTCTTCTCGGTAAAAATACAGTGAAATGTTCGAGGCAAGTGATGATTACGCCTGATAAAGCTTTATTCGAAGTGGCAGATAACAAATTTGATGTTGTGATTTTGCCAGGTGGCTTACAAGGGGCAAATTCCCTTGCAGCAGTAAGTTTGCGTTATTTTATACTTTCTCTCACTTATAATTTCGACATTATTCTTTTATAATTCGAAGCTTAAGGTATTTTGATAATATTTTACATGCCGATCTGAGCAAATGAGAGCAACCCGTTTATATATTCATTTTCTTCTGATCGTAATAGTTTAAAATTTTTGTGGCACTGACATTTTTTGCACAATCTGTCGTTTAGCAGGAATCAATAAGACTACGTCAGAATGCATTATTAGTAAATTTTTATTTACTATCATCTTTTATTCGAAGTGTTGTTGGTTGGTTTTTGTTGCGCCTTGATGTTAACAATTGCAAACAGTCTCATTTTCAGTCAGACGAAGTGGGCACTATACTTCGAACTCAGTACGAAAGTGGTCGTTACATAGCTGCGATATGTGCTGCACCGATTGCCCTAAAAAGTCACGGTATTGCCCCAGGGATATTGCTGACATCACACCCAAGTGTTAAACCAAAACTTGTGGAAGGAGGTAGGTTAGTTCAATAGGAAATAATCTTGTGATTACATTGTTCCACCTTATATACTTTTCAAAAGTCTCTTGTATGCATTTTTTTTTTTTTTTTTTTTTGTTTAAATGCCACAGTTTAGCTTTTATTAGCGTTTAGCCAGAGTTGCACTGGATAATGGCCTTCTTTCTATTTTATTGCTTTTCTGGAGAACTAAAGTTTTAAGTGAGTTTTTATTAAGTGGAAACTTTTCAAGTAAATTCTTCTTGCTCAGTTTCAGGATACAAATATTCTGAAGATCGTGTGGTTACAACAGATCATATAGTCACTAGCCGTGGCCCAGGAACTGCATTAGAGTTTGCATTAAAATTGGTCGAGTTACTTGTTGGAACGGAAAAAGTGAAGGAAGTTAGCGTTCCAATGATTGTGAAGGAATAATCTTCAGGCGATTAAAAAAAAAATAATGAACTGTCCAATCTTCTATGCTTTTATTGGTATTTTCTAGAACTCTAACTTATGTTATCCTTGGAACGAAATAGTTTTACGTTTTACGTTTCATGAGTCTCCCTCTTTCATGTATAATTATTTCGGCCTTTGCTGTCAACATGTACACATGTCGAATGACTGAAAAGTAATTCATTTTAATTTTGTTCAATACATGAGGTCTTTGATATTTGTTTGTGGCATATTCTTACTTTTTCGTGAATCTTTTCAGGTAGGTAGGTTGTTAATTTGATAAATGAAATGCTGCACAGTGTTGCTCAAATCCATTCAATCAAATTCATTCTTTTGCAATTTTTCCTTTTCGTTGAAAGTCTTATGCATGTTTAGGAAGACAGATGGATCAGAGGAAAAGACACTAGCTCAAAACGAAAACGAACATATCTGTTCACACTAGATCTTCGTAATTTCTTGACTATTTAACGCAGAATTTTCCTAATTTAATTAGCCTTTACATTCTTTTAGTAAGAGAAATTTTCTGAAGGTTAATTACAAACAATTTTTTGGGGATGTTTTAGAGATTTTTGCTACAATAATTTACAAAGCATAATACAGCGTTAATGTAAAGCCGGGAATGTATATTGTGTAATCATCCTACGTTATCTGCCGATAGCATTTCGCGCTCCCGTTCTACCAAAAAAGTTCCCAATGAGGCTTAAGAAATCGCCACCAGGTACGATTACAGTACCAGGTACTATCACTGAAAACAGAACCTTTTAAGATATCGTTTGGGAAAAATGCATTCAAATCAGAGGAATTACAACTGGATTTTAATTTATACCGGATGGTTGTCTTGTTGTCGTTGGTGATGGAGGTAACTCAACACATCGTTGTTTCTCTTGTTTAAAGCCACACTTACACTGACATCGACCCCTAAAACTTGAAGAAATATCATGAAGGTCATACAAAAATGCATTTACTTTTTATTAAACCCTTGCTGCTATTTTTGAATTTGAAA